TTTATTTATAACCATAATCGAATCAGCTATAAGATACACTGCTATCAAAGGAAGCCCTGTCTAAAATTAAAAAAATCGTAGTACTTAAAGATGAAGTAACTAACAATTATTTCAAAAGCATTAAAAATTATCAAGATCCCTATCTTTTAATAAATCCACTTTAAGGTTACGTATGGTAAACGTTTTCTGGATGAAAACGTCAATTTTTCGGTTTTTTTTAACATTCTAGTAGCCGAACTTTCAAGGCACACAATGGTACAATGTTTGAAACTAGCAGGAATTTCAAAAACGGAAAAAACTGATGCAAACAGAGGTTTCCATAATTTCTTTATTTAAGTTTTAGGTTGAGGTCTGAAAATCTCTTGACCTGTTAAGTCGATTATCGTTGTTTACAGCTGTGGCCGCAGGCCTCATTTATAATAAATAGTTACAATCACATGGTACATCCATGTATCCCATGTATGGCTGTGTTTATCTAAACAGGCAAATATGTGTCAAAAACGTTTACCGTAACCTTAAAGACTCATTGCTAACAATGAGCCATTGCGCTACACAAGCATCCCATAATGCATTTTCAGACAGTCTGAAATCAATTATGGTTAATCCGTAGAAGTTTACTGCCACTGTTTGGATTGTCGCCTGAATAATTTGCCACCCTCGCAAAGGCTCATTGTTAGCAATGAGTCTTTAATACAATTACGACAAGTTTAGTCTATAAAGTGTTCTTATAAAGCTTTCCATTCTAACTTTTGGTATCCACAAGTGTATATCATTATATCTGTATGCTTTTCCATGTTCTAATCTTGTAAAATAGTTGTGGAAGACATCAGGACATCCACTCTTAATATGATGAACTTTTTTAATTGCAATTTAAAGGCACATTGAAAAATTGGGAGTAAAGATTGCGATAGATATTATTCAGAAGACAGCACTGCTTGGCTCAGCTATGAATTTGCGAAAAGTTTTATCTCTTTAGAGGTCACAAGAAAGAAACTTGGTGGCTTGTTGTCGCCCGCTTTCAAAGAATAACATATCAGAATATTCCAGAGAACTTTATCTGTGATGGACATTAGGGACAATAATGTTGTTAATTTTATAGAAAGATTGATGACCAACTGGAAAATACAACTGACATCGTGTGGGGAAACTTTAGGGTTTGTAAATATTTGCAGAGAAATATTCCAAGGAGAGAGCCTATCACCACTGTTATTCGTCATTTGCATGATACCCCTTACCGAAGTCCTCAGAAAAGTCAAAATGGGATATACATTGGATGGTATTAAGATCAATCACCTGTTGTTCATGGACAACTTGAAGTTGTTCCAAAAAATGAGAATGAAATTGACAGTCTAACATATACTGTCAACCTTATTAGTCAAGATATAGGAATGGAATTTGGGATAAAAAAGTGTGGTGTTGTGACCTTAAGAAGGGGAAAATGAACAGGAAGTGCAGGGATTCAACTTGTCAATGGGGAAACGATTAAGGAGGTTGGTGAATAAGGGTATAAGTATCTGGGAATAACAGAGCTAGATAGAATAAAAGAAGAGGAGATGATTAAAATATTTCAAATAGAATATTTCAGAAGGGTTAGACTTGTCATGCAGTCGAACCTCAATGGAAGGAATAAGATTAAAGCAACAAATACCTGGGCAATCTCCCTGATGAGCTATGGGGCAGGAATAATTAAATGGAGAAAAGACAAGCTAGAAAGTATGGACACAAGAACCAGGAAATTAATGACAATGAATAAAGAACTTCATCCTAGAAGTGATGTAGCAAGAATTTAAGTTAGCAGGAAAAAGGGTGGTAGGGGGCTGATAAGTTTTGAAAATTGTATTTAAAATGAGACAAACAACCTGGCTTGGTATGTTAAGCATGATAGAGGCAATCTTATGTCAAAAGTGAGAGACCTTGGGACAATGGATACTGAGGAGGCAGTAGCACCAATTGAACATAAAAATGAGGCAAAAAGGCACTTGGAAAAACGATGGAAAGATAAGCTGATGCATGGGCAATTTACTAAGAATACTGACGGAATTGATTGGGAAAAAAGCTGGTCATGGTTAAAGGAGAACTGACATGCAAAAATAAGTTTGGCTAAAACGGTAGTTTGTGACAAGCAAACTCCGGGATCGAAAAAAAATTTTTAAATCACAGTTCCCGTTTTTGAAATACAGGCATTTTAAGTTGAGAAACGACAATTGTTCCGACAACTTGAGATTTGAGGCAAAAATCGTCACGAGCGGACGATCATCTTTGATGTCACAAGTGATATTTCCTCAGCATGTATTGTGTTTCTCTATAGAAGCCTTTAACAAAATGCTGCGGACAAATGTTTATTTTGTGCACGTGAAAGGAGCTAATTTTGCATTTTTGACACATAATTGACTTTTTCAATGGTTTCGGAGTTTTATTACACTGATTTCGAAACAAATGGAGAGTTTCGGCCGTCTGAGTTTTTGCTACCAACCAGCACTGCCGCTTGGGCAGACAGTCGTCCCATGGCTCAACAGTGACGATGTTATGAACAAAGAACAGACTGGAAGTACAAACTGATATGGAATTTCTAATAAAAACAATGCTATTGCTACAATCTATATGAGATCAGGTATCGTAAATCTAGAATTTCATTTCAGATTGAGGGGTCTTTGCCCAGACTGCTTTGTCTGTATGGCCTAATTCACTGAAATGCCTATGATGCCCTAAACGGAACTGCAAGTTATTCATTATTAATGTAACATTCTATGATTGTTTTTCAATGTTTCAAACGCGTTAACTGTATAGTGATATTAAATAGTAAAGGTGGGTTAAAAGTCGACTTGTGCGGATTATATGCCATTTTCACCGGGCGTGAAGGGTTTTGGGAACTGATTAGTTACCTGGCAGTTGAAAAATCTGTATTTACGAAATAGGCTCTTAGTCAAAGAACTTGATTTCATAGTCAAAGAAAATGCTGTTTAGCTTTCATAGGAATATGAACTGGCACATTATCTTCTTTTGCAAGCAATTTTGACTTGGGTGGGGGATGCCTAGTATCTCAACCTCTGTTAAAATACAATAAACAAGTTGAGTGAAATTATTATTTAGTCACACTCACAGCTCCCATCAACCAAGATTTCTTCTTGAATTCATATATCTGCACCCAAAGCAGGTTGCAGGATTGCTTTTACCGCTGTCTCCACTATATTTTGTTTGTTTTTTGGCTATTGGTTCAACCCCCCCAGCCCCACCCCTATGTTGTGATTTTATTTGTAATTGTAAAAATAAAAACTTTGAAGAAACGGTATCAGTTTTCAAACAAAGTTGACTCCTTTTTTCACAAGCTTAGAGGTTCTTTCAATGTTTCGAGGCATGCTGGTTCGAAGATATCATGGCATAAAAATAAATTTTATGTGGACATCAGCGTCCTAGCAGACATGTTGCTAGGATTTTCTAGCTTCTTTATACTTATTGCCTGACAATTTTTTGCCTTTTCACTGCGGACTATTTTCAATAAAACACAAAACTGCATTTGTACTTTCACCGTTGCGGTGAAAGCCTTTACAACGGCATTGTTAACATGTCACTTGTGACCTCAACCGAGAATTTTAACAACTCCTGGCGATAATCTTGTTTCCGCTTCGGGAAATTCCTGAGTTCTGGCTGTGACGTAATTGATGGATAAAAGTGCAAATATCAGAAAAACGGCGAATCTAAGAAGAAAACTTTTTCCAGATTTGAAGTCAGCGACAAATTTTGCATCGAAAAAGCCAAAGTTATTTTTGCGTGTCAGTTCTCCTTTAAGGATTGGAGATCTGAAAGGGTGCACTGAAGCATTAGTGTGGAGTGAACAGGAGCAGGCACTGCGCACTAATTAAACCAAGCACTACATTGATAAAACAAGTCATACACCTTTATGTAGATGTGCGGTGACAAGGGAGAAACAGTTAGTCATCTGGTGAGCAAATGTGCTATAACTGGCACAAACAGAATATAAAAGACGACATGACAATATGGCAAGGTATATTCATTGGTTGTTAGCCGAAAAGTGCGGATTTGAAAGAGCAGAAACTGAAAGGAGTTTTAGAGAATCACAATTTAAGATACTGTTGGATTTTATGATTCAATGTGATAGGGTTGTTGAAGCAAGAAGGCCGGACATTGTTGTTGTTGACAAGAAAAAAAACATGTGAAGATAATCGATGTTGCCATTCCTGGTGATAATAGGGTAAAAGGTGAAGAACAAGAAAAAATTGAGAAGTATCAACCACTAAAGGAGCAAATCGGAAATCTGTGGAATATGAAGAAGGTGACAGTCATCCCTGTTGTGATTGGGGCATTAGGATGTATATCAGATTGTTTTGAAGAGCACATGGAAAAGATCAGAATTGATGTAAAGTTACAGGTGATACAAAAGACAGCACTGCTAGGAACAGCCAGGATTTTGAGACAGATATTGTCTATGTAATTAACTTGAGATGACAGAATGGGACCTTTGTCAGCTTGTTGCCGACTGCTCCCTCCTATATTATCCGGACCAATTAACATCTAGGTGTCTTTGAATCACTTAATTGGCCATAATAATAATAATAATACGAATTTTTATATAGGATTAACACTTCAACGTTTCTGCTGCTATGTGTGTCCTAATTAACGTAAAAGAAAATAAAACTACTAAAACCCTATAAAAGAAAGGATAAAATATTTATAGATTATAACTAATTTGTTTGTTGTTTAAATTAACTGTCTTGTTTCTAACACATATCTGATTTAGAATAAAATTAATAAATGATATTACAATCATGGAGTAAATTTTGAATCATTTTCCAATTTTGCGGGTTTCACTTTTAGTTAGTGGTGTTGTTAAGCATGCAGTAGTAGAGCATTGTACTTAGGATTGTCTGGGAAATTAATAAAACAGAAGCTGAAGCGTTTATAAACATAGTCATTAGTGCTTGTTTGAAAACGAACTGTTCGGTTTGATAAAAACAAGAAATTCAAAGTAAAAACATACAAACCTCCATCCAAACCATTCTTTGTAGACTGGATGTGTTTTATCAGATCATCTAATTTCTCTAAGTTACCCCTAAACTGATCAAACCGTCCTAATAATTTATCGAGCTCACGCTCAACTGAGTTGCAGGCGTCCATTTTGACTTGGGCTTTCACTCCCAGGCCCTCTACGTCACTCCAAAACACTGTTCCACAATACCTAGCATTTATTGAATTGGATTTATCTCACCACGGTCCTTTTAGTCCGTAAACAACATTTAGCTTTTGTATTGTATTTTGAATTTCATAGAAATGTGAAGCTTGAAAATTCAGTAGAGATGATTTCTACAACGAACATAGCAAAAGAGTCACTCCAAATGAAACTTTCACTCTCATTCTAAAATCACGGTCAAATCCCCTAAAAACTTTGAACTTAATTTCGCCATAAAATCTGTTTCACATTAGAAAAACTTAGATGTAGACTAAAATTTTGGTCTTCAGTCCAAATTAGATGTCAAAAGAGGTTCTCAAAAAGTGATACCTTCTCTGTAAAAGAAATTTCTTCTGACAATAGGGGTCCTTTTTCTGTCTAAAGGGAAAATGTTTCTGACGACAGAGCACTTAGAAAAACGTATCTTTTCCGACAAAAAGACACATCTTCTGGGATACTTTTTATTAGGCAATTCTTTAGTTTCTGGAGAAAGCAAGCAACCTTTCATCTAAAACTTTGACCCTTCAGCTTCTAATAAAAAATTGATGTTCCACTTCCCTTCACGTTAAGAGTGTTTGCATCAAGTGACTGAATTTGAAAAAAATTGACTTGTATCTTTTCCCTAGTTTTGCATGTTGTTGAATCTTCCTTTGGGAAATTTGTCAACAAGAAGAATCAGAAAATACGAAAAAGATGATAATACGAGGTATTTTTCAACTTCTTTTCAACTATCTCGTTTCGTTGCAATAGGTACTATATAAAATAATTGGAACTTTATATTTCTAGTCAAAACCGTCGTAATAATTCTAGAAAAACAGAACTCGTGCCCTTACTTCAAAAAGATACGTTTGTTAGGCAATCACGTCTGCTAAATGCACATTGTTAGTTAAATGTTTTTTGAAGTAGCAATTTTATGTTCTTCGAAAATATGTTCTTTATCAAGCACTTACAAGGAATGGCTGAGTCCTCCTCTAAAAATTCCATTATATATATTATAAAAGTAAGTAACATATACGCAATAATATAAAAGTAGCTTTATATTTAACAATGAAACTGTTTGATGATGATTAATTATTATGTGCAAAAACTGAAGAAGTACAAACCGTTGCCAATGACCTTAACCGTGACGTAAACCGAGTAACAACATGGCAAAGGTCTCCAGTTACCCTGTCATTTGCTGGAGATGCATCTTATGCAGGAACGAATCGGAATATTGCGAATGCCCTTACTTTCACTATGATCTAATTGAGGCTTCAAGCTCTGGGCTTTGCGCGGTTTCTCTCGCATTTAGGGCCTATTTATATGGAGAAAATCATCCCACCTTCCAGCCTGTGAGCTAAGAGGTGAGATCCCACTTTTCAATAGAATCCTTTGTGTTATTCGTCTTTCGTTTATATGGAAAATAAGCTAGTCCGGCTAAGTGAGATCCCACTGCATGGGAGGTGGGATCTCACTGAAGTATTATGAATTTTTTCCATATAAATGTTGGAAGGTGGTATGAAGCTGGAAGATGGGAGGAAATGTTCATATGAACGCGATCAAATTTTGTCCCACTTGTCAGCAAACAAGCTGGAAGGCGGGATAGAATCTGCATGTAAACATTCGATGATTTCATCCCACCTGCCAGATTATGGGCTGAGGGGTGGGATAAATTTGCTCATATAAACAGGCTCTTAGGAGCCTTAACCAAAGCCAATCTGTCAAAAAGATACTTGAATAAAAATCAAAAGGGTACCACAGAATTTGGGCTTCATTTCCGGTGTATTCAAAGACGGACAACATTTTGTGCTACTTCTAAAATTTCGCAAGAACGACTGCAACAAATCCGTTTCGTTGTTCGGTAGATCTGGGTTCTTTTAAAAAGTTGCATGTAGTTTTGCAAAATATTTTACACTGTACATCGAGTAGGCAAAAGAAACAAAACATAGATAAAGCATATAAAAAACTATCGTACTAGCACGTTTTTCCTCGTATTAAGATGTCACATTATCAAACGGCTTACAAAACTTAAGACTCGATTTGCTTTAAATTATGAAACGGTAGTGTGGTTGGACAAAGCCTCGAACCCATAAAAGTCCTTTCTGTAATCGAAAATTGAAAGAGGTTTTCCTACTGACGACAAATTCTGCTCTGGTTTTTGGATAAAAATGTCTTTTCATTTATAAACACTGAATACTGAATCGAGTTAACAATTTTGAAAATTTTGAACATCTATTTATGATTCAAGTGTTGAAAAGTTTAAGACCGTGTAAGGAATATGGTGAAAAACTGCAAATAGAAAAAATAGACATTTTACTGCAGGTCCCTGTAAGTAACAGAAAGATTAATTGAGCAGAAATATTAACTGAAAAATGGATTCTACAGCTAAACACAGCGATGTAGCCAACTCACATAACACTCATTCTTTTCCCTATTTCTATAGAAATGAAATGCTTGAAAATGTTCTAGTTTACCCCAAATAATAAACTATTTCTTAGGGAGCTGTGTCAATATTTGTGGCGATTTTCAATGGAAAGCTAAGACTTCGGATCCAAGCAGGAAAATGAAGCTTAACAAGTGGTAAAGTGCTCTCAAGCAACCAACAGAAACTTGTGCTTAATTACGCCCACGACAAAAGCGACTAAGAAATTGTAATACTTGTTATGCTATCTAAAAAAATCTTCCAGATTTTCCACAATTCGTTCAAATTTTGTGAAATCTATCACCATAACTGTTCGATATGTGTCCATGGCAGCATCTCCCAAGGCCCATTGGCCTCCAACAGCAAACCCAGTTGCATTAGTTACTGAATAGCTGAGTGAAAATGAAGATTCCTGAAAAATAAGAATCGCCATACCAACATCAAGAACGTTTACGATAAAAACTGCTAAATAAAAAGGAAAAGAGAATCATCAACATAACAGCAGCAACAGATTACATATACGAGCAGGTGGTAGACAACTTATGCAAGAGACGGGTTCCAAAAATGAACAGGACGAGCCTCATCATGACAATGCAGTACTTTAAACTTAAAACTATAAGTCAAAATGCATCGTGTGAACGGGACTTGCGTCTTAAATCAATTGCCCTTGCAATGACTCGTGAAAATTTCTGTTTTCCTGCGACAGTGCATTAAGGACTAACACTATTAGCCAATCAACTAAGAAGAGTGAGTCGCATGCCTCGAATATCTAGAGTCATAAATGGGAAGTTTCAATGATTGCGATTTTGATTATTTGTTGTGCTCGTGGATTTTCAAAGCAAAAAAGATCTTTAAAACTGATAGAACTAGCAAGGGAAGAGTATTTTTTGTGAGATATAACTTCGGAAGTCTACCAGAATAAGGATCCGAGAAAAGAAACTCCAAGCAGCTGAGAAAAGAGTGGTAAAATTGTTGTGAAGTTTAGGCATGTCCTCTCGCGAATAATTAGGAAAAGTATAGTGGCACGTGATATGTGCAAGGTCACAGGTTAACCTCGTATAGGAAACAATGCATAAACGTGATGGGTCATAGGCCAAGGTCATCAAGGTGTCACCATCACCAAGGTCATCAACAAGGTCATCACAGAAACACACATATAGGCTTAACGAACTATAGTTAGTTGAAGCTAGGAAGCTTCAGGAGAAAGGTCGCAGTGTAAAGGGACGGCCACTTTCTGGCGTAGGCAATTGGAGTGGTAGAAAGTAACTCGCGCAGATATATCAAATAATCGTATACATAAAAGGTAAAATGCAAACGAAGGTGTCTTCGTTGTCTTTGTCCTGGGAATCGAGAGAGAACAGCAATTTTCCAACAACAAGATCTGAGCCTTTTGTTAACTAAGCCTAGTTTTGGACGGTATATGCCATTTTGTTCACTGCACTGAAATATTCAAAACAGTGAAACAGCAAACCCACCTTCTATGGAGAATATATTCAAATGCGGTCTCAAAATTATTAATTAAGCAATCCCAATAACTTAGCTCACGCTAGGCCAAAACAAACAACATTTGGGCCCAACAGTCTATTGGGCCATAGATTTGAAATAGTCTAGCAAACGAGGTGAAATCCGCGAAAAAATTGAGAGTTTTTTAACAATCAAATAAAAGCAGCTTGATTAGCGTTCTGATTTAGTTTTTATCAGCGTAATTATGCATATTAAATTTTATTTATTTGCTTAGATTCGACATGGTTAGTTAATATTTTATATATGTGTAGATGCGTATATATTATTAGCTAAATGCTCGATCGGATAAAAATAAAATTTCAACAATCACAAGGTATCCATAAAAATAGAACGCAATTTGCGCTTTGCAAATATCATCGAGATTATAATTTCAAAACACAGAAAAGGTTATCCAAAAAGCCTTGAAAACAGAACCATTTGCGTCATTACGACACCTGAGCAGAAAGATCATTGGCCAAACAAAACCTTACAAATAGAGAGTCTAATATCGTTTGACAGCTCTGCCAAGACTTACCAATTGTAGACAGATTTTGTACTGAAAATCTTTTGTTTCAGATTCAAAATTTCAAAATATTTACTTGTAAATTTAGTTTCAGATTCCAAATTTCAAGCTACAGCACAAGATCTTCAGAAAATATAGAGATCCAGTACAATTTTGAATATTCAAAGAAGTGATTCTCATACAATGCTCATAGTGTTTAGGATGGAATTTCCATAAATTGAAGATGCAATAAAAATCCCAGTTAGTCCATAACTTTATGATTAATTAGCACACAAAAGTAACAACCACAGCAAAATTTTAGATGACTAGTTCCAAGCAAGTTAAATATTGTCTGGAAGCATGATGCAGCTTGTTTGAACCTTTATGTTCTCAAATGAGGCCTGATTTGTCTTTTAAATGCTATACCACATAAAATGCCTTTGATTTTCAGATCTTGCACTATGCGGTGTTTCAATAGCTAACAGGCCAACTGACAATGTTATGTCAATGTTATTTAGGGTCCTCAATGAAGCTATCAAAAATAGGTAGGGAACATCCAAGACTCAAAATATGCTGAAAAACAATAACTGAAACAGAGCAGCTCCTTAGATGAAAAATGCGAAACAAGAAAAGTCACCTTATAAAAGAGCTCATCTTCTTCGTTGATGAATTGTAACTGCTCTGCAACTTTCTTTTCAGCCTTCAATTTTTTACGTTCTTTTTTCGATGCACTTGATGATGGTCCGTTTTCTGTTGTGTTAATGAGTGGAAGCTCCTTCGCACTAGCCACCTTGACGGACTTGGCAATATAGAGAATATGGTCTACCTCGGTTATGCATCCCTGCACACAGAGATAAGAGCATTGTTTATGCATTCATCGTGAATTCTAGACCACTACATTACCATAGCTCGAAGTCTCAATTCTTGGTAGTGATCATTTAGCCAGCCGTTATATTTAAAAGGGTTTTTGAAACAATTCATAACTTGAAAGTTTGAAATATAACATAAAATTCTTCCATTTGGTGATGAATTTGACTTTGAATCAGCAACTTGCTTAATTCGAATCTAAAAAATAGTCGATTTCGCAGGGCATTAAGAAGAATTTTTTGCAGAGCAGGAACTTAGGCTCTGAAGTTCGTAAAGAGCCCGTTTAGGAATTCTGAAATAGATATTCGCGATGATCTTCCCTTCCTGACATTGCATTCAAGCTAACGAAAAATGCAACAATGATTGATGCATATGTTTAGTGTAAGTTTGAGTCCACATAAAGCAACTTAAGTTGTAAATCGTTTCGTGACAGGTACAGGGCAGGGTGGGAGGGGTAGGGGTAGCTGAAGCTAAGCTTAAGTCAAGATAAGAATTTTTTACCGTTGTTTTTATTACTTTTTAAAAAAGTGTACGAAAAAGGAGAACAAATTGTTTAGATATCGATATTGTTTGGTTTATTTAGTAACTTATTTACGTCGATGTGCAATCAGAAACGAAAGGTCACAATTTCTTTTCCCAACATCTGTCATTTGAGTTTTAGCAAGACATCTCCCCTCCTCGATTTTTCCTAATAAACAATAATCAGTGTTTTTTGAGAACCGTCGAATTGTCTATCCTAAGCGGTATAGTATTTTGCTTGATTTTGGCCTGGGAGATGCTTTTTTAGCCCTTCTACAAGTTGCAATTTCAAAAATTTTCTTTTGGTTCGGACCAAACCATGGTGGGTCCTCCTACCTTACTAAACTTGATACTTACGCCCCCAGGTTCAGAATTGTGGCGTCGCCCCTATCATGTAGCCGAAAAACACATGCACTTTCCCCCCTCCCTCCCCCCATGAGATGTAAGCTTTATTGCAAAGAAAAATCAAATTTTAAATCACGTTGATCAATGAATATTTCATCGGCATTTAAGTTTTAAATTTGTTTTTTTGCTTATAAATTTATCCTTGGTAAAGTAAAATGTACATTGGTAAAGCTTTGATTAGCATCCTATAGACATAACTGCCCTAATATGCCCTTTAATTTAGAATACCAGTATTCTCTTCAAGAATCACACAACTGCGCATTCTTTATTCTCTGACACAGAAAATCGTGACATTGAGCAGGCGCAATGTTGATAAATAAGATAAAAACCTGTATAGAGACTTCTTAACGCGAAGTGAACATGAAATGTTTTCTAGTGAACAAAAGATCCCGAAAAAGGTTCCAATCTTCCCTACATGCGCAGCAGCAAAACCCGCCTACTCCTTTTGTTTTAAAAACTGCAAATTTCGCCTTTTCGTCACAGCGGTTCAGCCCCTTTTCATCAAAAAGTTGACTGCGCATAGACAACAATAGTGTGGAGCTCTTCCCACGTTATAAATATTTCACCCGCAATAATTTATCCGCTACAATATCCTTTAAGATATTACACGCCCATTGTATACAGGTTCTCTGGCCTTAATTACATCAAAATAATATTGTGTACAGTACGATTGAAGGGGAGCAGGTCATTGTTACAGCAACGAATCCCCTCTCCTATCCTCTTCCTTGTTTACATACATACAGGAGGTTCCTTGGAAAAGCAGAAGCAATTTCTTTCTTAAGTTGTTGATCAACTGCAGAGCCCACCAAAAATACACTTAGCATAAAAAACATGCCACAGCATACTTTTCAGCATTTGGCGAGTTTCTCTAGAGGCCAAGAACGGCTAAACAATCCGAGAAATGAGAAATAAATTCAAGTTGGTTTTTGAAATTCAAAAGAGAGAGACTGGTGAACAGCTGACATGAACAGACGGTTGTAGAAACAGTTTATATAGAGAATTCTTGGTTGAAAGGGGAGGTTCTTCTGCCGCAAGCAAATTTCATACTGTGAAATAAATTGATAAGGTGGCTAAATTTAGCTTCCATTGTCACAAATTTTCGCATTTTGTCGTTGAGGTCACGAAGATTTGATCAGAGCAAATTATCGAAAGATCAGAGCAAATGAAGCCAAATGTCTCTATATTTTCTTAAAAATATTCACAAAGTCACGATTCTATACTTTAAAATAATTTGTTAACTATCGGAATTTATTTTGAAAATTTTGTCGTCTGGTTTAATTATAAAGGAAAAGAACTAACCTGCTTTTTTGCTTCTTTTATCTCAGAGCTGGGAAGAAAGAAGAACAAACGTTTGCTATCAAAAAAGTTTTTAAGGAAAGCTTGAAGATTTTGGCATGCAATGCCAGTCGTGTTGTATAAATTTACTGTTTACTAGAATTTCTATAATATTTCGGGACATTTTGTTTGACTGTGTATGGTTTCTGTGATGCTAAAATAGTTTTTCTTGTTAGGGCAACGCTTTACGGATTGTGCGTTTATGGCGATAAAAAATGTATTAGCATATCATCAAAAATGTCCTATTAAAGTGAAAATTTAAAAGACGAATGATTGCAAACGCGCTTTTAAATGCCAAAAAAGGCTCAAGCGCAAATGTGACAATATTTGACCTGACAACGTATGGGTAAATTGATGCGAACAAACAATTTCAAAAAATTTCGTTCAATCTATTACTTAAAGATTGTATTGGAATTAGTTGAGTCTTAGCTGGATAAAAATGAAGGACACGCAAGAGGTTTAGCCAAATCAGGAAGTCTACCTCAGCGACTGTAGCATCGGTACAGAAACCTCTCCAGGTATGTTGATGAATCTTTCGTTGAGAAGCAAGGAAACATTGCATTCTAGCAATTCAGAAAACTCGCTTAATTGTTTCTTCGGTGACTGCTTCAATTTTTCTTTGAGGAATATAATGAGCTCTTTGGCCATGTTTTCTCTCTAAAGTTGTTAAAAAATGAAACCAAATGCATCAACATAAAAACTTAACAAAAGCGGATGCAAATATGCAAGGCATCGATACAGGAAATAATAAGCAGGATTTGGACTTGGAAATGAGAACTAGGTTTTATACTGCTTTAATCATTTATGGTACTTGAAAGCCTTGCAAAGGACGGAGAAACATCTTCCGTGCCCGCAAAGAAAAGTTAAAAGCTAAGGCAAAAAACAGAAAATTGGATTCTCTCTATTAGCACATTTGAATTTTGCACTTTCAGCAGTGTTAACACATTATAAGACGGTAGACTTGATGTTAAAATTCTTTCAGCATTTCAAAATTTCTTTCAGACCCCTCTTGCTTTAGTATTCGCCCACTACCCTTAAGAGCATATAAACGAGTTTAAAAGTCTTAAACATACACGGACGAAAACTATTCAGGTCATAAAACTACGGTCATTTCTAGTAAATTGAAGAGAATGCCATGAAAGTGCAAGTCAATTTTTGAAGAAGTGGCCTTGTTTCTAATCCCTGTCAGGGAAACTAGAACGATAACGAAATTTAGGATGAACTAATAAAGAAATTTACATTTAGTCGAAAACCAGTACAAACCTCTTTGTCAGCATTCAGGTCGATGAGTGAACAAAGTCCATACACAGTACCTTCTTCATCTTCAACGACCTAAAGATGAAACAGACTCTAAGATGAAACGAAAACTTCAATACGTAATTTATAATTTGGGACAAAGACTAAAATACCATGCGAATAAGTTCCGTATAAACTTTCTTGAGCAACAAAGCACTTATGAACTGGGTTTTTTAAAAGAACACCAAAGAGCAAGTTGATAAAATGAAAAAAGCGACGTAAGAATATGCTATGCATCAGTTGAAAAATTCAAATAAATAATTAGTTCACTTTTTCACTTTGATCACTTTTTCTAATGCTATAAATCGTGCTACTAAAATGACATGAATAATTATTATTCATTGGTATCAGAAATAACATATAGTTTGTATGTTGTAAAAAAATTGAGTTGAAATAAGACAATCTTAAGAACACCTGAGCATTAAAATCATCTAAAAATTAAGAATATCCTGCATTAAAATCATCTATAAATTAAGAACATAGTTTTTATAAAAAACAGCTTAAAAGTGAACAACACAATTACTTTACCAATGATGCCCAACTATATCATAATGGTAAAAATTTTCATTATAGTTTGAAAATATGCCGCACCATTTTTGACAATTTATTATTTCTATAGTGAAGATCAATATTATTATTTTATGATACCCTTTTCAAGCTCGTCTGGTACCTTTCACTGCATTATGTCTTTGAAAATTTCCTGGCAAATATTGACAACAAACATTTAAATCCAAAATTTGCAATATGCATGCAAAGAATCAGACAACTTTCTAACGAGATTCAAGTTTTTAACTCTCAACCCATTCCTGAAATACCCTATCAGAATAGATACAATATTAACAGCAAAACTTTTGTTTATGCTTGCAAACTTTTGCTCACAAAATAGCTCCTATGATACCAGAAATTAGAAGGCCTTAATTTTTCTTCTTTTTCACCTTAAATACAGTAAAGAAATAAATTTCATTTGGAACAAGTTTTAAGGACTTTCTTGACACACCGTTTAAAGGGACTACAATGTAAGGATAATAAATGAATATTTTTACCAAGATTCTATTGATATTTTTGGCACTATGCGTCACAAATGTTCATGACTCCATCATTTTTACATTCAAGCCTTCCTAAATTGAATTCAACTTTCTGAACATGCATTTCAACTTCTGACCATTGCATATAAGTGGTCAGGTTTTGTTAACATCAAGCTGCGATGCAAGACTTGTTTTAGAAGACAGGCTTTTAAAAGATATGCAAACTGATATCTTAGAATTTATTGTGATGGCACCTTGAAGCATCGAGTCAATCATTTAAAAAGATTTATAACATTGGTATGGCTGCCAATTAAAATCCTCAGGGGAAATAAAAATAAATAGTTCAAAGGAAGCAGGGAAAAGCGAAAACAAGAAGTACTTTTTGTCCTCAAAATATAAACATTGTGACTAGGAAAGAAGAAATACATTTTTACATATTTTGGCTACACATTTTTTATCAGGTATTAATGTTATTTTGGCTTGTTTATAAAGTTTATCACAGAGACAAAATTACAGTGATTTGGTTGGGGAAGCATCTGTACTCATATGACCATTTCTTAGCCAATATATAACAAATTTAGCTGATTTGGATACTTTGGAGATATCTGAGTTTATGGTAAATAGCTCTGTTGCGGTGACTGCAGAGCAATAAAGGGTGTTAGCAAGGGCTTTTTTGTAGTGAAAATCCTAGAATATTAATTGTCTTAGTTTAACATTTCAATACCTAGGCTGCCAATTAAAAGTTGGAAGGATCTTGAATGCTTGCAAGAGATGCTGTTTCTGAAGTCACCATTGCTTGTCTCATAATAAAATACTGTCTGAAAACTATACCGGCTAAATTATTTGAGCACCTGGCTTGCCAAAACATGTTTTTTAATCTGAGTTCTGCATTTATTGTAAATGAAAATGGAATGACATCTAATTGTGACAACTTCAAATTGCTTAATTGTTCTCATTTTCTAATGGGGGCCCCCAAACTGGGTAAAGTTAATGATCTGGTGTGTAATATTTTGCAGAGTGCATATAACAAAATATAATTTACCAGCTTTTGTAGAGATGTAGTGACCTTAGATCAGGCCTTGCCCGGAAAGGTGCTCGATCAAGCGCGCGCGCCTAGAGCGCACCCAAAAAAAGCCTTGGAGAGCGATTTATAGAGCCCCTCAAAACGTAAAAACAATATTAACACGGAGCAAAATAAATTTTTGGAATTTTTTGAATCAACTTGATCAAGCATAAACAATCTTCCCAACCGACTGCAATATTATGATTTGCGTAAGATTACCCCTTGAGAAAAAATTCAGCAAATTCAACGTTGGGTTTTCGATACCATTTTTAATCTAATAACCCTCTAATAACCATCAAGGACACAGGCCATCAAGCATATTCTCCGGCAGATTTATTCGATTTTCGAGCAAGCGTTAATCTTCTGTTGAAGTATATATTATTTTCTGTTTTTTTAATAACTTGAAATCGCCTGTGCAAATCAGCGATCGCGTTTCCGTCCAAATTACCAAATTATTCTCATTTTTCATTTGCTTTTGCGAGTAGTAGATGCTCTAGCGTTTCTTATAGAATGGAAAACATGAAAAAAGGAAACAAAGTTAAATGTTCGATTTAAAGCGATGCGTTTTGATGAAGCAATATGTGAAGCTGAACATAACAGTAGTGATACTGACAGTGATAAAAGCTCATCAATGATGGCAACTTACATATCTAGAAAAATCTGAACAATTTTGCGCCTTTGTTCTATTATATTTCTATATTTATATTAACATAGTGCTTGTTGCATGTTTTGTTATTTCATATTATGGTGCTTTCTGGTATCACCGTTGAATTTCATATTTAATATTCTTCCGAAGCTTTCGATATGAAGCTCTCGATCTCCTAAAGCTCTCGAAGGATGCTCTCAAGGAAATTTACTTAGAGGTGCGAAATAGAGCGCCTAGAGTTTCTAAGGGGCACTTTTTATGGAGCACCTTCATTTTACTTAGAGCAAGGCTTGTTAGATGTCTTACCTTCAATGTACTTCCGATACTGGTTTGAGACACAATCACATCAGCCATCTTAGTGAGGTTTACAGGTAAAGTAACCATCAACTGAAAACAATTTAAGGAAAATTTAACAACTTTGCTATATAACCCATTTGAGCAGGACCAACAAACTAGGATCCTGGGGCCATGGTCCTCAATTTACTTAAGAACAAAATTAATTTTTTATTAAAAGGTAAAAAGAAATGTAGTCTGCCATTCTATAAGTTCTTTGCTTAATATTCTCTTAAACATTCCTAAGCTTAATGGTCTTAACCACTTAGACATGAGAATTTTAAGTTGTGTTTAATTTATGTTTGAGTTGTGCATTACATGTTACACTGTACAAGTAGCAGATTTAAAAAAAATTAATCTCAACTATAAACCATTGGAAAATGTTTGGAATGCTTGCTGGGCTTAGTATAAAGATGGAGAAACTTGCTTCAGAATATCTGCGCCAAAGCCCTTTGATAGAGTTTCATATTTTCTGTGGCCTAGACTATCACAAGGTCTATTTGTTAACATAGAAATTTCTCAAAACATTACAGAAATAGAGAATGCCTGCTGTTGAGTTGAGTGTCCCAGCTGGAGAAGAAACTGTATTATAAAAACTAAAACTGTAAAACTGTAAGAATATCTTGTGGTAGCAGGAGATTCAAATAGGGATAAACCATACTACCTTTTCTGGCCAAAAGAACTATCCAGCTATTTACTTCGAAGTTCTAGAGGCAATTATAATAAATCAATGTTTGAGAATTGTTTAAATCTAGAGTCATCCCTTTCTATTTTCTATTTTGTTGACATAGTTATTATATTTAATTGTTAGATTGTGTCTGATCTATTTCGCTTCTCCAGCATATTTTGGCTCCTTATTTACTGTACTATTTGATAATTCCCTGCACTAAAAAGGTTATTCCAAAACTCTGCAAAACCTTTATTATTTTAGGTAAATACTGAAATAGATAAAACTTCTGGACAAAGTGAAAAAAAATAGCTTGAACATATTGCCTCAGATTTTCCTTGGTCATAACAACCAAGTTCAGATGCGGTTTCTAGCCATCCTTAGAGCACCATATTTTAAAAAAGATTTTATTGCCACCATCACCAACCATTGTGACAGCCTTTGCTAACCCCTTCATCAACAATAAATACCCTCTGGGCCCTTCATTTTCAAATACGTTTCGCCAGCTCTGCAGGGAGACTATCTGCTAACAAACATGTAAATTCATAACATTCGATCATGCTTTTTCATATCACAATATACTTGTTTTACTAATGAATATTCCCTTCTTTGGCCTTACCTGTTGTAACAGCATTTTGATGCCATGGAAATCTTGTGCTGTGATGGCTTTTCCTTCAAATTCTAAACCAATCTCCTGTTCAAATTAAGAGGACATTCTTGTTATTTTCGAGTTCTAAGAGAAAGAAAATTTCAAAATCGTCAAATATCCTAACCGGCTCATTCTTAATCTTACATTGGCGTTTTTTCGATCTAAAGTTGGATTAAGCTGAACCTGGTAATTTACTATTTGCTACACTATTATTGCGAGCTTAAAGAATAGTGCGACAACTCAACGTTTTAATATTGACACATGTATCTAGGTAATTTAAAAATGTAAGTAAACAAAACAATAACAATTTGATTACCCGATTTTCTGATTCATCCTCTTCCTCCGAAATTGTTGATTCATCTGAGCTGCTTTTTTCACTACTTTGAGAACTTTCGTCCTCTTCGGTTTTCTTTTTTTTCTCACTAGGCTCATCACTCTTTATTCCAAAGCCAACTTTGTGTTTGGAAGCCATTTTTACACCAATGTGTTCTTGATTGCAGCCTCGAGCACACACGCCAAAATTCTCAGATGAGGCTATGCTCTCTATCACTGCTCTCAACACTGAATTACTTTTGTTGAAAGAACTGCCAAAGATGCCAACTTGCCCCATTTAGTTTCTCACGAAATTCATTATTAACTTGAAGCTTTAAAAACATGTCTGGCGCCCCTTTTCTTAAACTTGTGCGCCCCTTTAGAAGAATGAGAATCTGGTGAAAAAGGTTCTAAGGTTCCTATAGGTTAATTTACTTCAAGAATTACCAGTTAGCTTGTTAAATCCAAAACTGGATCATGTTTTGCTAAAAAAATGCCTCTTTCGAAGACAATTAAAGTTATCCATAAAGTTGTGCTCTCTAACTCAAACAGTGTTCAATTTCTTGCGCTTAAAAGTTGTCCAATCTTCATGCTATTAATCAAACCAAATAGAACTATGGTGCATAATTATGATAGAATTTACAACATCGACTGAGAACCAAGGATCATCCCAGACCCATTTTCCGGATATCTCTGGAATGTCATACAGTCAAACCTCTAATAGCGACCACCTCCGATTAGCGGCTACCTCCCAATAGCGGGCAAAGACCTTCAGTCCCAAACATTTGTGAACGATTTTAGTAAGCCTCCGAATTACGCCCACTTCTCATTAACGGCCGCTAGGCCTTGGATCTTAAAGAGGCCGCAATTAGAGGTTCGACTGTAGTTGCAAAACATTTTCTGCCACCAACCATAGTGGCCGCCTTCGCCAAACTATGCATAATCAATCTTACCTTTCTTAACGATGACGTACTATTGAATTTCAGGTGCATTCATTTCAAGTACTGTCTAACTATATAGCCATATTCCAACTGAAAATGAAACCAAAAGCAGCAAATTTTTTGGGCCTCTACATACATCGATACTACGTACTTTAAGAGTCGTAAAGCTCCAGAGATCTTCTTTGTATACCTTTAACATTGCTTTTCTTTTTTAGGTTATCAGCAATCATTAAACTTATTTTGATCCACAACTGGGTACATATATTTCCTAGCCTAGAGTTTTCGATCTAATGTTATGATATTTTATACTCCGAAAAGTGTCAGACGAAAGCTTTGGTGGCATGCATCAATTCATTTCCTTTTTTTTAAAGCCATTTTTAAAATGATAGAATGCCAATTGCTTATAGGGGCTTGTTGAACTTAATTGCCCATACCATTGCTCTGTCTAAGGCTCATGGAGGATCTCTACGCAACAAACTCTAGACAAATTGCAAAGTAAGGCCATTCGAGCAAAAGAAATAGAGCATGCGATGAGCCAGCTGAGCCTTTACTAAAAGTATCACACCTGCCTATACTAGTATTTTTGATATGATCAAACAGGAAGCCAAAAGCATGGTAAATAAAGCATTGAATGCCATCTTCTATAGCGAATAAAACTTCACGCAACTCTGATTTGAATTTAAGACATCCGAAAAAGCATGGACAAAACTGCTTCGTCTACAATGGGACAACAATTTGGAACTCTTCACCTAGAGAAAAATTCCTTCAGGACATTTAGCTTATTCCACAGAAAACTATAAGGCATACTTGCAGAAATTTCTTTTGGCTTACTGATTACCGATGTATAATATATATATGTAATAAGTTTCATTTTTTACAGAAAAGTACAATTAACATTTTCTACACTCTTTTTTTATAAGAACCAGCAAGTTTAAGTTCATGCTGACTGTTCTTAATTTTTTCGAAAATCTGAGGCTGGATTGCTCTTAATTTGTTCTTTATTTAATAGGGTGTAAGCTAGCTTTTTCGCTCTAGGGAGGTAGTCAGGTCTTGTTTGCTGACAAAGTGAGCGAGACAGCCTTCATTTACCGATGCATTATGCACTCCCACACGGCTAAAAATCCTTGATTTTGAGAGAAAACGTTGTTCAAAAATGCATTTTGCAGAAGCTCAGCCTCAGCTTGTTCTTAATTTGTTCTTTAATTAACAGGATGAAGCAGTGCGATTACTGGCTTTTTCGCTCTAGGGAGGTTGTCAGGCCTCAATTTCCAACAAAGTGAGTGAGTTCCTTCATTTTCTGACAGGTTTGAATATTCAACAAAAAAGCACACACACATTGCTAAAAATCCTTGATTATGAGATAAAAGATTGTTCAAAATTGCATTTTGCAGAAGCTCAGCCTCAGCTTGTTCTTAATTTGTTCTTAACTTTTGACCAATTTTAAGGCTCATGTTCTTATAAAATATCAATCTTCAGTTTTCGGTATGGCCCGTTGTAAAACAGACCTGACTAGTCAGTTGAACAAATACTTAAAATGAGCGAATTGAAAGCCTACCTGATGGGGCTTCAGGCAGAAAACAATTTCCGAGCTACTCTCAAAGTACCTTGCTGTTCTAGAAATGCTTGTATTTATAGTAGCTGATGCCAATTGTTGCCCAAGACGTGATGCGAGTTCAGTACTTCGATCGCGTCTTATTCATAACATCGAACCATCTAGACTTCGGCGGAAGAATCCTGACATTAATAGATGCAAAAACACAGAAACCTACAAAACAAAAACTAGAAACATTTATATAATGTCAACCATACACAGATGGCCAGGTTATATTTCCGATCGAAAGAAGAAGAATATGGTCAATTTAATCAAAGAAAGGCAATCTATCAGGAATTATCTATGGTGGTCAGTAGATGGATTCTTGAAAAATTGTCATTACAAGTGCAACAATAACCACACAGTAGACATTCCGCAGAAAGGTCTGAAGAAACTAGAGAATATTCATAAAAATCTTGGGATACAAATGGAAGAGCAGACACATAAGAATATTTCAAGCAGGGATTAAAATAAAAAGTGAAATTATGATTGGCATTTGATGTGAAACCCTTCCCTCCCAGTATAGTATTGTTTGATCACGGGTGTAGTGCTATCGAAATAACAAGAGGGGCTCTTGCGGAAAAAGCTGCGAAAAATAATAGCAAAAGTATAAATTGGCTACTTTTCGACATTAACAAGGGGGCTCAGCCCCCTTGAGCCCCCTTGAGCCCCCTAGCACTACATTCCTGCGCTTGATATAAAAAATTGAGTTATCCAAAGACCACCAATTAGACATAAAGAAAACACGATAGTTTTAATAATGCAACGCCCCATATCCAAACCGAATTAGATTGCAGAAACGTAGGTTATTGAATTGGAAGTGAAGACGCAAGATAGAAGCTACTGAATGGCTCTTTTGAGGAAAAAAAACTTTGAGGGATGAGGTAACATCATTTTGGTAATTTATTTTAGAAAGCAATACCAAATGCAAAATAATAATTAAGAAATAGCTATGAGCTAGAAACAACGAACTGTTGTCATCTGTGCGCAGTACACGGAACCGAGGCTGTGTGATAAAATGTGACACGTTTCAATCGTAGAGAATGACTACGATGAAGTTATTCTGACACAGAACTGGTTGCTTGTAGCTTGCAGTTGATGAAGAAACACGTCTAGGTTGCCATAAATTTAGCAGTGTAAAATTAAGCTCATGGCAGTAATTTAACTTCCAGAAAATAAGTTCAAAAAATAAGTTATAATAGATACGATAGACGATTTCCAAGTACCTACAAATGATATCTTTTGTCAATTATTGCATGCAGAAATTTTGTCTTTACGGCCTTGCTCTAATATCAATTATGTTGGAAAGCCTTACTTTCATAAAAACACCACTGTGCAAACATTTCGCAAATGGCAGAATAAAAGCCACATTTCACTTCTTGGCAGAGCGTATCTAAATCTTTTTTGAAATTGTACATGCATTGACTCCTTGTTGTTAATTGTATGTATATTGTATGCTACTGGAAACAAATGGACCTATTACTGAGATGAAACTTGAAAGTGTTGCAGCATTTTTGGATGGTCTATGTAAAAAATTTCAGAAATATCAATCCATCATGCTTTCTCGAAAAGTTCTCATGTTATATCAGCTCATAAAAATAACAGTAGACATGTTCAACAACAAGCCTGACTTCTAATTTTCATTTCACTGTGAACAGCAGCTCATTTTGTTCGATCGATTGACCGGAAAAGTATAACAGAGAGGTTACCTCAAGGTTACCTCTTAAAGCCTTTATTTTCTAAGGAAAAATCAATGAAATTGTTGAAAATACTCTTTTCATAATAAAATTTTTTGCTAATAACACTATATGGTATCTCGCTTTTTCCAATGTTGGAAATCCATCAGAACGGCTGATGAACCAAATAGAGAACCCAGCATAAATAGCCTTTGTGAGTGGCAGTGGTAGCGGCAGTTCGATTCTCGTGAAGACTGGAGAGTTTATCCGTTCTTCGAAGAGAAAGGCAATACAATCCTCTGCAGTTGAGGAGATGTTTGAGAAGACTGGCTCCAAAAGTTACCATAAGAAGACACCATTTAAGCAAGGAGAGACATGGGTTTAATCAAATACTTTTCTACATTTCCAGCCTCCTTGTTCAAAATTTTATTGTACACAGTTTAGGTCGTTAGTGCAAATATGGACCAATCCTGTGAAGAAATGTCTGTCTCCAAATAATCTCATAATGATTCAGCATTCAAGGGAAACTATTAGTAGCAAAAAGGCCAAACAGGGGATGGATTTCCATGTTTATGAAAGAGTAGGCTTACTGCGATTACTGTGAAAACTGCGATTAGAAATTATTCCACTTCATTGGAATACAAGTTATTTCATCTCGGATATATAACCATTTTGTCTGTGCCCTATTTGTCTACTTGGATTGGGGAATTAATGAAATTAGCTTTCTTTTCTTTATGCTCAAAAGTACAAAGGAAGCCCTCGGGAAGAATTTATCAAAAACATTAGACAAAAAGTAGAAAAGGGCGGCTGTTTGCAAAACAATTTCGAGTCCTAATGAACAGTGTGAATATCAACAAGAAGGAATAGCTAAAATGTTAATGTTTCTGTTTTACCAAGATTCGGAAATGGCACAGCCTGCATTTACTCCGATGTTCAACTGTTTTTACTCCCCCACCATAAGGGCCCATAAGGGGCAGATCCAAGAATCAAATCTGGGTGTCATCATAGCGGGATTGACCGGTTGAAGAAGATCAGTTTTAGATTATGAGAACCGATGGCTACCAGTAGGGCAGCATGCCCCCATAAATAAACTGCTGCTCCGCATAAAAGAAAAGCATGTTTTCAATTACCTGAGTTTTGGCAAGCTACTCCAGTTTAGCACTCAAATAGTTTGAATTCAAATAAAGACGAAGATTTTCCTGGCGTGGAATCATATATTCAATATAGAGTTTCATTTCTATCTAATAAAAAAGGTCTTAATACATAGGAATATTCGATACTGTATGAGAGAATTACCAAGTTGTTTAGGTCGAAGGAGCAAATCTCGATATCAGGGGCCTAAGGGAAGGAATGCCACAGCAGGTATTGCTGCCAATATGGCATGTCATTGCAATGTTCAATCTAAAAGAGTGGAGAAACGAAATTTCTCAGCGCAAGCTTCGTGATAAAGTTGTTAAACCTCATTTACAGAGCAGAAACAACGAAAATCTTGTTGTCATGCGTGTACATGTATGTCTGAAATCGATGCCACGTCAATCGGCAGCCAAAAAACGAGAGGTTTGAGGACATTTTGTTATAAATGAGATTTGGTGCGTGACCTTTCATTTAGCTACTTCTTCTTGACATTCTTTTGCTCCTACCGCGCGACCGTAAATTTCAGCCATAACTACTCCACGTACCGTTTACGCAGTAATTTCTAAATAATTTGGAACTTTTTCTAATTCTAATCCAGCTTGGAAATGGAATCGAATTTCAGTGGTAACGTATAAGGGTTTGGTCTTAAGGGAACAAATCTCTCGCCGTCCCGATCCAGATGTCGTTATTTCTACTTTACATAAACGAGGTATTGCTGATTTGATCGGCTGATTCATACGGATACGTTTAACGAATTAAATCCTTATTTTGGTCCCCGATTACAAGCCGCCAACTGAAAGGCAACTATCTGGCAGGAGAAGTCTCTACTTTAATGACACGTTTACTGCTTTGCAGCTGGTAAAAAACTCGCCTTCGCCCACCCGACAAAGCAACACAGTTTTACCACTTCTTGTACAAATAGCTTATAGAATGAAAAAACATTAAACAGCATGAATACTCTACACGTCTTTAGACTTCGATACATGATCACCACAAAATGATTCTCTGGCCTCCATGTAATGTAGGCTGCGAATGAGTGGGGAATCGCCCATCTCAGTTTACACTGGGATGTAGCAATAGCCATTTATCAGATCCTAATCTTTATTAACAAATAAATTTAAAATCATTATGTTCTGGCCTCATAAAGTTGATAAAAAGATTGTAACATCATCAACTTTTAAGGCCATTAATAAGTAATACCATCACCGTACTATATAAGGCCATTAATTAGTGATATAATCACACGGTCATATCTATTTGAATGTCGAAGCAGTCTTTTCTCTGCTTGTCTTACTGATTAAAAGGCACGTCTCCCACAACTCCTTGCTTATACTTTCGAATCAAATTCCCACGGATTCGATAGCCAGATTCGATGGCCAGATTCGAAGACCAGATTCGATGGCCAGATTCGATGGCCAGATTCGATGGCCAGATTTGATGGCCAGATTCGATGGCCAGATTCGAAGACCAGATTCGATGGCCAGATTCGATGGCCAGATTCGAAGACCAGATTCGATGGCCAGATTCGATGGCCTGATTCGATGGCCGGATTCGATGGCCAGATTCGATGGCCAGATTCGATGGCCAGATTCGATGGCCAGATTCGATGGCCAGATTCGATGGCCAGCAATTATAGCAGCATGGTTATCAGTCCAGATCTTTCAGGTTATTGGCAAATCGCGTTGACAATCCTTAGGAACAATACCTGAATTTTTGATTTAACGATCTTGATGAGCTGGTTCTCTACTACCTTGACGTTCCATTTCTTAGAGGTTTTTTCTCGTCTGCAAATCCATTGACACAGTCAGTCTCGAACTTTTCCCCCTCTACAGGCTCCTTCGCTAAAACCGTTTCTCTGTAAGCCGACTGGGCCTGTGACGCCAATGTAGATCTGGCCGACATCGCTCTCTCCGATCTCGTTTCATACCTCGCAAACCGCCCGCAAGTCATAAATTTATAAAACAGCTTTTTGAAAGCTCTTCGGTAATCTGAGTTTCTGTAAGCGTATATAATCGGATTCATTGTGCTGTTCGAATAATGTAAGTACTTCACAGCCGGTATGAGCTTTGAGAAACTCGCACTCCAACACGAGCAATACTCAGCTAGGAGATTAAAGAGAAAGAAGGGAAACCAGCATAGGAGAAATAGGATAATGACTATTCCAATCATGGCAGCTAGACGAACCTCGTACCTGAGTGTATGATGGAAGCTTTCTCGTGTCTTCACCGAGTGAAATATTGTTACATAGGAAAAGATGATAATCATTGTGGGAATAACAAAGGTTATGATAACCAACATTAAAATTAGATGTCTAGTTCGTGTCAAAGCGGGTAGCGCAAAACCAAACAGCACTGCAAGAATTATTGATATGATCCAAACAGATGCAATGCCACCATGAATTATGGGTCTATTACGGGACAAATTCCGGTGCTTCGCAGGAAATTTAACGGCAATTGTTCTTTCTACACTAATCAGAGTAAGGTTAAGAATTGAAGCTGCTCCGCAGAGGATGTCAAAAGCCATATAGACTGTTCCAGCTGTCTCAGAATATTGAATAGTTCCTGAAGAGAAATAAAATTGATGAGAGTTTATTGCACAAAGATGAAATTAAAACACAACAAGGAAAACATTACAGGGCCACAGAGCGCCGTTTTATCGTCAAATTTGAGAAAAGAAATTTATATAAATACTGCTGTTATCACTTTCAAAACTATTTATGCATGGGAAAACAGGAACTTAGGTAAATAGTAACACTATTAATGCTACATGTAATGTTCTATTTTCTAAATGTGACATCACTGACGATGACACAGTTGAAGACATGAGAAGTCGGAAAACATCATCTCCGTTTTGTAAGAAGGATACCTATTAATCAAGGCTCACTGTTGATCTTATTTTCAGATAAACTGGTGTATTAGACCACCCGAGATCAGAGAAGCGAGAACATTGCAATCGATTAAGTTCTTAGACATTAAATCAGAGGATCTCGGGAATTTTAGAAAGAGAATACGCTATCAGCTTTATCATTAATTTGTTTATTTTCAAAGCGAAACATGGATATGAAAAACCTCGTAAAGTATTCTAATCTAAAACTGATGAAATGAATAATTGATAAGAAAAATCTCACTCTCTAAAACTAATAGTTTCTCAGTAAATGCAGACCAGTTTTCTCCGTAAACGATCGCTAAAACGACTCCCGCTTTTCTTTTTCAATAAACGCAAAGGCAACATCAAAACATTGGCAACATCAGCTTTACTAGCGCAACCCTGGAAAAATAACTATGAGAGTTGTGCCCAATTACGTTCTCTTTGAACATCTAATACAGTTAAACCAAAGTTATTATCGCCCGAGTAACATCTATCACTATGATAAAAAATAAGGACGGGGCTAGCAATTCACTTTTTGAGTATATGACAGATAAAGTTTTGGACAAAGATTAACTTAAAATATCACTTGCTTTGGCAAGAAAGTTTGTCAAAGTTGTGGAGGGGGTTCTGAGGTGGAGGGGGTTAATTTTGCTGCTAGAAACAAAATTTGTTTCAAAGCCCTGTTCCGTGTATTAGTGGTACGAAACGTGATGCAACATACAGTTTAAGGATTGCTGAAAAATAGGCCTACCCGTCCAATAAATGTTTCAGGTCTATCACAAACAAGATCATGTTATCATTTGCAAACAGTTTTTGGTTGTAAAAAAATGAAAAAATGGGCCTTGAAAAAGCAAAAATTAACTTTTCATCGGAATCATTTACAAAGAGTCTTCCGAAAATTCTACATAGCTACTTACCGGTTCTTATGCAAAGCCAGAACGACATCGAAAATGTACCAACCAATATGTCCGATAATGCTAGATTGATGACAAAATAATTTGTCACTGTTCTGAGCTGACGGTCAACACTGGAGAAAGCTAGGCATACCATGCTGTTGCCGAAGATGATAACGATCATCAAAAAGACAAGAAAGGTTATCTCGATAGCTCCAGCTTTGGTATACGACTGGGGAAAGGAGCTTCTCATCGTTTCATTTAACACAGTCAAGTTGTAGATAGACGATGTAAGGTTGCTATTCGACGTGAAGTTTGTGTAGTTTGTGGACGACATTGTGGCAGAGTCGGGAGAAACTACCAAAACAGCTGTAAAAAAGAGATGGATCAGTTTGAGTGAAATGCGCTTTAAATCCATTTACAATGATAAATGATACACCATCAAACATGGACATCTAAACTAAAGGACATGTTTTGCTATAGCACGCATTCGTAGGTGCCCAGCCGTTGGTTGGTTTTAAAGGGCTAGAAGATAAGTCACGTGATATTTCAACGACTGGTTACAAGCAACCAATTAACCAATTGGTGATAAAGATCATATAGCAACAATGACCTTTTTCTTAAAAGAAAAAATATCAAGGAGATATTAATTTCATTTTCTTAATTGGCCCGTCATATAGTTTTTGCTTAATGTTAATGTGAAGGATGTTCAGAAAAAAGTGAATAGTTTTGGCAAGTAAGAACGTTGCTTCATTCCTTGCAAAGCAACATGCTGTTCTTTGCTATTGTTTCACAAAAACAGCACTTTTACAAATTGACGCGTGTCGCTCTGATAGCCATAGCATCAACTGGGATGAGTGAGGAGACTTGGCTGAGGTATAAACACATGACGAATATTCATAATCCCGTGGTTTATGCCACTCTTAAAGACCAAGTATGGCTGCAAAGTATAAGCCTAGATGCCATTTTCCCAAATCCTATTAACGAAAAGGTTAAGAAAAAACACCTCGGTTTCCATATAGGCAAAATCTTGCATTTAGCGCGAGTAAACAACGCATCAGCTTGAAGGAAAACAAATTTTGACCACATTTGGTGCAATTAGGTATTTTGAAATGGGCTGAATTTTATATGATTAATCTGTATTAGAAAATGTATGAAAATCTTACAACTATCACCAACCTAATAACCAAACACAGCCATAAACAACACCGTCATTCAATACACGGTCATCAACAAAACCGCCATCAAAAACATCGCCATTCCCAATGCCACCATCAATAACATCACAATTCACAACATCGGCATCAACACAACGCCATCATCAACATCGCCATTCACGGCACCACAATCAACAACATCACCATTCACAACGCCACCATCAACATCGCCATTCACAACACCGCCATCAACAACATTGCCATTCACAACACCGCCATCAACAACATTGCCATTCACAACGCCACCATTAACATCGCCATTCACAACACCGCCATCAACAACATCGCCATTCACAACACCGCCATCAACAACATCGCCATTCACAGCACCGCCATTCACAACGCCACCATTAACATTGCCATTCACAACACCGCCATCAACAACATCGCCATTCACAACGCCACCATTAACATCGCCATTCACAACACCGCCATCAACAACATCGCCATTCACAACACCGCCATTCACAACGCCACCATTAACATTGCCATTCACAACACTGCCATCAACAACATCGCCATTCACAACGCCACCATTAACATCGCCATTCACAACACCGCCATCAACAACATCGCCATTCACAACACCGCCATCAACAACATCGCCATTCACAACACCGCCATTCACAACGCCACCATTAACATCGCCATTCACAACACCGCCATCAACAACATCGCTATTCCCAATGCCACCATCAATAACATCGCCATTCACAACACCGCCACCATCAACATCGCCATTCACAACACCGCCATCAACAACATCGCCATTCACAACACCGCCATCAACAACATCGCCATTCACAACACCGCTATCAACAACACCGCCCTTCACGACACGAACATCAACCGTGGTTTCTTGAAGTTCAGGTAACCCAAAAATTAGTGATACAGGCATCAACAACACAACCATCAACAACATCGCCACAAAGAACACCGCCACCAACAACGTCGCGATTCACAACATCGGTATCAGGAATACCACCATCAACAATACCGCCATCAACAACACCGCCACCAACAACACCGCCATTCACAACACCATCATCAACAACATCGCCACAAAGAACACCGCCACCAACAACATCGCGATTCAGAACATCGGTATCAGCAATACCGCCATCAACAATACCGCCATCAACAACACCGCCACCAACTACACCGCCATTTACAACACCATCATCAACAACATCGCCATCAACAACACCGCCACCAACAACATCGCGATTCACAACATCGGTATCAGCAATACCACCATCAACAATACCGCCATTAACAACATCGCCATTCACAACATCGGTATCAGCAATACCACCATCAACAATACCGCCATTAACAACATCGCCATTCACAACACCGCTATCAGCAACACGACCATCAACAACACCGCCCTTCACGACACGACCATCAACCGTGGTTTCTTGAAGTTCAGGTAACCCAAAAATTAGTGACCTACTCAAATTCTGATGGTTTCGTAAAAAAGTAGGAGCGGCTAAGAGAGACTTTGATGAGACACGTCGATAGCAAGGTTATATTTTGGGTAATATCTGAATCACCTGTAGAGTGCAGAAAAATATAGAATCTTTTATAATTATAACTGCATGCAATTTCGAGAATCTGTTGATCTGTTAAACACATGGTTCTAAAAAGCAGCTTAAAAGATGAAATCGAAGATGAAATGCAAAGCCAGATTTACAGAGGAATTACTAATATAATATTGCTGGAGAAATGAAAGGACATGATATCAGTAGGTGGATATCTCGAGATTATGAAACCAAAGATCAATTTTACAAATCAATTAAAAGTCTTTCTTTAGCGTTCCCAGCGGGACAAATTCTGTATTTCGGCTAAATTCGATGAAAAAATGTGGGGGGGGGGGTGTATTTTGGCAACGTACATTTTGTGATAAAATCCTAGATATTGAAACTGCCTTTACGAAACCAAAAGTTAGTCATAAACGTTCATTTCAGAAAAAATTGGCGTTAAAAGGGGCGTGGCGTACATTTTTTATTTGTCCTCCAAGAGCCCATTGACTGGCGCCGTCACTGATTCAAATGCACTTTCTTCATGTTTTCTTAGTCGCAAAGAAAGATATGGGTAGCAATATTAATATTAAATCTTGAGGCTTCTGCATGATACAAAATTGGCGGCCTGATTTCACCTTTTGGCAGAATATCTTTAACACCAACAACGACTATGTGATTTCAGCACAGTCATAACAATGGTGGGAAATCTTTATTACCTTGATCCAAAAAACCAACCAACCCACTTGCGGTCAAGAGAGAAGGGTGGTTTAAGCATCCAGTACTGTTGGAAAGACGCACAATAACAGCGACTGGTTCCTACTTGGAAATAGATTTTCTCTTCCTAAGAACATTAGCGATGTCATTTTGGCAACTATACAAATTGGCAACAGCGTGTTTACGGACAAAACGCATTAAATTATAGAATTTATGGTTTTCACGTGGTCCCGTTGTATTTGTTACTACGTAGCTTCCACAAGTAATTATCCTTAGGACACTGTAAAGATATCCTTATCGGCCTGGTCTCCTTTTGATGTAACCACGCCTCGTGATTCCAACGTCTGATCTGGAAATACAGAGACCTAACGACTTTCACCAATCTATGTGAATTCTTGTTCATAGCAGGGATTCGAGCCACAGTTCCCTGGATCTGTCGTCCTCGACTGTAAACACTGAGCGGGTAGGCGACCAATGCACGGTCGTAAGTACTGCTCATGTGGATAAAAAAGGATTGTCTGAGCCTAATGCATTGCGATCACATTCGAGTAATCGTAGCAATCTGTGAATACTCCATCGGTAATGATGCGATCTGTAATCAAGCAATTTTCAAATTTTTCTTACTACAGTTTGATTATATTAAATAAGTTATATATTGTTATATATTATATATAATTTGATTATATATTAAATAAGTTATATAGACAATGACTCTTAGGAATTGATAGTTTTTCTACGAAATTGAACAGAACGAGGGAGGCCATGTTCGCACAATCCACACAAGACCTGCAATACGATAAGTAAGGTAAACATTCAATGGTTAGGTTATGGTTTGAAAAGCCATTGATGACTGTCTGGCTTTAAACATTCTAGCTTCCAAACAAACGCTTATTCCTCATTCAGCCTTAAGCTCTTTCTATCAATAGCTTTTTTAACTTTAAGTTGAAAATCTCTGCTGAGTCTAAGGTTACGGCGTTGTCTTTGGCTATACTTGGAATACAAGTTTCTTCAGAAACAAGTAATAAAAGAAAGTTTGCATTTTTTGAAATGGTGAAAAAGAAAGATGTAATTATAAGACCAAAAAGCGCATTTAGTGTGCAGGAATGCATAACTAATTCATAAGCTGTAACATTCAGCTAAAGAATTGTTTTCGTGTTCAGCGATTTCAATGGAAGTGGACAAAGGTAGAAAATGTTGTTGGCAATGCTTTGAAAAGTGGATATCAAAAAACTTCTCATTTACGACACAAAAGCATGACAAAGACACAAAATACAGTGACATATTTGGAGCTCAATCATTCTACACAAAACAGCTCATTTACTTGCCTCCTACCAATTTCTCGAGATACTACATACTAAAAAGGAAAACTTGGGATAGATAGGCATGTGCGCAAAAAAGAAAGTCATCCACCATGAAGAGAAACTCGAGCTAATTTATATTAAGATTTAAAAAGATTTTATTTAAACTGGGCAAGTAGAAGGAAAAAAGAAATATTTGAACCAGGCCAATTTTATTTACAAACTGAAAAACACAATAGCTACAAATGGCACAACCATATATAATATAAATAAACACAACCATATTGATCCATATAAAAGCCAAATTAAGACAACCAAAGTTAACCAATCACTTTCATCAAAGCATTATAATCTCTATTTCTTCTAACTATTTTTCACTTATTTATTCATCCATACCTGATTATTCTTAGCGATAAATATTGTTATTATTATACTGCTACAACCAAAAGCGTCCTTAACTAGCATTGTCCAACGGTTGATTTGTCTTTAAAAAATTTTGAGTTATAATCCAGTGCTAAATTTGCCGTTTTCATGTCTATGCGTTCATCCTAATCAATTTACTCGATATAGCTTTTAGGTCTATGTAGATAGTGAAGTAGAAATTGCATAGAAAATGTGTGGTTTTGGAAAACACGTTTGTGGGAACGTATCTTGCTTTCAAAATCACATTCCTGAACTGCAAATTTTTTAAATGTGAGAGGATAACCTTAGTTTGAAGTACCTGCAGGCCGATTGCAGCATCCCATTAGGGTACGAGTTCTCAGCAAACCAAATGCTCTTTCTAATTTTTCTGAAAAGACACTTTAGCATTGGAGATGGGAAACATTCTATCAGTTGTGTGCGAAGGGGCGTGATAAAATCTTGTTCAATGCAAGCAAACAATTTTAGCGTTTCAAAGAGGATTTGGCAGGTTGTGTCTTACTTTCTTCTAACCATCTCTTAGAAACAAACGAGTACATACTGTGATTTTATCTGAACTTATAAAAAATGAATAACACTTAATTTCAGTTGTGAAAAGTTAATAAAAAGCGAAAGAAATGTTTCTCGTCATTGGTGGTGCCCTAACGACAAAATGCTTTCACGGATGTTTTCTATTAACATCGTGATAAACATGGGTTTTTCCTAAGAATTTGTCCCAATAAACAATGACGAAAAGGCGTTTAAGGGACCACTCTGTCTCAATTTTCCATTTCAACTGTGGCTGCATTTTGCTGGAACCCAACCCCTCCGTCGAATTCCCTTCAAAAGCTCAAAGGTAGGTTAGACTAATGAAATTGGAAGTGGAAAATTGTAACAGAAGATAAAATGGTCATTTGATGAATGTCTCCGTTGTGTGAGAGGACATACACAACAGGTGAAGAATACCTGTGAGATGCCCTTGTTGCTTTTTATAAACCGTGTCAAATCTTAGCATTGTACTTTTTAACAAAGAAAATTCAGAAAGATTTTGGTGAATTTTCTATGTATTTGCTGAACATTAAAGACCACATCATCAATATCCAGCATTGCTACTTTTAATAGACCGTCTTGCTGGGTACAGGGTGCAATATTTTGCAATTCATGCAACTCAAGCGATAAATTAAAAAATAGGAAAAAATACTGTGTAGCAACGATAAAAGCTGCGAAAACATCTATCCTGAGCAACGCCGAGTTCTCGATCTATTTTGTATATTTTCGGTCTAAATGCAATCCGGAGTAGCTTCATTTAACAAGTTGCTTTGAAAGATTCAAATAAATTAGAAGATCCTAAATCATTTTCATTCATTATCTCAAAAAGTAGATAATCCGAAATCTCAGTCGCACAAAATTTGCTTGAAGCAAAGCAGTTTGAAGCAAATACAGCTTTGCACCCTGAAAAGCCAACACCTTCAAAAATTTACTAGGACAATTCCAACACATTTTATTATTAGAATGTTACCTGAATGTTGCATCATGGAACTATTATTTTTTTTAAATCAAAAAGGCTGTAGTTGAGTTAAAATTGTTGTTTCTTGAGAAAAGAACACTTGAACTTAAACAATTTGCTTCGTCTGTTCATAGAACAAAACATTAAAAAACCGATACAGGGCAAGGATACAATAAAGAGAACTCACTTGTTACCACTTTCCGCTGTCTATAGGCCAAGTTTGGTGTTCGGAGCTGAAGCTAAATCTCAGCGTGTTGTGTATAGCTGAGAAAACGCGCATCTGCTTGAATCTACTCATCGAGCAGGAAAACAATCATTCGATGCCCTTAATACGAAATATTGATGGATACGGAAGACAAAAGTACTTGCACCTGTCTAAACACGTGATCAAGATAAACGTTGACGGGACGCACAGATTTTTGGCTGATAACCAATTTGACAAAAGCAACTCAAAACTTGGACTACTATTTCTCACTTCAGTTGAAACAGGTGAAGTTTATGTTTTTAATTAAAATGTAAGACACCAAGAAGTGTTGTCATTTTGAAATAAAATGGAAGTTGGGAGGGTCAAGTCACAAATAGCGAGAGGTAAAACCACTCTACAAAAATCTCTTACATCTTTTGTGAAAATCCTATTGTTTTATTAGCTGAAAATACCCAGAAATCCTTTTGTTTCAGGCAAAATCTCGCACGCTATTTGCAAGTGTGAATTGCACCTCGACAAATAGCATATTAAAGATAAAAGGAACAGGAGGGCGATATGGAGGGCAATATGGAGGGTGATATGGAGGGCAATATGGAGGGCAATATGGAGGGCAATATGGAGGGCAATATGGAGGGATAAGGGGGAAATATTCCTAATAAATTCCAAAATGTACTGAAAACCATATAACAAAACTCTTTTTTATAAGAAAGGGAAAACTTTGCCAAGTCTAAATTTTCCTTTTTATGAATAAAATGCGACTCGAGTATTGTCGTTTCGAAATTGATTTTTCTACAACTACAAACTATAAATTGATTAGATGACTACTTTTCAGCCTGTTTACCACCTCATCATCCCCATCCCCACTTCTCCAGTAAAAACTTATTTAAAACTGAAAAATCATTGTAGTGGTAACCGTTAATAAAAAGAGACTGAGCACCCTGTAATTATTTTCGCTACTTGTAAATCTCTTATCACATTATGTAAACACATATATTAGCATATTAGCTAAATTATCCAGTAATAGCTAAGGAATAAGTTTCAAGTGCTGTGGTAGACGTGTCATCAACAAGGAAGATCACTTGGTTCACTTGATGTCACGTTTGAATAGACTCTCTTAACTTCTCAAAAAATGGAAGTAAGAGAAGACACGTGCAGTTGATAGAGAAACATGCATTCCAGGGTGTGAATGGCTACACCGTCAAGATCCTCTAAATATTCTTCAACTGAAGCAGAACAAAGCTTCATATAGGAGGCGGGAAGTGCCTGAGAACAAGGTTTTATAATATTGTAAAGTACCCTATAAACTGGCAGAAATTACACCTGGATTACCTGGTTTAAAAATGACTTCCATTTTCAATTTTGACATCATTATTTCAAACTATCTGAATTTTGACAGTGAATTTTGACAAATACAGTTCTAAATCAATATTTTGAAATGGGTGCAAATGCAGTTTTCGTACTGCTAACGTTTATCAGATGTAAACATTGTAAAAATTTAAGCTCTAGAACCATATACAAAGCATAAATATGCTAGTAGTTGTTTTAACAACTTTTTCGCTATAAGCAAAGTTGCGTGTTTACAGAAAACGATTACAGACGTGCCGTCAAATACAAAGCCGAACTTATGTATAAATTGAGAATGTGCTTTGTTAATGAAAAACGAATCATAATAAAAATCTGTTTTCAAAATCGGCTCTTTCCTGTTGAAAACACACGTCGTAGGCATGTGGAAAAACTCTTTATCCAGACAGCAATGTTTATCTGAAAATTAATCTAAAAACTCGTGCTAGATTCACTCAAGTGCTTTGAAAAAAGGAGATAATTTTTCGTCTGCCTGTGAACGCGGCAGATGAGTCTGTGAGGTACCTAAGATCGCTATCTTTAAGTGAAAGGATTTACGTTGAAGTTCAAAGACGAAAGCTTTCAACTGCATGTCGGAATTTATGAAAACATCGAAAACATTGCCTTCTTTAAAGCACAACCAGAGAGGGTTTCGAGTTTTCTTTAGCAAGAAAAGCCAAAATACGACTTTTTGTAATGGGCCCTACAAAAAATCTGGGGATTAGTTTTCGTGGGTCGAAAAGAAATTCTAAACACATCTGACAGGCTTAAATGCGTTATGGGAAAATGAACAGGTATGCACAACAGCATACACGGCCTTTACAAGCCGAGTCTATGACCAGAATCACAAGGGTCTAGCTAGGATAAGTATACTTTGCTGAAAGGTTAGACAGTAAAATGTTGAATATCCAACACTGGGTTACCACCTACTACTTTCCTTCGAAAAACCCATATATTTTGAAATTACTAAGAAAATCCAGAAATGCTTGCTGTCCATTTTATTTCTCCAAAACTGAGAATTTTGATGATAATTAACGTGGTACTTCTAGAAGTATTGGTAGGACGGGTGTCCGACGAACATAATTTGTAGGACGGGTGTCAGAAAACGTCATTGGTAGCACGGTTGTCCGACGACGTTATTTATAGAACGGTTGTCCGACGACGTCATTGGTAGGACGGATGTCCGAGGACGTCGTTGGAAGGACGGATGTCTGACGACGTTATTGGTAGGACGGATGTCCGACGACATTATTGGTAGGACGGTTGTCCGACGACGTCATTGGTAGGACGATGTCCGACGACGTTATTGGTAGGACGGGTGTCCGACGACGTCATTGGTACGGTCACATCCAAAGAAATAATAGAAATGATAGAATGAATATTACCATCATTGGAGATTCTATGCTCAAGGATATTGAGCAAAATCGCCTCAGTCGAAAACACAACACTCGAGTTCGATCACACCCAGGCGCAAATTCTATAGACATCATGGATCATCTAAAACCAGTTCTGCGACGAAAACCAGATGGAGTAGTACTGCACCAAGGTTCAAAAGATCTAACCAGCAATGTAGACACATACAAGACATTCAAAGACATAATAGGGGTGATTCGAAAGGAAATTCATCAAACTTCTGCGTGTCCGCATTAATTGCAAGAAATGACAAACCAGGACTTGTTGCAAAGATGGATGACATCAACAGACGCTTAACGGCATTAAACGTAGAAGAGAAAATTGGAATGATCGATCATTCAAACATTGATAAAATAAAGGTATGCTACATTTAAATAGAAAAGGTAATGCGTATTTTGCGGGTAATCTACTTAACTATAATAATAACTTCTGAAGGTCCAGCACCCGGACATTTAATATACAATCAGAATGATACGGTTGGCCTTGGGGCTGGAGTTGAAGGCCAAATAGAAACCTTAGAGACAATGGCAACTGACAACCCTACCTTTGAGGAGAATGAATCATTCAAAAACTTAAAAATACTACGAAATAAGCATCAAAAAAATATGATAATAAGCTACATTCATTTGAACTCTGTCAGGAATAAATTCAGAGACTTTGTCAACCTCATACAAAACGCACTTGACGTTTTGGTGATTGCGGAAACAAAATTGGATGCTTCCTTTCCTACGTCTCAGTTTTAAATATCGGGGTTTTAAATATCGGGGTTTTAAATATCGGGATTTCAAACACCTTACAAGTTGGATGTACATCACCTGTGTTAAAAACATTAATTCAAGAAAGGGAGTTGTATAATCTGTTTTAAATTCACCTACTTGTTTTAAATTCACCTACTTGTTTTAAATTCACCTATTTGTTTTAAAGTCACCTACTTGTTTCAAAAGCACTCATGGTCGATGTATTGACCTACTAATAACAAATTCGAAATACAGTTTCCAAAAACGTCACTCTTTCGAGACAAGCTTCAGTGACTATCATCACATGATTTACACAATTCTCAAAACAACGTATGTTAAGAAGGAACCAACAATTATTAAATATAGAAATTACGAGACGTTTTCTCATGAAGATTTTCTAGCTGAAGTCAATTATAGCCTCCAAACAAGTAAAATAGAAAACTACGAGGAATTTGAAGGGGCCATCACGAAAATTCTTGATAAGCATGCCCCGAAGAAAACAGCCGTGGTCAGGGGCAACAACAAGCCTCATATGACTAAAGAGCTAAAGAAAGCCATGATGACCAGAGTATCTACGAAGATTGAATGTTATATGGTCATCACCCTTGTCAGTACCAAGAAAACAGACAGCTTGCATCGTCTTTGCTTTGCCTACATTAGAATACTTCATGGGGACAAGTAATTGGTTGATAGCAGATATTCAAAATCTTGACAGGAAAAGCAGAAAGATAGTCGAGATGCATAAAGGAAAACACAATAGCAATGCTCTATTTGCCACAGAAATGTGGTGGAAGGGGCTTCAAGTCTGTAGAGGATACCTATAAGATCTCAAAAATTAAGGTGGCACATCACATTAACATAAGCAAAGATCCAAGAATAAAGCTGGTACGCTCGTTCCAACATTACAAAAGCAAAAAGAACTTCAAGTCAACTTTTGTTGAAGCAACAAGGTACGCAAAGGAACATTTCAAAGCTGACTTGAGCCTTTTAGAGGAAAAGTCTGTATTAAGCTATGAACAGGAAAGAGTGGAGTTAAAAGACGACAACTATAGACAGATCCAACGCAGACTAGGAAGTATCCTTCAAAGACTATATGAAGAAAGAGTTAGAAACCAACCTTGGTTAGGATTCTACACGGTTTCAATACAAGATAGTGATGAAGTATATCAAAGAACAGTAGAAACATTTTTCGAAGCTGGAAAAACATCCCAGATATAGTCTTATCGACAAAAGAATCAATAAAGCAACAGTTACTACCTACCAAAGCGTATTCAAAGTACAAGTTAAAGATGGAAACTGCAAATACAACATGTAGTCTATGTAAGCAAGCAGAAGAAACAGTCGTTCATTTGCTGTGCTCCTGTGCAGCATTAGCACAAACACTCTACAAGGCATGACACGATAGAATGTTAAGACCTATTTATCATCTAATACGAGCAAAGTTTGAATTTGATGGAAATAATCGTGGAGTTCCATGGTACAAGCAAGCATTACCTCTTGCAAGCATCGAAAATGATCGTGCTAAGATTATGTGGGACATACCGATGCACTTAGACAAAAGACCAAGCAACAATGCCATTAAGCCTGATATGCTGATAATTGACAAAGTAGGAAAAAAGGTCAGTTTGATAGAGGGGACTATATGTGCACCTGGATGTATTGCCAAGAGAGAGAAAGAAAAACAAGACAAGTATTCTGAAATGAGAAAGTCACTGGAACGGTTAAATCGTGGATACGAAATAGATCAAATCAATGTTGTATTTGACTTTCTAGGCTGTTACAGCAAGCAATTGGAGTGTCATATCAAGAGACTATGTGAAGGAGAGAAGGAGGCAAAATTAGTAATCGAACAATGTCAAAAATGGGTACTCAGCCAAAACTGCGAGATTGTTAAAACTTTTTATGAAAGAAAATAGAACAACAAAAATAGTCTGCCTAGGCATTAGCCAGCAGTATAGTGGACACAACAAAAAGCAACAGAAACAATTTTGACAATAAAAATATAATAATAATAATAATAATAATAATAATAATAATAATAATTACTAGAATAGCAGAATAACAGAGTTGGATAGAATTAAAGAAGAGGAGATGAAGAAAATATTTCAAAGAGAATATTTCAGAAGAGTTAGACTTGTCATGCAGTCAAAACTCAATGGAAGGAATAAGATTGAAGCAACAAATACCTGGGCAATCTCCTTGATGCGCTATGGAGCAGGAATAATTAAATGGAGAAAAGACGAGCTAGAAAGTATGGACAGAAGAACCAGGAAATTAATGACAATGAATAAAGAACTTCATCCTAGAAGCGATGTAGCAAGAATTTATGTTAGCAGGAAAAAGGGTGGTAGGGGGCTGATAAGTTGTGAGTATTGTATTGAAAATGAGAAAAACAATCTGGCTTGGTATGTGAAGCATGCTAGAAGCAATATTATGTCAAAAGTGAGAGACCTTGGGGCAATGAATACTGAGGAGGCAGTAGCACCGACAAAAAGGCGCTTGGAGAAACGATGGAAAGATAAGCCGATGTATGGGCAATTTACTAAGAATACTGACGGAATTGATTGGGAAAAAAGCTGGTCATGGTTAAGGAACGGAGATCTGAAAGGGTGCACTGAAGCATTAGTGTGTAGTGCACAGGAGCAGGCGCTGCTCACTAATTATACCAAGCACTACATTGATAAAACAAGTGATACGCCTTTATGTAGAATGTGCGGTGACAAGGGAGAAACAGTTAGTCATCTGGTGAGCGAATGTGCTATAACTGGCACAAACAGAATATAAAAGACGACATGACAATGTGGCAAGGTATATTCATTGGTTGTTGGCCGAAAAGTGCGGATTTGAAAGAGCCACAAAATGGTATGAGCAGAAACCTGAAGGAGTTTTAGAGAATCACAAGTTTAAGCTACTGTGGGATTTTATGATTCAATGTGATAGGGTTGTTGAAGCAAGAAGGCCGGACATTGTTGTTGTTGACAAGAAAAAAAGCATGTGAAGATAATCGATGTTGCCATTCCTGGTGATAATAGGGTAAAAGGTAAAGAACAAGAAAAAATTGAGAAATATCAACCATTAAAGGAGCAAATCGGAAATCTGTGGAATATGAAGAAGGTGACAGTCATCCCTGTTGTGATTGGGGCATTAGGATGTATATCATATTGTTTTGAAGAGCACATGGAAAAGATCGGAATTGATGTAAAGTTACAGGTGATACAAAAGACAGCACTGCTAGGAACAGCCAGGATTTTGAGACAGACATTGTCTATGTAAACTTGAGATGACAGAATGGGACCTTTGTCAGCTTGTTGCTGACTGCTCCCTTCTATATTATCCGGACAAATTAACATCTAGGTGTCTGTGAATCACTTAATTAGCCATAATAATAATAATAATAATAATAATAATAATAAAACGACGGATGTCCGACGACGCCATTGGTATGAACAGCGGCTGGTTCAATTTTTAACGATGAATGTTCAGAAACTAGTATATAAAGGCCAAGCGACGAAGATATACCAAAGACAGACTGTTCATAAGTCAGTTAAAAAGGGATCAAGCATTATATGAAACAAACGCGAAGACGTTACAGACGAGGAAGACCATAATTAAAGGAGAGATATAAAACATAACACATATGTTCTGTGTTTACTATTTTCTTCTACCTTTGAATTGCAGGGACAATGTCTCAATATAAAACATTGAATTCTTCAAGGTCTCTTGTATTGTTACTTTGCGATAAATAACCTTGAAAGTATGAAACACTCGTCAAACATAAAATTTCAACGCCACCACCATCATCATCACCACGGCGAACATCAATATTCATTTCGTAATTCTACTCGTCTATGTTGTGAGTCACTGGTCAAATAGAAATATCCTTTCAACAAACTCTACTACTCGTTCGATTCGAGATAAAAATTTTCTGTTCAAGCAACATATCTCCGGGGAAAAATGTCTCTTCATCTTCAGTCATTTTGCTAACTACTTTTTACCTAAGTTTTACTATCACCAATTGGGCAACAACGAACAGCAACAGTTTTACCATCAAAATTTTGTGTGTGGGCGTTTTAAAAATAACATATATTGTTTGACGAAAAACACTTTCTATTCTCTCCAGTCTATTCAACACCATCAAGTGAATGTTATGTTGTCACACAAAGTGGCCAAGCGGGTCCAACATTCCGTCAGACAAATTCACATATCTGACGTATTACATACCACATATTTAGACAAGAAATTCACGTAAGGCATAATCTTTCTAATAGCACTTTCTAACAATAATTGATCTTTTTCTTCATGCACTTTTAACTGTGCTATGTAGTTTAGGTTTATGATGAAGGTAATATTTTAAAAAATGACGTCACTTTTAAACATACGTTCTATGCAGATTTTCTAAAGGTGCCAGGTACGTGCAAAATCTCGTGTACCAAAGATCATCAACAGTCGGGTTTCAAATCCGGAAAAGGTGCAAGTTTGTTTAATTTACTGTATAACCCTTTTTGGTATTTCCTCTATTCCGCTATTTTTTGGCATTCGAAGGCAAACACGAGTCTAACAAAAGGGGTCCTGGGGCTTAACCCCCAGAAAATGTTGAAGACCAGACCAGCAAAAGTGATTTTGTAAAAATATTATTAAAGGGACAGTTTCGTATGACCACACCCATCTTTTCATAAGTGCAAATAAAATATCGAATGCCGAAGAAAGCCAGTGCATTTCGCGACAGTTTCTCCAAAGGTATTGCAGCTTTAGGAGGCAGTGAAAACACGATTTTTCGATACAGCAAAGTAGCCTCAAATAAATGATCATTATTAGCGAATATGCACGGGATGAAATAATTAATTTGTGTTTACCATACGTCGAGATCGTTACAAATAAAGCATTCCTAGACTATTCAGAAACAAGAGGAATTTTTAGAAAGCCAGGTCAATGCAGAAATATTTGAGGGGGGCTGAGCCCTCTTAAGTCAAGAAAAGATTTAACCATTTGACACAATAAATTTGGCTCCGCCCCCTTAAAAATCACCACTGTCCTTAAGAAATCGAGAAAACGATATTTTATTTTTTCCAACTGTATTTGAAATACGTCATGCCCATTTTGCAAACGAAACATGTCATTTGACGTGCTAACAATCTTTCATTCAGAATATAGGCTCGCACATTAGATAATCTGAATTGCGTCATGCTCGCAGGCTCTGTGTGTAAAAACAAATGTTTAAAGCCTTCAGCAAATATGTGAAAATAATAAATCGTAATTCTCCTTATAGCAAAAGCTACAAAATCCTAACAAGTATTTCGGTATGTATTTATTTGAGAATAATATATACTTCAGACATTAGAATAAGGCTTGGAGTCTCTTCTGTCCCATATTTGATCTTTTGACAAATATTCCTAATTGAAACAACCTATTTTGTGCGTTTGCTGATCAGTTGCTGAATCTGATCGTCAATGATTGCATGATCGTCAATGGCACGAGCCCTTTCTTATTCTGAACCTAAAATAATCCTTACATCATTCTTGAGCAGCCAATCGTGTAACATTGGTAAGAATCGACAAAAAAAATTTAAATCATCGCCACTAAGTTCATTTATCCTGAAAAAAATTCAGGAAATGAAATATGCAAAACAATACAAGATTGACGAATGTACCTTAAATGTTTCGAGTGAAAGTCAGATAAATTTTCTTTCTGACTCTTTCTTTTCATTTTCTTGTTTGCTCAAAAAACTTTTTATATCCTTGTTCTTAAGACTTTGCTCTAGTTCACCTCATTTGCAAAAACTTTTTTAAGCTTTTCAGCTGAAGCTCTTATAACTCGCTTTAACTAGTTAACCAGAAAAATTATCATTTCTACATATTGCTGTTGTATTTCACGTGCTATACAGCATAGGGTGGGACTTTCTAGCTGTCCATCACAACATCCATAATCACAACACCAATCTACATGATTACAATTACAGATTTTGCAATCTTATAGATTTTTTCAGTAAAATTGTTGAAGGCTGAAAAAATTGAAACAATTAGATTTTGAAATTTGGTACTTGTTGAAATAATTACTTTTGAGTCTGCCTAGTTTTGATGAATTTTAAAGGAGAAGACTTCAAAAAAAAGTGGAGAAATTAATACACCATTAAAATACCGTTTTTATGACACCATTAACTATTACCAAAGCAACCAGTACAACAGCTCAAGCAGCTGCAACAACAAAAATCACGAGGGAAAATCCGGGGGAATGTTGAGTACAAAATTAAATTTTAGAATGCAAGGCCACTGATAAGATAATATTGCATATTTGAATTAATGAATGACGTAGAACCTTCTTTGTCTAGAGGAGGTTAATCTTTAATACGATCATCGATTGCGCTAGCCGAAATTTATGGATACTTGTGCATTATCGATGAGCGTCGCCTTTGAAAAGCATTATAACCACAATTATTATGAAAAGCTGAGCTGGGAGCTACGAAATTGAACTGAACACAACCTCACCGTGGTAAACGGCCAAAAACTGAGCAGGTCAAAACAGTCAACATCCGTTTCTTCGAACTCTCACAGGGCCAAAGTTCCTTAATTATGTTCTAATGGGTGAATGCACTAATTGTTGAACTGAATCGCAATGACTACATTATCAGTTTCTGTTAGTAACTGAGTGTAAGCAGGGGCGCAACTAGGAAATTTTTGGGGGCAGACCGCACGTAGGATCTACCCTAGAATAAAATTGACTAACTTTTCCAAATCAAGACCAGCAAAGGGAATTGGACCCAGTTTTCTAAAATACGGTTAATAGAGAGATCAAGACTGAACCCCTTACATCATAATTTTGTTTCTGACCGATGTTTAAATAATATAGTTGGGGCATGGTACGGTCACAGCAGCGGTTTTAGGGACAGCGGGGCCCGGGGCCAAAAACAGGTGCGGGGTCCTTGTTCTTTACAATTTCGATCTTTTTTCTTAGGTGTGGGGCCCCATTTGGCTTTCATAAACGCGGGGCCAGGGGGCATGCTCCCCCCCTGAACCCACCTTAAAACTGCAGGTACGGATGAGCGTTGGTAACGGGATCGAGTCTGAATAGAATTATAAATATTTGATCACAAGAGTAAGGATGCCAGCCCCAACTGATAGGAATGATGAAGAGGCGGACCTGACGTCACACTGTGCGTCAAAAGCATGGCATTGTTTTGTTCACTATATCTTTCATGAGATATATATATTGAATTTATTGCTTAGATATATTTCCCGGCGTCGGAAATATTTAATGTATTGCTTGTTGGCAAAAGTGAGCTTTCAGAAAAGAATTGATGCGCAACAAGTTTCACATGATTTCAATATTGACGACAAATTCTTCCCTACTCTTCTTTAGCAGCCTGTTTACTTGCGCAGACTAAACAGAATTCTCCTCGCAAACTTTTTGAGCCAGCGCCACCAAATTTCCTTGCAATTATTTAATTATGAAATACGGTGATAAAAGTTAAACAGTCTGATCATGGGAAAAACCCCTCAGACAGAAACCAATGTAAATGATGGTCTCCATGTCTAAATCAACATATAATGCAAAATTCAAGTGCAAGAACGCAAGATATGAATCACTTTTGTCACCTTAACTGTCATTCGGAGCTAGATATCTCTCTCTGGCTGCGCCTTGGTAGTTTAATCGTCTTAATAAAACACTTAGGCCGCGCGTGCACACGAGGAGAACGTCGTTTGATTGTGAAAAATTAAATGACTTAAAAGCTGGGGTTAAAGGTTGTGAGAAAGAAACGATAAGCTGGAAACAGAAGACAAAAACAGCTGATAAATAGATATGCTGCACCATAGCCTGCCAGCATCATAACTCACTTTCTGTTTTTCATCCATCTTCAAGCAATAAAAATTTTGCGAAAGACTATACCAACTTTAACAAAAAATTTTCAGACCAGTTAACTCCATATGCTCAAATTTTTAATCGTACGAATACTATCCTGGAAAACCAGCGGCCAGCATGTCTTATCAAAAAATCGACATTCTAATACATAATCCTCTTTAACACACAAAGCAGACTTTTCTCAAATCGGGCCTATTGTCGGGATGACAGAGGCCACGTGATATTACATGAATCGAACAATATTTTGCTCGAAAAGGTCACTTCTTGTCCCTAGTTGCATTTTTAGGCCAACTGACAAGTCATATTATGTAATCTTCATATTGTTAGTTGAAAGCTTTACAAGAATAAATTTTATAAGAACATTGAGGCCCAAAATTTTTAAACTAATTATTAAGAAAAATAGCAAAGCTCGAACTTCATCGATAATTTGAAATTTTATCTATGTGAATTTTTTGCAACGCAACAAGTCTGCGGAACGCTCACCAAGCTTGTATTGCACTAGTATGTCACTCGATTCCTAGAATGTTTTCGTGACGAGGAAAGACAGAAGATAAGTCTTTACCAAAAATGTTTCCTGTTTAAGAGTGATGTTAAAACAATTTAAGCTTTCAGAATACACTAATTTTTCAGAATACATTCTTTTTTTCATAAGAACCAGTAAATTTAAGGCTCAGGCTGACTGTTCTTAATTTTTTCGAAAATCTGAGGCTGGATTGTTCTAGATTGCTCTTAAATTAAGAGGGTGTAAGCAGTGCTATTGCTAGCTTTTCGCTCTAAGAAGGTGTTCAGGCCACATTTGCCAACAAAGTGAGTGAGACAGCCTTAATTTGTTGACAAATTTTGAATATTCACCGAAAAAGCACCCACACATCGCGAAAAATCCTCGATTTTGAGAAAAAACGTTGTTCAAAATTGCATTTTTCAGAAGCTCAGCCTCAGCTTGTTCTTAATTTGTTCTTAACTTTTGACCAGTTTTGAGGCTCCTGTTCTTTTAAAATTGTTCTTATAAAAAAAAGAGTGTAGGGTGGCTCAGCTAAAACTTAATATACGAATAATTAAAATTTAAAAGAATTGTCTTGCCCAGCAGACATACTCTTAAACACACTTAGACGCATGTGTATTGCCATTGCAAGTGAGGCAAATGTAGCTATCAACAATTATCGAATATTTTCAAGCATGATGATGGCACAATGGATTGTTGCGAAGCGAAACAAATGGTCATTTCCCTTCAAGAATTATAAAAAGTGAATTATTATTGATTCAAATAATGGTTGTGGGGGCGTCAAATTGACCATGATAGTGCTCTGTTTCTCTCATGGATTAATAGGCCTGTCTGTATATAAGGAGCAACCGGTGGGTAAAAACGTTTAGTAAAGTTTAGTGCTCTTGTCTTCAGAATTGATGTTGTTACAACAAGAAATCTATTTTTTATTTCCTTCTGCTAAGACGTGATTGCGGTTGTGCTTGAAATTCGGATATGAGATTATACTCAATATACAATTCACTCGTGGTTTGGTAGAGAACAGTAAATCAAAATTCTTACCTCTAGTTGCCTGTTGCTGAAACAACTTCCCAACTTCATTGTAAAGTACCATTGATATTTACCATTGATATTTACTGGTTCTGCTGCAATGTTGGCGATCGTGGCTCATAAATATAGTGCTTTCTGCAGTATAACATTATCAAGTGTGCAAAATCTTTTGCATCCGTTGATTGAGGCCATACTCGGGAGTGTTACTGAACGAGAGTTTTGCAACTTCGAGCCCACGTGAAAGCTGGGGCAAATCAGTTGATACTGCACATTAAAACGACCGTGCTTCGAAATCAGCAAATATCAGTTAAATCCGAAATTAAGCAGGTAATTTAATGACTGTTTCATGCGTGTGAAATGCATTCTGCTTACCAGACTGTTTTCGGGTAGTTGTTTTTACTGAATTGTTTACCAGTTCGCAACGGGCTCAGCTGCCGTTGTTTTGCCTGGGATGAATCCTCTCGCGCTGTTTGATCCCTATCGAAATCTATTTGAACCCGGGGGTTACACTGCTATAAAGGAGATACCAGGGGAACAAAGAAAAGTGTAAGCCTTGATCAAGGTTAACTCCCCTAAAGAAACAGAAACAAAAGCACAGACGACCAAATCTCCGACTTTTTATGGCGCCGTGGCGACGCAGCCATATGTTATTGCAAATCTTTGGGTGAGGCTATAAATGCGATTTCTGGAATCTTTATTTTTGCTTGTCTTGGAGCGCAGTCGTAGATCCCTCAACACAACAGGGACGTGGGTCCACGCAACTTACAAACTTAACAAAGGGCCCTAATATATAAGTTCTCTTGGTTTACTGGTGAAAATTTTCTTGATGCTTTTTGGTTACAAACAAGAAAAAAAAAATTGGTTGGGGGGGGGGGGGAATGACTGCATGCATACAGAATTGCTACGAGGAGAGAGCTCTTTTTGGGTCATCCTAATCAGTCCTAATGAAATCACCACAGTTAACAATCGCGTTGCATAATCAATCAGCCATTTCTATTCTGTATCCTAAGGGTAAAATTCGCATGGAACTACAAATAAGGCATATTTTCATCTTACTTCAGCGTCCTGAAATAATATGCGACTAGGGTTGTAAATTGCAAACACTCCAGTTGCGAAACTGTACTGGAATGAGGAAATGAAATTCACTGTAAAATTTTCTCTGAAAATCTGAGTAACTACTAACTACTACGTTGTCAAGAAACCTAAACAAGAGTAAGCAAAAACAATTCAGGATTATTTTTAGAAAATTCAGGTGCCTTTCTCCCGTCTAATTGACCAGGTTAATATTTAAATTCGAACCAGTGCTGTACTTGAATAGGAACCATGCTATTTGCATTTAGACCTGGTTGTAATCAGTCACAATGCTATTTTATAGAATACGATCTAGGTTACCGCAATGACGTCACGAGCGTGGGAGTTCCAAATAAACATTACCGTTACCTTAATGAAAAATTCTCGTTTGTGTTCAGTAGTATAAGAACTGCTTTGAAAGCCCGGTCACAGTAAATATATATTATAGCAGCTATAAAGACATCGCGTTTCGGACATTTAGTTCGTAGATTGATTGAATAAAAATAAATAAAGTTAAGTAACCCCCGTGACATTTTGCAGCGGACGCATCCTTTGCCGACATGTGGTAAATGGGTTTATATGCCATGACATCATCGATCTGTAACTGCAAGTCACACGATGTTGTCTTTTAACAATTTGAAAGAATCGGTTTGCTGCAACGAGTAGGATGATTACAAATTAATAAAAAAACGATGTAATGAAAATTGCTGTTTACCGGTACATTCGTTTTTTTATAAGAAATTGGCTATAAGAAACGAGTACTGGACAGTCGGAAAAAAATAAGCAAAAAAATTAAGAAACTGTTAAATTGCGATAAAACTGAGAACAATGAAATTTTGTAAAATCCAAGAACATGATTGCTCTTTTGGCCTAGAAATTAAGACGCAAGAGAAAAAAATATACTTCCCACATCTAAATACAATTTTTTTTATAAAACTAGTAAATTTAATTTCAAGCTGACTGTCCTTAATTTTTTCAAAAATCTGAGTCTGGATTGTTCTTAATTTGTTCTTGATCTAATAGGGTGTAATCAGTGCGAGTACTAGCTTTTTCGCTCTGTATTTGCCAAGCCTTAATTTGCTGACAAATTTGAATGTTCACCGAAAAAGCACCTACGCTAAAAATCCTCGATTTTGAGAAAAAACGTTCTCCAAAATTGCATTTTGCAGAAGCTCAGCCTCGGCTTTTTTTCTTAACTTTTGACCAATTTTGAGGCTCGTGTTCTTATAAAATTGTTCTTATAAAAAAAAGAGTGTCAGAACAGCATCAGAACGGAAGCAAATCTCTTGACGTGATAAAAAAGGTCATGAACATTTCATAACATCATTCATGACATCATAATTAAGAAACTCTTAAGAAACAATGAGTATTAAAATTTCCAGAACATTAAGAAACTGGAGTACTCAAACATCGACCTTTTTTATAAAAATAATGAGTGTATTGTAAAACTATAAGGTTTTACAGATAAACGTTGACGAAAGAAGGACAACAAAAAATGTACACAATTTTTCTATTCGATATTACTCCTTCTCCTTCGTTAAATATTTACAAACGGTAGCACAATCTTGCTCCGACAAAATTTTGAATTTTCTTCATGTATCTTCCGACGGGTGGGCTAAGCAGCTCCAACGGGGGATTTAAATAAGGTGGACAGAGCAGCCGTAAAGATAGAAGCAACAAAAAGAATGAAAAAATTGGCGTAAAATATGGTGGCAGCGCATGCAAATTGCATACTGGCAATTGCATAAAGGCTGTACTTGTTTTGTGATGTCCAGTGTTTATAGAAATTGATGGCCCGTTGAAACGAGGGAAAAAATTGCACTTTTCGTTTTATAGATACTCAAAGATTTAAAAAAGTTAAAGACCTCCGTCGCAGTGGTCAGGCCTTTCGTGGACGAACGTGGAAGATGTTTTCACAGAAGCTTTTGGGTTTTTGTATCGGTCAAGTTGCTTTGAAAAACTAAGCATTATAGGATTACCTCTTTGTTTTTCACCTTTCTGAGCATGATATATATAATCTCTTTAGTGGTTAAAACATTTTAGTAGACTTGGTCATGCCATCATGCAACATAATGTGATTGCAACAGCAATAACGGGGGAGGGGGAAGAGTTTGAATCCGTTACAAAAGTCGCGAACCTTCTAAGTTTCATGCAAGATGCAAAAGCCCGTCTGAGTTATTGTTTTGACTGTCACCTGAAACAGCCCCGAAGTGCACCTCTTCTAAAGAGACGTCTTCTTGGTTTTGTGTCAGAAATGTATCGCCCTTATCCCAAACCACAGAGATATGACATTTCCAAAAGCAAATCTTACCATTTCTGGTATACCTTGTAGCATAAAAGTTTCGTTATTTAACGACACTGCTAAAGTTCGTTTCGACCATTATAACTTTTAGCGGCAGGCCAATAAATGGTTGCACAAGCTTCCAAAGATGCACTGTTGATGTTGTGGGACTCTATCCTTGCATTCCACACGGGGAAGGTTTAGAGGCCGTGAGGGAGGCGCTGGATAGACGGGAAAATCCAGACGTGGCGTGGCTATGCCAATCTTTTTATGACCAGGTTAGAGGAGAGGTTGATGGATACTTTCGCCGACAAGCCCCTTGTCTGGATGAGATCTTTCGATGATATTTTCTTCGTCTGGACACACAGGGAGGATAGTTTGAAGCTATTCATTGACCATCTCAACAGAAGCCAAGGCACAATTAAATTTACCAGTGAACATTCCACAGAATCTTTAAGTTTCTTGGATGTCACGGTAAAAGTAGGAGAGGGGGGTGTCCTTACGACAGACTTATTTTGCAAGCCAACTGATACCCATCACTTCTTACATAAGAAGTCTTGTCTCCCTTGGCATACAAAGAAGGCGATCCCCTATAGTCAGGCTCTTAGGTATCGTAGGATTTGCTCAGATGATCCCCAGTTTAAGAAACATGTAGGTAAACTCGCTGGATGGCTTAAGGATAGGGGGTATGAAGAGTCTCTTGTTAATCAACAAATAGATAGGGTACGTAGGCTAGATAGGGGGACACTTCTGGAAAGTGCGGGAAATAGGAAAACCAACGAAGGGAGGGGTGAGAGGGTTCCACCCGTGACTACATACCATCCGGCACTTAATGGATTGGGGAACATTGCCAGGAAACACCATGCCTTGCTCACTGGTTCAGAAGAACACAAGGGGATGTTTCCTGTGCCACCAGTTATTGCTTTTAGGACTTAGGAGGTGTAAGAATCCTAAGGATATTTTGGTTAGGGCTAGGCTTACTGGTGGGAGGGAGAAGGAGAACAATAACATCTCCTGAAGAGTGAGTTACTCACGAAACAGGCTTGTAGAGATAAACCATGTAGTTTTACTTTCTTCAACTGTATGATATATCACGCTCTACGTGCTAACGTATTGAGCACTGTGCTACGGAAGTATCAAAAGACAAATTTCTATATATTTATATATATTCAATAGCTCCTATCTATAAAGTTTTTCAAATTATTAAATAGATGCTCAATAAAAAAACAACTTGGTTGACGTTTCAACACATACATCTGGAGCGTAAAATAAGGAATACGAAACAAAAGAACAAAAGGTAACACATTTTACAAGCAAGATATTTATATGTATACGTGTGAAAACTTTAGTAATGTAAATAGTGATTTGACCAAAGATCCTTCAAAAGACTCGAAAACATTTTACCCCGCAGTGTGTGTAAGACAGACCAGACAGAGAGAGTCAACAAAAGAACTCAAATAATATAATTGGGTTTTATACGAAATTTAGATATATTTAGAACACAAAGCGTAAGTTATAAATAGTTTGGTTTACATCAGCAGATTTCAAGAAATTGACCTGTCAAATATTGCCCAATTGGACTTTTTATACGGACCTATTGATAACGTCAGTAACATGGGAATGCCGAAAGGCCATTTTTAAATAGTCTCATACCAGTAAGGGCATAGAATACATGTAAGGTAAGTAATCTAAAGCAAAGCTAAGATGTATTTCTATTTCCATAGCTCCTTGACCTGGGCCGCAAAAATGTAATCATGAACAAGAAAGAATTGAGCTTTCTTAATCTGATATAAGATAAGGAAGGGGTAGAGGATTCGTAGCGAGGAATGGTCACAAATTGAGTGGAAAAGTCCAACATCCCTTCTAATTATCACCTACTCTTTCAAAGAGCAGTTATAGAAATCCCGGTACTTTACAGAGATACAGAATCTTTTCATAAATGTTAAAACAATATGTTTAGTACATAAAATTCACAAAAACAAATATTTCTTATTCTCAATACAACTGCCGCTAAATTAATTCACATTTGTTCTAGTAAGCAAAGACACCAATTTCTGAAGCTCCTTCTCAAGAGAGAAAATAACACCAGGTAATAACGATTCATAAATTCTTCTACCTGGCTGGCAAAGCTGAATTGAGTTTCTTGCCGATGAAAATGCTAGAAAAAAAGATAACAAACAAGTGAGGAATAAACCTTGAAAGTGCCATTTATATAAAAAAGACAAGATCCTAGGAGACCAGACCTTTAAGATATAGCAGTTCTAAGGAGGCCCTTCAAGGGCAGTGCATTAGAGGAAATTCTATAGTGAATTTCCTTGCATTACAAGCGATGAAAAGTCATCTTTGCAAAATCATGATTACAAACAGTCAAGACTACGCAAAAGACAACGCAAAGACAACGCAAAAGACAACGCAAAAGACAACACAAAATATAAAGCAAAAGGCAATGCAAAAGACAACGCAAAAGGCAATGCAAAAGACAACGCAAAAGACAACGCAAAGACAACGCAAAAGACAACGCAAAGAAAACGCAAAAGACAACACAAAATATAACGCAAAAGGCAATGCAAAAGACAACGCAAAAGGCAATGCAAAAGACAACGCAAAAGACAGCAAAAGACAACGCAAAATACAACGCAAAGACAACGCAAAAGACAACGCAAAGAAAACGCAAAAGACAACACAAAATATAACGCAAAAGGCAATGCAAAAGACAACGCAAAAGACAACGCAAAGACAACGCAAAAGACAGCAAAAGACAACGCAAAATACAACGCAAAATACAACGCAAAATACAACGGAAAAGGCAATGCAAAAGACAACGCAAAAGACAACGCAAAGACAACGCAAAAGACAACACAAAATATAACGCAAAAGGCAATGCAAAAGACAACACAAAATATAACGCAAAAGGCAATGCAAAAGACAACGCAAAAGACAACGCAAAAGGCAATGCAAAAGACAACGCAAAAGGCAATGCGAAAGACAACGCAAAAGGCAATGCAAAAGACAACGCAAAAGACAACGCAAAAGACAACGCCAAAATTGTAAGTGTAAATTGTAGTCAATCACATCATCTTTCGCGGTAAAAAAAGTTACTAACAAAGTTTAAAAAATACTTGACGGCTTGGTGAAATATTTTTGAAATGTAGGAAAATGATAAAAATAGCTAAATTATACATTATAAACTAAAATACTGGTTGCTAGACAAAATCTACGTAGAAATACAAAAGATTTAAAGCAATGAAGGATGCAATTCGAAAATATCTTAGTTTAAGCCTAATTGTCTACCCACAGCTGTGAATTACTTCAAACATCTTACGTATCAGTATCGAAAATACAAAAAAGGGAAAAGTAGTTCTACGGATGTATGCTGCAAATTTATCGGGTGAGATGTGAAACAGACGAAGAGGTCTTAAATGGGATAATCAGTGAAAAAGACTTTCGTCATTTTTCGTATACAACAGCAAAAATTGCAAGAAACCTTAGGAAACGGAAGATTGGACTAAAAAAGATTGAACTCAAAGGAAAAATTGACAAAACCAAAGCAAGGGCCGGAAAAAGGCTGATTTACTTGAGGAGTATAAGACAGTGCTTTAACAGAGCGAAAAAGAATTGATCCATGGAGCAAAAACCAAAAAACATGATTCTCAATGTGAACAATTGTTTGCGGTACAGAATTTGAAAATGGCTTTGAAAAATGCAAACATTTTACGACATACTAAAAGCTTTTTCGTCTGACACTCCTCAGAGCATAAAACGTCAGAATAAGGTTCCGAAAGAACACGATGGAAAATATATACCCAGTTGTGGATCGAAATAGGCCAATCAGAAAAACGCAAGCACAAGACCGGTATGGTTGACCAATCAGTGCCGCGAGCCTAAAGAAAAATTACCAATGGAGTCCAAGAGAGAAAACGAACTCCTTCTGTCTACACAATGGCGGCTTTTTCGTTTTTATGTAGATCGACTCCAAAACTGCTAGATGGAAGGACGACCGGGCTCTGCCAATTATCCGAAACATGTCGTCATTATAGAGTTTTGCACAATCTGCGTTGTCTAAAAGATGTTGACCGATGGCAGAATCACTTGTTTTAACAGTGTTTCTAGACCTACAAGATCGAGGAGGCTGTTCTCTTTGAGGGGCAATTTTGTTTCTTATGTTGGAAGGAACATGCTGTTTTATCCTATCCCCCAATCTTTGGGTTATGCGTCCTACGTAGCCATAATCACACTGGCACGTAAATTCATAAATGACGGAACTTTTTTGGTTGGTAGGAACGCAATCCTTTTGAATGGATGGAAGGGCTCTCCTAGTGCTGTAAACAATCCGAGGATTGACAGCAAAGAAACAATTGGTTATGGCTTGCCTAATCTGACTCTCGAATCGCAAGGAAGTGTTACCAATCCATGGTAGTTTCAAATAAACTGGGCACTTTTGCGGACCAAACTTTTGAACAGCCGAAAAACTTGCGATCTTCTCCTTAGTATAAGATAAAATGACGTCTTCTGGATAGCCGTTGTCCAGGAAGATCGTTTTGGGTTTTTCCAGTTCAGCGTGCAGTTTAGATATCGAGCAGATCATAAGTGCCCAATGTACTAATGTTTCGATAAGGTTGACTTTGCGTTGTTTTGGGCAAAATGAATTCCAGCGTATGTCTGACCGGTAAAAGTAGGCTTGCGATATACACTGGTAAGAAATCCAGTGTTAGACCAAATATCTAAGAATGGCAAGGACTCATTTTCTACCATTTGAAACGTAAACTGGAGGGCTGGGTGTAGGCTAGTAAGGTGTTTTAGAAAAATATCACACTCAGCCTCTCCTCTTCATGAAAGCCAACAAAGATATTGGCCAAGGCAGGTCCCAAAGGGCTACCCATAGCGACATCATCCTTTTGCTGGTACATTTCATTGTTAAAACTGAATTCAACTGAACGTGTTGCAGTTTCCATCAGTTCAATGAATACTTCCTCTGGGAATGGTGGGCTATTAAGCTCGCTCCGGTACAAAGCGTCGGCACATATTTTGATGGTCTCACTCAAAGGGACATTTGTGAAAAGACTACTAATGTCTTGGTCAACTATACCGGTCTTGTGCTTGCGTTTTTCTGATTGGCCTATTCGATCCACAACTGGGTATATATTTTCCATCGTGTTCTTTCGGAACCTTATTCTGACGTTTTATGCTCTGAAGAGTGTCAGACGAAAAAGCTTTTAGTATGTCGTAAAATATTTTCTTTTTTCAAAGCCATTTTCAGATTCCAATGTCTGAAGCGGGTAATGGAACTGAAGAAAAACAGCCCAAAAGCTTTTGTTCAATGCCATCTTTACCTTTGCACGTAAGGAGAACTTTCAGCAACAATATTTGGTGGAATCAAGAAGACCGTCAAGATGATTTTAGAGAAAATTCTCATGGGAAAGAGTTTTAAGTTTCAAATTTCATACGAAAAAATAATTTATGATTACGAATGCCACCTTAATGCTTTCGTATGTCAACAGATGACGACTTCAGCAGTTAATATTTCATGACATAGGAGTTAAAAATGCAGTATTACCAACGATAACCATAACAACGCCACAAAAAATATATAGTTACACGAGAAATAAGAAACAAAGTCATTTTTCAGCGCTATCCGAAGATTAAACTACTAGTTAGGTTGAGAGGGATGGCATTATAATCTTACACTTAGTTATGGTAACGATATTTAAAAGCGAAAATATTTTCAACCCAATGGATTCTTCTCTGTTTACAGTAACGTATGCACTCATTATTGAAACAAGGGTGGTAGTCCTAAGCGATCAGCTAGGGAAGCTCTGCAACGTATACTCGTGCAGACAACCGTGGTGCTGTAGCAAGGACAAGAGCTCAAATTATAAAATTTAGACTTCAAGTAGAGAGAATAATAACTTACCCAATACCAAGAGTGATGGCGTGTGAAAACACCAACATCGGGATGACAATCAGCAGATTGGTAGAGGACAATTCCGTGCTTGAAGATTTAACCAAAGAATACAATGAATTGGAGTATAGGACAATTTATAATGAAATATAACATAACATAATAAAATATAATATAATATAGTATAATATAATATAAAATAATATAATATGATATAATATAATATAATATAAAATAATATAATATAAAATAATGGACTTACCTTTTCATCATTTTTGTCCTTCTTATGCTTAAAGGCATCGTTTTTGTATGTGTAGGATGCTCCATTTTGATCTTTCTATTGAAATAACAATAACAGAGAATGCAACATGGCTCAAGTTTTTATATACCAAGGTTGAGTACATATAGTAGTGGTGGGGGACCCTGTAAGGGCTTTTTCATATGGGTTGAGTCATCCCACTTCAGTGGGATATCCCACCGAGGCGAGCCGATTTTCAGGTTACGTTCATATGGGCATTTTATCCCGCCAAGGTGGGCCAGTCTCGTTGTGAAAATGTGTGTTCTTTCTTCGACAGTCGGGTCGGCACTAGATCATAGTCAGCTAACGTACTGACGTCATACAAGCTATGGCAACCTGGTGTCTGAGTGGTAGTATGATGTCATCGCATTCCAACCATTTGATGAGAAACTTTATTGCAAGCGGCATGAAATTCAATTACTTTGTCAACTGCCAATACCTCACCTCAGTCAATGTTCTAAACACTAAACTATGAAAAATGAAGACTGACGCAGTGCTTCTAAAAGGGACTTTAGCCTTGATTACAGCAAATTTTGTCGGAGGAACACTCTTTAAAACGCTTGATAATGTTCTTATGCTTCAAAACCAGTTACCTGAAATTTTAGCAACGGCCTCATACATAATTATCAATGGCAGTTACTCTAATTCATGTGAAACGTAAGAGAGAGTTTTTGTAGCTGCACGCGCACTAAAACGAGTTCTCTAGATTCAACTGTAAAAAAATGCTTCAAATCAGGGCCTATTTATTGCTTTAGAGTAGAATAGACACTTTTTCCCGTTTTTCTCTGTTTGTGTGTGCTATGAATTGAAACCCCTGGAGAAAAAGCTAAATTATAGCTGTAGCAGAAAATTCCCCGAACGAAGTAAGCAGAAAATCTGGCAAACACGCCCCTGTAGATCAAACAAACTACAGAATGATTTCCTGCGGTCATTTTCTTGCACTCGCCTAAAACATTTAACTGTTCTGTGGGGATGCATGGGCCCTGTTAATGCCACAGAAAACCACAAACGAGTTCCGCCATTGCTTGCAGCATCTGTCTTATTTCACTTAGTCCTCGGTTTCAAAGATTTATGACGTCATGTACGTTGGCTGACTATGATCTAGTGCCGACCGACATCTCTGCGATGGGTTTCTTGAGATCAGATAGGAAACTCTCCGTTTGTTCTGTAGAGTCTCGCCATTTCCTCTCTCATGGCCTTAATTTGGGCAGGCCTATCAGCATCAAAATCTAAATGATGGTACTCCATCTTCGTTTTGTAGGATTCCAAGCATGTAATTAGATTTTCAACCATGGCGATTGACCATCGAAAATTCTTTTTCTTTGGTTCTTCATGTCCAGACATGCTAGCAGCCATGTTGAATTGGAAATCCTCCTAATTCGCGCTCGACAGATTTATCCGAGGAACGTGTTCATATGGGATATTTCTATCCCACCTCAGTGAGATCCCAATGGTACGACAGCGAGGTCTCACTAAAATTGGATAGTTCACCTCTTATATGAGCGTAATGTTATTTCTTCATACAAATCAGTTTCTCGATTGGATCTCACCTCTGTGGGCTATCCCCCCTTAGAGGGACAACTCTTCTCAAATGAGCAGGCCCTAAGTAAGTAACCAACAAAGTGACACGGTTTCCGTAACAGAATGCTACGCGAAGAATTCCCATTTTCCTCTAATTAGTGTCCCGCTTTCTATTGCCTGCGGCTACGAAATGACGTTGACTCAACGTCATCAGCAAACCAATTCTGCAAATTTTTATTTGGCCGTGCCAAAAGAGAAGGTGGCACATCTTCACCAGGACGGGTTGATGCATCGGGTGAACCCTTTGGCTGCAGCCGAACGACGCGTTTTTTGGTTCTGATACAGGGGGTTATGCTGTTGCAGTTTGAGAATGTCATGCGAGGAATTCCCACTTTCCTCTAATTAGAGTCCTGCTTGCTTTTGCTTGCGGCTACGAAATGATGTTGACTCAACTCAACCTCATTATCAAGACAAATGGTCTGTTGAAAAGTAATGTTGCAACTTTATATCGCTTACGTTTACACAATACTATCATCGACCAGCTGATTGGGGCCCTTGAATACTTCCATAGCACATACTTGAAAGGTGTTTCTGACTCTATTGTGATATTAGACGATTTCGCAAATTTGAAAGAAGAATAATCTGCGCGAAACCGATTTATATCGTATATGATCAACTTCGAGTGCTATACGGTATAAACAGTTAATCAGTGACTGACTGCGATACACTGACTGATTGATTGGTATGATTGATAATGAAACAATAAACTCTTCAACTTTTCAACTTTTCACAAATGGCTGTGAATCAGCATTAATCACCATGAAGCAGTGTCGATAATCGTGAGTCAGCGCTCATAATACTGAGCTCATAATACGTACCAGACATTATCTTCGTACATAGCCATTGGACCCCTATGCTTCTACTTTTTGAGGGGCAAATTCATTTGAGTAATTATACTCTTTGCTTCATAGACCTACATTTTAAGTTGTTTAACATTGCATTGATTAAAATTTGTCGAAATGAATAGCGGAGAAATTTCTGAATTTGAATGCCTCCAAAAATCACATGAAACACCTAAGCCGATTTTCCCCTTTTCTCCCAAACATTTTGAAAGTACACTCAGCCATCCTAGTTTCTCAAAAACAGGTTAAGTTCCAATAGTGTATTTCTATGGAGAATAATCCAACATTGTTTGAAACAAAAGGGGAGAAAACAGCTAATGCGAAGGACATAAATGCTGTTGTGTTCCCAGACTTTTGACAGGCACTGTACCAGCAGGGATTTTAAGAAAGGTAGCAACGCCAGCATTTCATAGATTATTTGCACTAAATATCTAGATTTATAATTACGCAATGAATTCAATTGAAATTACCAAATACGAGGTATGAAAGAAATTTGCGTGTAGAAATAGCAAAGGGCTGTTAAATTCCTTTCTGTAGCTGCAGTGTGCCTAAAAAGTGTTTTGCAGTTGAAAAATAATAAAACGAAACACAGCAGATCCATATATCTGAATGAAAAGTGCACGTCTTTGAAACATATAACTTATTGCCGAATCAATAATGTAGAAGTCTTCTTGACGTCTAACCGCAAAGAATGGATGTTGTAGCAAACCTAAACCCCTAATTTGCTACATGTTCCTCAATGGGTCCTTCGTCGTCTTAACGACTGAAGAATTCTTGAAAGTTGCAGCTAAGACTGAAGAATTCTTGAAAGAAAAAAGAAGCGACTCAAATGGAGCAACTTCTTCTTCACAAAACTTCCACTGAAAAACATATTTTGCCAGTAACAATATTGCATAGAATATTGAATAATAGCGTCAACTGTATTAATGTTTGATTGACGGAGGAAAATTTGATTGCCTTCGCTGAAGATTCGATACGGCTGAATTGCACTACTAAAGCAATAGCAACGCATGCATGGTATTAACAAGCCTTGATAAGTTAATTTGCAATTATTTTAGCAATCCTGAAAGTTAAAGCTCATTCACAGGGCAGCGATATCGGTTCCTGTCGATTAGCGATTATACCATGATTTCTGATTAATAAAACTTTTAAAGCTGACAGAACATAACAGGAATACATGGCAAAATGGCAGCATAGCCAAAAAAGGCGCCAGCATCAGAAGGCAGAATTTTCCCTTTGCACTATACCCTCTTAATAGAGAGCTCGTTTTTCTGCGTTACTTTTCAAATTTGTCAAGGCTTTTGTAACTTTCTCACTCACTCTACGAAATTTGGATAGTGTGTCAGAAACAGTCAAAAATTGAATGAATCTGAAATTTGGCCGTTTGATTTCAGCAAATAGCGCGAATTTCGAGATCAATTAACATGGTTGAAGCCAGGCTTAAAACATTTCAAACATTTTGTCGTATCTTAGTAGGATTTAAATCAGTCCACAGGGCAGGTGTTGGCTTAGATTTTTTGATCTACGTAATCTTGTTTCTTTTCGCGGATAAGTTTTCCTAGACTTCATAGAATTAGACAAATCAATAAAAAAACGCCAACTCTGAACCCAGAAAAACAGCTTAAATGCTTTTGGTTTAATAAATGTAATAAAAGATTGAAATAACAACGTAAGTTTTCATTGTAAACCGCTAATTTATGGCAAAACATTTGTTGCCCGAAAGATTGGCTTCCAAAACTCTAAAGTCCTTGATTTTGCAGGGAGACATTGTTAATCTAAGGGTTATCAAGTAACGAATTTGCTACGAAAGTTTGCAAAAATGACCTTCCTGTTAACGGGCAGTCCACGAAAAGGAAAGATTTCAAGGGCACAGCATGTAGGCTTTCACGAACTGGGCCAGGGCTAAAAACTTAAGATAACCAGGCGTCGAATAGCCTTTTCTGTTACAGCAGCATAAGCTTCATCATAAGCATCCTTTCGTCAGTTCTACATCTGACGTCATCATAGAAAAAAATGTGATCTTATCAGTTCAAAAAATTAAATATGCACATAATATGCATAAATTCAGAACACTGACATAGAACGGCAATTATGAAGTGCAAAAGTCTTGCTGAAAATCAAGTTAGTTTCATTGCTTCAGAATGATGTCCAGTTATCTCAACTGAGCACCTCTTGGTCCTTGTCATTCTATGTACCTTGATACCTGATGATTCACAAACAAAAAAGAGCTTTAGATTAGACTACAAGTCACATTTGCTTATAGATTCTTACTTCGAGGGTCGTTGCTCTGGTCTGCTCGCCCATGCCTCCACCCAATCGGATTTAGCATCCTAGAAAATAAAGAAGGTTTCCAAGCTGCGGGAAAACATACTGGAAGAGTCTGTACACTGAAAGTAACTGGAAGAGTCTGTACACTGACTTCAAAAGCACCAAAAAATACCAAAAAATCAATAGATCTTGAACACTCCAAGTTACTTTAAAGAAACTTTGCAATAAACACTCCAAGTTACTTTAAAGAAACTTTATGCAATAAACACTCCAAGTTACTTTAAAGAAACTTTGTGCAATAAACACTCCAAGATACTTTAAAGAAACTATGTGCAGTTAACACTCCAAGATACTTTAAAGAAACTATGTGCAATAAAGAAAAGGTTTATGCTGTAAAAAAGGATAGTTTAAAAACGAACTTGATTTTCTGTTTATAGGTAATGAGCAGCTTATGAATATGAAAAGGTTAGTAGTTGCTACCAGCAGAACCACATTGACGTTTACTAGTTTGACAGGGGAACAAAAACTAATGCCAGATGTAACGCGCTTTTTCGATGCCTTGATTGTAAATCTTTTAACTTCATGCACGCTAGAAATCGCTTATAACGAAGCCACAAGTATTATTCTTTTAAGCAATTTATTTCATGTCCTAGAGCTGATGACCTTGTTACATATACACTTACGTGGACGATAAAAGTATTAGGACGATAAATAAGAAAATGGCGGCTCCGAAACAAAATGAGGTCAACAAAAATGCAATTCGCAGCAAATTCAGTTTATTTTCTACCTTTCTGTGATAGAAACTATAATATAACTAAATGTCAAGGAGGAATGGAAAATATCATTGTTTTTATTTCAATGCCGAAAACACAAAAACGACTAAAAGGAGAACGAGAAGCAGTAAAAAACCGGGTCTAGCGTGTCATTTGTTGCTCCTCATCCATACTGTGTCATTTGTTGCTCCACCTATATACTGAACATTGCGAAACCTTAATGAATGCAGACGACACAGTTATCTTGTTTTCGGACAAATCAAAGCTGAGATAGAAAGGGCAATCAACCATGATTCCAATCTCTTACACACTTGGCTCTGCAATAAGGGTCTAATCTTAAATTTCAATAACGGTAAAACCGAATTCATGACGTTTGGCACCGTAGCAAGGAGGAAGAGGATTGAGAGCGAAACGATCATACAAATCAATTTTAAGCCCATGAAAAAAACTGCTGATTACAAATACCTGGGTATTTATCTAGATCAATCACTATCAATGAGCAACCATCTTCACAGAGTCTGCCAAAAAGCGTCAAGTAGACTCGTTGAGACGTATTCGGGCCATACTTACCATACATACGGCACTCGGCCTGTATCAAGCAACAGTACAACCAGTCATGACATACTGCAGTACAGCGTTCTTGTTCATGTCGGAAACAAACAGAAAGAAATTCGAACGACTAGAGAAACGAGCTGAGAAGATCATTTTGGAGCACATTATCATCAAGGAGATCGTATGTTTCACTCGTTTACCAATATACAGAAAATGCAGTGTGCTGATTTTGTTTTCAAATGTATGAACAAAACTGCTCCTAATGTTTTTCATGACTATCTTGAAAGGGTTAACCGCCACAAAGCTACACAGGGGAGTTAACATCTATAACGCACTGCAAACGCACTTAAAGACAGCTAAATTTTATCTCCCATTCATGCAAGCACTCAGAGAACATTCTATGGATTAATTTTTTAAGCAACATTTTTATCATATATATATTACATTAATGTTCAAGTAGCAAATCTTCTATTTTCTATATGCTTTAGAAACAGGGTTTCTCTTGATAGCAGCAACTATGATAGCAGCTAGTCATGTATTGTAAGCTGACTGAGTCACCTTGTATAAATAATGTGTTATTAAACTAAATTTCCTGAAACTGCAAAAAAGTTTGGTCGCAGCAATTTTACAACCAGGGGCGGATTTAACCAACAATGATGGGGGAGGGGGTGTTAGACACTAATTTTGATGCCACACCCTTCAGGTCACTGATAAATGATGGTTTTTAAATTTTAGGTAAAGACGATAAGAAGCAGTGGCATGAAGATTGGTGGGGCAAAGAGGAGAAAATTTTTCCTCACCAGACCCCTAAGAATTTGGGAAAACACTCATTTTGTAAATGCGTTTGGAAAAGCTATGGCATTTTTACGCGGCAATTTCCTTTGATACAATGTCATATGCGTATAGCGTTTTGTGGCTGACCATATTCTACAACTGTCTATTTCCTTCACAATTCCACAACGCTTATATCCTGAATTGTGTAAGGCGAGGAATCTCTACGTGTAAACGTGATTTTCCAAAGTTTTAATCAAAAAAACTCTTTCCTTTTTATAAGAACAATTTTATAAGAACACGAGCCTTAAAATTGGTCAAAAGTTAAGAACAAATTGAGAACAAGCTGAGACTGAGCTTCTGTAAAATGCAATTTTGAACAATGTTTTATCTAAAAAAAACAAGGATTTTTAGCCATGTGTGGGTGCTTTTTCGTTGAATATTTAAACCTGTCAGCAAATGAAGGCACTCACTCACTTTGTTGGCAATTGGACCTGACATTGACAACCTCCCTAGAGCGAAAAAGCCAGTAATCGCACTGCTTCATCCTGTTAATTGAAGAACAAATTAAGAACAAGCTGAGGCTGAGCTTCTGCAAAATGCAATTTTGAACAACGTTTTTTCTCAAAATCAAGGATTTTTAGCCGTGTGGGAGTGCATAATGCATCGGTGAATATTCACATCTGTAGGTAAATGAAGGCTGTCTCGCTCACTTTGTCAGCAAACAAGACCTGACTACCTCCCTAGAGCAAAAAGCTAGCAATCGCACTGCTTATACCCTATTAAATTAAGAACAAATTAAGAGCAATCCAGCCTAAGATTTTCGAAAAAATTAAGAACAGTCAGCCTGAACTTAAATTTAATGGTTCTTATAAAAAAGAGTGTATCTAAAAATAATAAACAGTATTCAAAAGCTTCAAACTAAGTCCGTTCTCCTTGGAGCAAAATCCACGACAAGCATTTCAGAATCCAGTTTTTTCTAGGATTAGACTGCTTTAGCATTTTAAGATTTAGTTTTTAGACAGTGCTGTCGGAACGAAATTTATATTGGGGAGGGGGGGGGGGGCGCTACGCTACTGATAAGAAAATAAATAAAGTAAAATCTTGGCGTTACTTTGCTACTACTGACTACCAACAAATTATTTCTACCGAATGAAACAAAATTTACCGAAGGACACAGAAATATTGGGGGTGTCACACCCCCTTAAACCTCCGCTAAATCCTTCCCTGTCTATACACATGCTATTTACAAGAAAAGTACGTTAATAAGTCTGAATAAAATTCAAAGATGGCTAGGCCAGGGCAGGCCGGCCATTGGTTGCGCCAAAAGGAGTCGGGAAGCTGGCGCTGTGTGCAAAGTCAATCAATGCTGAATATTTTGTCCAATGTCCAAAAATTGTGAAAATTTCAGGCATAAGTAATGATGTTTTGCAAAGATCATTTACCTTTGAGCAAGACAATAAACCTAATTATGTTGCAATTGTGACAAAAATTACCAAGGACAATGGCACAGTGGTCATTCAAAAAACTTGTATAGGTCAAATCCTTGATGTAATGGAGCTCCAAAAATCAGCTCCCTTAAAAGCGGTCTGTCCTCTTCGTGATTGGCAAATTCTAACTTGAAGGCCTCGCCTTAAAAGAGGGTCTTCCACTGCTTTTTTAGCATCCGACATAACTTATTGTTGTTGAACACGACTAGAATTTCTCGTGGGTCTACGTGCGGCCTCCACTGCACCTTAAAACAATTTTGCACTCCCCTCTTGTCAATTAAATATCTCTGCTCCTGTGATGAGAATTTCTGAGTGCCATGGGATTCACAACAACTAACAAAGATTTTCTCTTTTCATTATTTCAATTAGGAGCGAATGGAAAGAATTGCCTTTCTTTCAAAGTTTTGACTCCAGAAAGCCAGTATTTGTTTTTTGAAATCTGTGAAGCACCTCTTACAATTTTCAACAGATACAAAATAATTTTCACTAAATAAATTCTCAATCCGCAATTCTAATTTTTACAAAAAACTACACCACCCTGAATGTCTCTCTTGACTTTATAACGGCTGTATTAAAGCGGCTTCGTCCTGTTTTCTTGCATTTCACATCCCACTAAACTTTCTAATTATTGTTTAGGTGAATAGGCGTTGCCCCCAGGGCATGATTACTCGTGTAACCATTTGTTAAGTTGCTGTTCTGTCACTTCGTTGAAAATAAAAGAGCATATAAAAAAAGAGGGCTCTATCAGTGACAAGACTTAAATTTTACTCATTTAAAACGGTTTAGGTAAAATTCAAATGAAAGAAAATGAAAGCAGCGCAACTATAAACAAAATGTTACCTGAGAAAGGTCCTCCTTTGAAATTCCTTTACTTTCTTGATATCTTAATGAACAAACAACAAATTTCACTTATAATGTTGACTGAAAAGACCGGAAGAATAGTAGCATATTACATAATCAAGTCGGAGGGAAACTTGAGTTTAACACTGGCATTCTATATCAACGCTAAACTGGCGTCGAAAACTTACAAAGGGTAGACTGTAAACACTAACCAGCTACAATACTACAGGGGTAGACTTAATAATTAATACAATAACAAAATCACCTATATTGTGCCATAAATCTCCAAGGCTCATAGGCACATTACAATGAAAAACACCAAGTCTAATAAACAAAAATATGTTAAAGATACGAAAAGCTATAAGGCTTTTTATTCATTAAAACCTAAGTTTAAACAAGTTAGGCGCTCAATAAAATACTTTTTAAAAAATGCGTCTTCAAACAAGATTTGAAAGTTTCTTAAGTATTACATGCTCTAACTGAGAAGGGGAGTTTGTTCCAGTGGGAAAGGGCAATATTCATGAAATCATTATCACAGGCTATAACCAATTTAATATTTCCTTCTTCTAATAACAGTTTATCATCAGCAGATCACTTAGGCAAAGATCATCAGTTGACTTAGGCAAAGAGTTGACAAAAGCAAAAAAAGGCAGTCCAAGAAAAAAGGATTATATGCCTTAAATATTTTCTGCAAAATTGACATTAATACAATAGGATTTCATAACCTGTAAGTTAATATGAAATAAGTCATCAATTTTTGGTGGATATAGAGCCTATTGACAGGGATATGTAGCGAAAGTGTAGCAAAATCTATTGCTGTTTTTGACGTGCAAAGTAAAAAATCCCCTTGGAAAACCTATTCCTAGCAATGTATTTAGTGTCACTATTCTTGCTATCTCTTTTAATGTTTTATATTAATTTTGATTACTCATATCGTAAAGAAGGAATTCACTTCAACACAATGGAATGGTGGTGCTGTTTACAGCTCAGTTTCATCAGTTCTGCCTCACTATTTCAAAAGTCATAAGGGATCAAAAAACGTCATGATAATTAACTATGTTTCTTTTTTTGCTCACTCTAAATAACCTCAAAGGCGCTCTTCACAACACATTGGCAAATAATTTATGATACTGTTAGGCACTATTGATGTAGTTAACATGTTTGTATGTAGCAGAATTTAAAAATTACAAACAGAAACTTAAAGTGAAATTAATATCTAAACTTCATTTGAGAACATCAGGTTTTTCATTCTGCGCTGCTTTGTACCGTTTTTGAATGCCAAAGTTCCAGATTTCTATTGGTGAAAGTCAGACTTTTCTGTTTGGTCCAAAGAGATCTGATTCATTAAAGTTTAAATGTTTATGTTCTATTCTTTAAATCGTCTTCCAAATGACTTGCACTTTGTTTGTCAGGTGCATGATTTAGATGGTTTAATTAGGAAAATTTGAGATCCTTCACCTCAACAGGCAAAACCTTTATCGTGTAAAAGAAGCCCTCAAACTTTTCTGTTTAGTTTGGAGAGGGAAAGTAGAAATGGGCTTAACTGCAGACTTAGTTCAAACAGTGACTGTCATTGTTTAAAATTTGATGGAAGAATATCAATTATGTTGATGAAAATTGTTGCCTGGCAACTCAATGGCAATGGTTTTATGAAATGTCATGCTAGTTTAGAAACAATCACTTTGATGTTTCAAAAAGGCAGAGCCCAGGTGCGATTGTGCGTGAAAAGATAAAAAAGATACCTATACCACTTGGTGTCAAAAATAGGTTGAAAAATGCGACCATTGGGGTATCTAATAGGAAATACACACAAATAATTTATTTCACTATGGACTGACAAATAAAATACTGGAACTGGATGCTCTTACCTGGAATGTTTCATTTGGTCTTCAACAGCATCAGCTAGAAGTGTTTCCATCTCCTCCCCATCAGAAAGCTTAGGGGATGTGTTCACGCTTTGATTCATTTTTGATGGATCAAGTTTAACCCAAGATCCTGGAAAAGCAATTCAAGAAAAACAATTAGAAGAAAAGAAAAGCTCCAAACTGTGATACATATAGAAATGCTACCAAAGTAAACCTATATATTGTTTAACGGCTCACACAGACAAACTAGTACTATAATTTTGGTGTTTTAGGCAGGCTTTCAATTTCAAAATTTTGTATGAGCCATACTAGGGTAAAAAACTTCCCTATAATCAAATGCTTGAACATGATTTATCAAACAACTTCCTATTATCAAGAATTTCCCTAGTCTTTGATTTGAGAAAATCCTTACCAAAATGATGTTCTAGGGGACTGTTATACAAATCAAACATTTAATAAAAAATTGTATGATAAAATGACAATGGATAAAAAGATAACAAGATAGAAATGAGCCAAATGGTAGGGAGGTGGCAAGGCTCCAACACTGAAGAAGAATAGATAGGAGCATAAAACAAACTTTACCAAAATCAAAGAATGAAAAACAATTCTAGCATTATATGGAAACTGTTCTACTGTTCTCTTGTTAAAATGAAAACTAAATTGTTCTACTTTTAATTCTACATAGGGGTAGGGAACAATGATATGTTGGTAAGGTTTTTTCACCAATTGGTCCAGGTGCTTCACTCTAGAAAATTTTTTCTTACATTGCCCTTTTAAAGCCAGCAAACTTTATTTTATAGAAAAGAACCTAAGCTAAGCTTTTCACTTCAGTTCCTTCTGGTTAGTCCCACTCTGCCATGACTCCGATTTTGTTCACTTCAGCCATGACTCCCACTTTGTTCACTTCAGCCATGACTCCCACTTTTGTTAGCCTGGGCCTCAACACTTTCAAATTTGTTTTAGTTTTCAGTAATAACAAAGTATTTATTTAAAAAAAGCAAGCATTTCACAACATATTACTAAAAGCTTTTTATTCTGACACTCCTCAGAGTATAAAACGTCAGAATAAGGGTCTGAAAGAACACAATGGAAAATATATACCCATTTGTGGATGGAAATAGGCCCATCAGAAAAACACAAACACATGACCAGAATAGTTGTCCTATCAGTGCTGTTTGCCTATAGAAATATTACTAATAGAGTCAAAGAGAGAAAACAAACTCCTTCTGTCTACACAATAACAGCATTTTCATTTGTAAGTAGATCAATTCCAAAACTGCTAGATGAAAAGATGACCAGGCTCTGCCAATTATCTCAAACATGTCATCATTATAGAATTTGCACAATCTTGGTTGTCTAGAAGGTATGATGGCAGAGTCACTTGTTTTTGCTGTGTTTTTAGACCTACAAGATCAAGGAGACCGTTCTCTTTGAGGAACAGTTTTGTTTCTCATGTTGGAAGGAACATTTCATTTTATCCTACCAATCTTTGGGTTGTGCATCCTATGTAGCCAGAATCACATTGGCACATAAATTCATAAACAATGGAACGGAACATTTTTGGTTGGTAGGAACGCAAACCTTTTGAATGGATGGAAGGGCTCTCCTTGTGCTGTAAACAGTACAAGATTGACAGTAAAGAAACATCTTATGATGGCTTGTTTAATCTGACTGTCAAATTGCAAGGAATTGTTACCAATCCAAGGTAGTTAAAGATAATCTGGGCACTTTTGTGTACCAAACTTTTGGTTAGCAGAAAAACCTGTGATCTTTTCCCTAGTGTAAAAAAAAATGACATCTTCTGGATGTCACTTCTTGATTACATCTTCTGGATGACATCTTGCTTTAAGTTTCTCTAGCTCTGTGTGAAGTTTGGTTTTCGAGCAGATCATAAGTACCCTGTGCATGAAAGTTTTGACAGGCTGATTTTGCGTTGCTTTGTGCAAAAATAATTCCAGCATATGTACTGACCGGTAAAAGTGGGCTTACAATATACACTGATAAGAATCCAGTGTTAGAATTTTCGACCAAAACGTCTGAAAAAGACAGGGAATCTTTTTCTTCCCTTTTGAAAGTAAACTGGAATGCTCTGTGTAGGCTATAAGACCTTTTAAAATATATCACACTGAGCCTTTGTTTTGAAAATGTCATCTATCCACATATCAAAAATAGACGCCAGGCTTTTGGTCGTGGTCGAACAAACGCTCTTCATGAAAGCCAACAAAGATATTGGCCAAGGCAGGTCCCAAAGGGCTACCCATAGCACACCATCCCTTTGTTCGTACCTTTCATTGGTGAAGCTGAATTCAACTGAATGTGTTGCAGTTTCCATCAGTTCAATTAATACTTCCTCTGAGAATGGTGGGCTATTAAGCTTGCTCCAGTCCAAAGCATTGGCACATATTTTGATTGTCCCACTCAGAGGAACATTTGTGAAAAGACTACTAATGTCCAAGAACACATGAAAGATGTTTCGTTCTCGATGTTCAAGTGCAATGTTTTGAACATTTTTGAAGAACAGGATAAAAAACTTCAGAAAGCCACTTAGCCAATTTGTGTTGCGTTGAGCCAAGTGGAACATTCGCTTTGTGTATTTTAGGGAGGCCACACATTTGTGGTCATTGAGAGCCTGTGGGTCTTATTATATCGTAAATTTCTGTGGTGAACACTTGTAAGTCAACCAGTTTAAAAGACGTTTTTGGGATTTCTGCTCTAGTTTGGTCATTTTGTCCTGTATTTTGACATCACCCAATTTGGCAAATTTTTCTTTGTCATGAAGAATTTCCAACATTTTAAATAATGGAACAAAATAGTTTACTTTATTTATTCTCTTTATTTATTCTCAATAATTTTCCAGTCACCTGAATGGTATGGCATAAAAGTCTAATCATTATCTAAAACCCCCCACGCCCCAATCCTTGCCGCTTATATCCGCCCCTGAATACCATGTCAGCTAAGGATGCGCAATTGCCATGCCATGCACGCTGGCCGCAAACTGGTATATTTTATAATTTAAGGTTAAAATCCTGACAGATCCTTTGTTTTCGTTGAGATGATAAGATTTTCTTGGTCTTGGCCAGCAAATCGTTTTTCTGAATTTTAAGGATAGATGGTGATACGCAAGGAAAATTTATGAAAAAGTCCCCCTTTTTAAACATTACTTAATTCTCGCTCGACAGTACAGCAAACAATACAATTGCCATGAATATAACGACGGGCAGGAATTAACTACATGAGATGGGAGGGGTGCATCATTTTAACTTTGTGTCGACCATCGAACAAAACTTACCATTCATAGACTCGGTTGAGCTGTCACTCTCGATCTCGCCTTTGAGCATGATGCAGTGGCCAAGCCTTGCCAATTTTGTTTTCTGGCAACAAAAGTACCATAAAAATCAGCCTTCAAATCCAACTAGCTTCTTGCAACGCATTGACGATGTAAACATCACAATATTGAGCAGTAAACAATAACAATGGCGTATTCGATGAAAACACTGAAACGAGATTTCGTAAACGAGGCAACCTGATTTTCAGTTCTGGATTCTCGGGAAAGCGTTGGAAGATTCAGGTGAGCAATTTGGATATTTTCTTCCTAAATGGCGCGAGAAGTGGTAGATGACGACAACAATCATGTTATATGTGCCACACATCTTTTTTGGAATGGGTGGCGTTTGATCATGATCAGGGACGCCGAAACGACCAAGGGGCAGGTTTGAGTAAAGGGCATTTGAAAGATTTCTCTCACAGTGTCTCAGCTTCTACTATTTCCTTCGTAATTGCCATTTTATTTCGATGTAGGTATCTTGATATTTTGGCATAAGGGTTTATTTAACAAGTTTTGAGAAATGTCGTGGTGAATTAGGCACTACAATCAGAATTTCATATAAATCTCTCCATGATTATTACAATTGGCCAATTTCAAGGGCACTTTAATGAAAACCCCTGCACTGGCCCCTCTTGCCCATCCTATCAAAAGGCAACAGGGGGGGGCTGAACCCCCGCACGCCCCTTCTCTGGCGTCGCTGATCATGAATGATACAGAGAGGAGAGACAACACAACAGCTTCCCCCAAATAATTTCCAAAGTTTACTTAAAAAATACAAAAAAATCACTTTGCGCTCGATTCTTGGCACATTTACACGCTTTTTTTTTTATAAGGAACCTAGCTCGGGCCTAGTTCTTTAAATTCCTTATTTTGAGACCTGTTTTGACCACTTTGTAGTTCTAAAAGTTCCTTAATAGTTCCTTAATTTTAAGTTGGCATTTAGTGGACAATAATTAGTACAGACGCAAGAAAAACAATCAAATTCAGCGTTTTGCTATAAACTTAAGAAAAGATAACAAGTTAAAACACAAAGAAGCTTCATATAATATAAAATTAATAATAATAGTCATTAAAGAAGTTGCATATCCACTCCATTGATGTCGTCTGACACAATGTAGTCTTCAGTACCGTCTTCGAAAAGAACTCTAAACTCTCCCAGCTTGGTGTTGAACCACTTCACTTGTCCAGTGTGCCATTCGTCGTAGAATGCACGTATTTTTTTATTAATCAACTCATGTTCGTAGACACGATCTTTTACATGGTCTACTCTTTCATGCTCAAGCTCGTCAGGCTCAAGTTCTTCATCCCCTTCATCTTCTTCATCACTTACATCTTCCTCACAGGCTGCTGAGGCCTCTGGTATTTGTACAGACAGTGGATTTTCAGGGCCAGTCACAGGCAATGGTGGTGGTATTGAGTACCCAATCAGACCTTCAGGCTGAATTTTCTTGTCCTCCGACCCATCAGCCGTTATTAAGCAGCCTGTCTTTTCAAAGCATCTGTACCGTGATGAGGCATAGCTCTCACTGGAAAGCCTATTGTATGCCTCACCAACCCAGTGTGTAATTAGAATTCTTCGCTTCTTGACATCCAGTTTTTCAACACTGTTCCCAAGCCAAAGATCTATATTTTCGTCACTTTGCAGCCACTCATCTTGGAGGGTTCGAACCAAAGACTTCAGCATGTTTCCAAAGCCACAATCTACAGGTTGCCAGATGTCTGTCGCACCGGCCAAACCGAACCAAACAACACCATTTAATTTTCTGACCTCACTCAGAAACAGATCATTAGTTTGCGCACTTAAGTTGTCGCAGAAAAGAACGAATTCTTCATTTTCACCTGTTTCGGAAGAATTTTGGACAGCTGGTTTCAGAGTTCTCTTCACCCAGTCAATGCTGAAATTGATGTCTGCCCAGGCGTTTGTCTGCCAGTAAACATCCACGTCTTTGTGGTATGCCTGTATTTCATCCTGGCTGATTCTTTTCCCTGTTCCACGGAAAATAATTGCAATTTTGACTGGCGGTCCTTCGGCTGCAAAGCAGATTTGTAACGTGCACTGCCGCTTATCAAGTCCCGGTCCCGGTGTGCTGAAAAAGAATTAAAGATAGCAATTTTAGAAGGAGTGGACAAATGAGCAGCCCCCCAATTTTTATAATATTTCCAAATTAATTTTTTAAAAGGCCCAGTCTGGAAAGAGTTTAAACAAAAAGCAGAAAGCGGTTTACCTGACCCAGGTTCGATGGTTTCTTTGTTCTCCGCGCGGAAAATGTTTTTCGTATGTTGTTTTACAATCGACCGCAAACGGCATAGGAACTTGGTCAACGTTGAAGCGTTTAGATGGTCGGAATTTCCCCCATTTGCTGTCATAGGAAGGCTTTGCGTTTCCTGTCTTGATCAAGCCTTCGCGCAAAGTTGTGTGCCAACCAATCATGCCTGGCAAGAAGCTCGTTTTCTCAGCCCTTTTCTTACGCTGAATTCTCCTCAACTTGATTTTGTACTTCCTGATAAAGTTGAAGACTGCAGATTTCGGGATAGCTTTAATATCTGATTGGGCACTTTGGTCGAATTCGGGGTTAATCTTCCTAGCATTTGCGTACAGCCATGCAAAAGATATTCGCATCCCCTTTGATCTTGCTTGTAGGAATTTTTCGTGAAGCATCACGAAGACTTGCTTATGCCTTGTGCTGGGTCTGATCTTTTTCATCATTTTCCTGTGGCTATGGGCGGCTGCATCAGTAATTTTCTTCTCATTTTTAACCCAGGTCGATACCATCGATTTAGAGATGTTGTATTTGAATGCAACGTCATTCTTTTGGTTTTTCTTTGCTTCCTCGATAACTTTTAGCTTAAATTCGGTGTCATAAGATAGTCTGTTCTTCTTCTCTCGATGGTGCTGACTGCTTTCTCCTGCTTCTGACGCTCTAGCACTTTTCTCTATCTCTTGACATTCCTCTACAGTTTCTTCGATGTTCTCATCCACATCAATAGCAGTTGGTTCTTTTTGTGGCTCAACAGCCTCGGCGCTACTTTCCAAGATCAATGGAATTTCATCGATTTTTTTAGTTGGTTGTTCTTTTTCTCTCTCACTGTCTTTTTTCGAAGTGCACCAAGACACGTGCATCGTAAGGCCAGACTTACTTTTGAAATGCTTGTTGCATGTGTCACAACGATACAAACTTACATCATCATCCTCAACAAACGAACGACCAGGGACTTCTTGTAACTCATTTCGATGAGGTATCTTTTTAGAAAAACCGAACTTGAACAACGTTGACTGCTTTTTCTTATCTCCCATATTGCAACTACTGTAATACTCGGCCACACACACAGAATAAGAATTCTATTTTGTTGTGACTAACCTATTTGACTAAAACTAAAACACCTAAAGTGTGAATTCACAACAAAGCACAGCTGCATGTGAGGTGAGTTAAAACGGAAATTTCTCATGTTGATTCTTGGCCCCATGAGCATGGCCGGTTTTACTGAAAATCAATGGAACCGGCTTCCTAATTGTAAATTGTGCGGAAATATAAATATATTCAAAATTAAAAAGTTCCTTAGGGATTTGGCCTTTAGTAGTAAAAGTTCCTTAAGTTTTTTGACCTTCTACATGTAGGTTCCTTATAAACGGTTCCTTATAAAAAAAAAAGCGTGTAGCCCCCCTCCCCTAAAATAAACTTCTCGCTTTTAAGGGACAAAACTTTCAAGTTTTTGACAGAAATTCGCAAATAAAGTTGATTCTCCAAAATTTGCTGAATATAAATTTCATGAGATTCCCCATTATTATTTCTAATTTATTTCAATGACCTGCCCAATGTATCAAAACTCCTTTCTTCCTTCTTGTTTGCAGATGACACAAATATTTATTTTGCAACTGAAAATATTACCAAACTTCAATGTAAAATAAATAAGCAACTTCTAAAAGTAAAATCCTGGCTTGAAGTTGATAAATTAGCATTGAATATTGAAAAAACAAACTTTATTGTATTTCACTCTCCAAGAAAATAATTGCCTGAGCATATCCTTATTAAATTTGGTCAGAATTCTGTGACCAGATCTAGCTATGTTTAATTCAGTGGTGTACTGATGGACGAGCATCTTTCCTGGAAATTTCATATTTCTGAACTTACTAAAAAACTCTCAAGAACGTCTGGGATCTTCTCTAAAATTAGACATCTCCTTCCCCTTGACATATTGAAAAATCTTTACTTTTTCATGTTCTCTTCCTTTCTGAGTTATGGTTCATCAACTTGGAGTCTCCCCTAGTATACTTATCTTGAACCACTCTTCTTATTGCAGAAAAAGTACTCTGACTTTTTCCTTCCAGTCCTTCTTCTCTCCCTCGACACCTATCTTCTTTTCCTTAAAAAACATGATTCACCATGAATGATATACAAAAATTTGTGTACAAGTCTCTCAATGGTCTCTCACCTTCTTACTTTCACAACTACTTTCAGCTTGGTAGCACTGTTCACAGTCATGAAACTTGTCAGGCAGCTAGAGGTGACATTTTTCAATCTATAAGAAATACATTTTTCTATGGTCCCAGGTCTATTAAGTATTTTGGTGCTAAACTTTGGAATTGCATGCCCATTTTTTTTATAATGTCAGTTATTGTTTAATATCTCCAAGTCAAAACTGAAAGAATTTCTTGTAAATGGTTATGGTCCTTAATTCCACATCTAAATTGAGGAAAAATTATTTAATTATCTCTCTCTTTGGAGACATCTTCTGGTCTTGTGTTCTTCTTTTTTAGATAAATTTATAGATGGGGGGGGGGGTCCTGATTAGTTATCTATAGATAGCTCCTCTTAGACATTATACACAAACACATGGTTTCTGGATGTAGTCTTGTTGACTGCTTCTGAAACCCATGCTCATTCCATGTTCTGTACAATATTGTGTCTTTTTTCTTCAATTTCTTCTGTGTCTAGCAAGGATGTATTTTGTAGTTGTCTGTATTAGTTGATTGTCATGTATTTTGACTGAAACTGAAACTATTCGCATTGAAAACAGTGATTACTTAAAGTTCTTCTCTGCTTTAACATCTTCAGTGTATTAGATGCATTAGGAGGAGAGGGTTTAGTGACTTGTACTTGAACAGGTGTTATGATGAACAGCCTCCTGAATAAACATCAATAGAAAGTGGTCACTCAACATCATGTCTTGACTGGCCCTGTTTTTTATGCTTCATTAAGAAGATTTTAAAAATGATGTACTAAAAAACAAATTTTATTTGCTTGCTAGGAGAGGTTTAATTACCAAAAGATGTAAATATGAGTTCATCAGTCAAAAAAGATCTTGCTAAATTCTGTGAACAACTCCCCAAAGTTGAGCTGCATGCACACCTTAATGGCTCAATCAGTAAAGAAACAATAAAGACACTTATCAGCATGAAAAAATACCATTTAGACGACCAAGATATTACAGAAGAAATGACTTCAATTTTAAATGGGGAACAAAAGACATTAAATGACTGTTTTGCAATTTTTAGAATTGTTCACAATGTCGTTGACAACCCAGAGGCAGTGTATTTTGCAACAAAAAATGTGATTAAAGATTTTGCAAATGACAATGTAAAATACCTAGAGTTGAGAAGCACACCTAAGAGTATTGGAAATATGACTAAAGAGATGTATATGGATGCAGTTTTACAGGCTATCCATGAATGTAATAATGATTCCGAGCTAGATATCATTACAATTTTTCTAGTTTCCATTGACAGACGTAATGGTACGAGCATTGCTGAGCAGACAGTTGATCTTGCCAGAAAGTACTTCCTTAAAAACCAGTATGTTGTTGGCATAGACTTGAGTGGTGACCCAAGACATGGAAAGCCAAATCATTTTGCCCCTGCACTCATTAGGGCAAAGTCTCTAGGACTTAAAACAACAGTGCACCTTGCAGAGATCAAAGGTAATGATTCAGATATTAAAATACTGTTAGATACAAAGCCAGACAGAATTGGTCATGGGACATTCTTGCGACCAGAGGATGGTGGTTCTCGGGAAGCTTTAGATTTTGTTAGGCACCATAAGATTCCAATTGAACTTTGCCTAACATCCAATGTCAAAGCACAAACGGTTCCAAGTTATGATGTACATCACTTTAAGAAGTGGTATGATGAAAAGCACCCATGTATAATATGCACTGATGATAAGGGTGTCTTCGCTACAAGTCTGTCTAAAGAATACTACTTGGCTGCAATTTTTTTTCAGTTCAACAAGGATGCATTATGGGAGCTGTCAGAAAATACCATTGACTATACCTTTGCACCAGACAACATCAAAGAAGTTCTTAAGAAAAAATGGCAACAGTCTAAGCTCTTATTGATGGACTAAGTGAATTGAAATTAAGATATCTTTTTTAAAAATCAAAATCCTCATTTTTGTAGTAACGCCTTCACCTTTTAGATTGCTTGCCGCTATTGTGATTCAAATTTCTTATGTCACTTGTATTTCAGATTATTTACCTCTACTTTGGGATTGCTTACCTCTATTTTGGGATTATTTACCTCTGTCCTGGGACTACTTATCACTATCATGTTTTGGATTACTTACTTCTATCTAGGGATTATCTACCTTCATCTTGTTACAGATATCATGTTTCAAATTGCTTATCTCTATCTTTGGATTACCAATCTCCTGTCATATTTGGATTTACTTTCCTCAAATCATATTTTTGATTACTTTTCAAAATGATTTTTGTGGAAGACAAGAACAAGACCAAATACAAATGCAAACATGAATTGAAATCAAATACAATTTTTTTTAAAAGACATTTCTAGTATTTGTAGATAAATTCTTTTGAATAGCTTAGATGTAGATAAATAATTGAATAGATGTTTTTTGGATTTAATCCTTTTATTGAATAATTATTTACCTAACAGCTATATGTTGTCAGATACTAAAGAGACAATGGTGTAAACATAATGGAAACCCTTATGTCAGCAAGACATTTTCTCACAAACCTGAATGTATGAAAAGTATAAGCTGATTACTACATTATCCTGCAACTTTCTGGGATGGCTAAAGATTGTGTTATTTTAATTTGTCTAACTCATTTGGTTATCTGGTTTGGGATTCTGACAAAGGTTTAAAATTGAGTTAGGAGATGTAGTCATAAAAGATGCAAAGAAGAGAAGCAAATCATATTTATTTTCGAATTATATTTACAAAAATTCTTATTCAGAAAAATTAATTGTCTAAATTTACAATTAAACTGGATATTTTCACTTATAAAACCATACCACATGTTGTATGCATATTCTACTCCTAATATGCTCTTGAACTGCTGATAGACAATTCACCTTTTGAGGCAAAGGAATATAACAACATAATTTAAGTATTAATTTTCCGTTCAAACTATATAAGCAAGGCATATTTTTAGGTACAATGAAGTTCAATTACAAGAAGATAAGGGATCATGAATGCATTACATTTGATACCTGTTAGGCAGTGTCATTCATACAGTATAAGATAGTTTAACTCTCATTGTATGACTTCATAACAGTAATTGGTGATTGAATCCAAGGTATGGAAGAATTAGGATGTTACCTAATGCTCCAGTGCAGGACATGGTACTTTGGAAATTACCTTTCATGGGTTGTATGTAATTAATTTCAGATGGTGATTTGTTGGTACCACAAAATTTAAGGATGGCACAACAAAGCAGAACATTACATATTTTGTTTTTAAATTTTAGAGCTGTATGCAACAAACAGTGATTTTTATTGGTCAAACTCAAAGAGTTATTGAAATATAATTAGTGTGGCAAACAAAACTTGTTTTAAGATGATACATTTGCTACAAAATTGGAATTTTAATACATTTAATGAGATAAAACAGGCAAAAAGGTTTGTAAGGTGACAATTCCTTGAACGCTTGAGTACAATCTACTAAGATTAATGTCAGTCATTGACTGTAACTTTGAATTATTGGCACAGCAGCTATTAGACCACGGTCAGATACCTCTGGAGAAGAACCAACAGATAATGTATCAACTGACAGAGAAAACTTTGGTGGACACTCCATTGGTTTGCTTTCAATGAAGCATGTACCTGAATCAATATCTTCCAACTCTTCAGACTTGTCAGTTCTACAGGACATGGTGCTACCATAAACTGGCTTATGAAAAACAAAATCTAAGTCACTTGGGCTACAAGTTTGTGACATGTCAGAACCAGCTGATCCAACGGTATCCTCATTTGTATGCTTCTTGGCAGAAGAAAAGCTTTCACAGATAAAGTTATCTTTCTGTCCATTCAAACCCCTCCTTGTGCTACCTTCAACTACATTGGCCACAGGGCTAGAGTCTTCACTTCCAAAGCATATAACAGTATCAGAGTCAATTGATGAGCAATTCTCACTGTCTTCTGTGATTCTTTGGAGTGATGTAATATTTTCTGTTGATGAACGAGACAAACCAGGTGGATCAACTTCTTCCTGTAAACTGTTCCCATTATCATTCATTATTTTTTGAGTAGTGACACAATCATTGTCATCCACAGGCTTACCAGTTAAATAATTCTCAATCTGTTTTACACTTAAATTACTCTGCAAGAAGAGATGCAAAGCCTTGTCTGAGAGGAACACATTTTGCTCTATAACCCTGAAAAATAGAAATGTTATTCTAAGAAAACAGTCTTCTTAACTGGCTGTGATTAGGTCACTAAATAGAGTGTATTTGACAACGTTTTTTAAAAGGTTATTACCCATAACCTTAATCAGACCAGTCAACTCTCCTGGTTATGCCAAAAACCCATGGTTTTGCTTGCTTTCTCCCAACCTCCAGATTTTTTAAGATTTTCTCCCTGTTTCTTCTGTGTCTTTCAGAGGTATTCTTATCACAAAAATTATTGCAATGGTGTTCTTCATGACAACATTTTTGTTAGTATTTATGAATAAAAAAAATCTCGAAAAAAATCTTTATGAAGAAATTTCCTATTATATTATTTTTCGTTAACGGTTTGCCCAAGATGACTATTTACAGGTATGTTGTTTATAGATTTAACCTAAAAATAGTTTTATTATTTTACCTTGATCGAACAAATTCTGGGAGTCTCACTGTTTTTTGGCCAAATCTCCCTGTTTTTATTAAGGGAAAATAAAAAATTGCCAGGTTTTGAAAATTTTTAGCTGAAAGGTCTACACTAGCAACTTTACAGCAATCAAACACCTTTCTCAAGAAGGAGCCGCTAGATTCTAAGGAAAAGTCCTAAACTAATTAGAGTCAATATGGAACTGCCTAAAGTCACCTGACCTAATTAATGTACACTTAGATTGAAAAAGTATTGCACCAGCTTAATGCTAAATGTTGAAAGCAAAGTAAACAGCATAGTAAAATGCCAAAAAATGCTGTAAAAACATTGTAAAATCTGTATATATGCATTTATACTTTGTTGTTCATCGATGGAGAGAGAGTCACATATTTTGAAGAATGAGTTGCAAGAATTGCCGAAGATGCCAAGAGAGCTCATAGAAAGTTTAAACAAGGAGACACATTTGAACTGCCGCTGTAAACCAGATAAGATATGAGCATACTTGCTGTGTTTTCTTGTTGCATTTGTGTCAAGATTGGATTGGAAGCCAACAGTTAGCTCTAAGATGTAGAGGTTATTGTTGTTAGTCCTCAAGAGAAGATCAGGGCGAAGGTTTTCTTCAGTTATGATTGATGGTGAAAGAAAACCAGGTATATCAGCGTAGATGTTAGATTGATTGACAGCTTTAAGAGACATAGCTAGAAAGTTTAAGATAGAGTTATGTCGCCAGGTGTATCGGCCTTGTTCCAGATATGTTGTGCAGCCAGCAACAACGCGAAGGAGGGTTTCTGGCAGAAAACAGAAATAGCAGTCAGAGGTCTGGCTCAAACTCCATTTTTTCAGGTTTTTCTGTGTGGCAAGGGTATTGTTCAGGTACCTTATGGTAAAATTGAAAATATTCTAAATAATAAATAATTTGTGGAAGATCATGGTTAAAAAGATGTATAAATAATAAAGATCCTTGGGGAGTTAGGATGTTTTGCAGACGATCTTTATGCTCATGCTGGACAGCCTTTAATGCTTCTTTGGTATTCCTATATATATCATACTGTATATTTGTGCTACTGCTGGTATTTTTCCATAAGGAACGAATGTTATCGTTCGGTAAAGATTTCAAAACGTTGCGTAAAACAGTTTGACACTGTAGGAATTTGGTGGATGGTAAAGTTAGGCTGAGTCCTAACTGGTTTTTAGAAAAAATAATGCTACTTAAGGTAGCATTTATAGGGAGGTCGCGCCATTGGCGGATGTATTTGGATACGAGATTGTCAAGATTCTCGACAACCCACATATTTGAAAAATCCGCTACAGTAAGGTTCCAGGAGATTTTAGAAAGAACAAAATTGTGATAAAGATGCAGCTTATTTTTTGAATGAAGAGGCTGGGAATCGATTTGTTTAAGCATGTTGGACAGTGATGAGAAAAGGTCAGATTTATGTTCTTGGTTTGTCATTTCAAAGTCAAAATGACGACCAAGGTACTTGAAAGAGTTTCCATTCGAGACAGATATGATAGATTTGACGAGACAGATGGAATAGATTTGTTGTTAAAGCTTAGGCTGATACTGAAGAGAACGAGTGGAAAATTTCTTTATTCCAAAAGTGGTGCATTTATCGACACGTATGATTATGTTAGTCCATGGGCACCAGCGAATGAAACAATTCAGTAGAAGTTGGTTTTCTTTCTCATTACTAGTGATAACGGCAGCATCGTCTGCGAATTGAAACCAATGGACTGGTTGAAACATACGGTCGTTCTGATCATGTAGGGAAAACATATCTGTTTGTATTTTTCAGCGTTTATGTACTGTATAAAAGTATTGAAACATAGATTAAATGGTAGGGGACTGAGGCAGTCGTCTTGAAGCACACCACGACGGACTGGAAAAGCAGAGTATTATAGTGGCTTGTGATCACAGAGGTTTTAAAATCGGTGTAAAGGCTAGAGATAAGAAGCTGTATGATGTCAGGGATATGATGATAAGACAGTATAGTGGGTATCAAATTATGATGTACTTTGCCAAAGGCATTTTTGACATCAAGAAGAGTGACAATCAGCGAGCGCTGTTGTGTTGAGCCATCATTGAAGTATTTTCAAGGGTGCCAGAGATGTTAGACGTGAAGCCTTTTTGAATTTGATGTTCAATATAGCCATTTATTATAAGAAAATCAAACATGAAGTCACGCAAGCAAGAAGTAAATATTTTTAGTGTTACTGACTCAAGTGTTATGGGCCTGAAATTAGATGGATCTTCGGCGCTATCCTTTTTGTGGATTACGATAGTGCATGCCTTTTTCCATTCAGTTGGAATATTTCCGGAAAGCCATATAACACGGAAAATTTCAGTAAGTTTACTACGTAGAAAAGGACAATGTTTGAAGACAATGATAGAGATCTTATCCAAGGGGCAAAAAAAAGAAGAAGACTTCATCCGGCGAATTATTGTTGTAATTTATTTGTTGTGATGATAATAATATTAATAATGATAATAATAATAATGATAATGATCAATTAAAATTTGAATTACTTTCTTGAAGTTGCAAGGTGTCAAACTTTCCTGAAAACCCCTTAAACAAAACACTGACAACGCTTTTATTCACAAAAGTTGGAAAAACAACTTTAGTTTTTTTGGAAAATTTTGATACCTTGAATTCATCTTTGTTTTAAGATTTTGCAACATTAATATCATATTCGTCGCATCTCGCATTCTTTTCTATATATCGAATCTCGCCTTCTCTTTGCTCGGCTCGTTTCTTTTCTAGCCACTTGATAACGAGTACATGCTCGAAACGTCGTGTTTTTAATAATCAAACTATTATATTTTCATTCTGGCACTAAATTTATTTGCTAACTATATTTATTTGCTAACTATATGTTTTGACAATAGTTAATATCCTTAAAATTGTGGAAAGGACCAAGAACTTATGCAATTAATATCTTCATACCTTGATAAAATATATATTATTTTCCAACTATAAAAAATCTCAAAACTTTTACAAAATGTGCCAAAGCTTTTCAAATTTCAACTAGTTAGACACTCTTGATGAAAGTTTGGTTATGACAGGGACTCAAACTACAGACCCTTGGGTCTGCGGTTAGCAACTTTAACAACTGAGCCATCTTTGCACCTTGAGCTATACGTTTTAAACACCAGTGCATTGCAATTCAGTTCTGTCTTATCACTAGTTTAAATTCTTTAGATTTAAGTCGCTGATATCTCACTAAACTATGAAGCTTTACTACTTACTAAGATGAAAAGCAAGCCATAACAACTAACATTGACTTTCAAAACATATGATAACTTTCCTTTTATTTAATGACTCACAACGTGTCATTTCACAAATTAGGAACTCGACATGAAGCTTTACTTGGGACACATCTCCAAGTGATGGTAATGGATATGATTGTAAGGGATTTCATTCAAAGAAAAGGACATCAACAATGAGAAACATACTTCCTTAAAAATCTTTGCAATCCTTTCATTCTGTTTTGTATGAACTCAACTTCAAATCTCCCAATTAGTTTCTTTGGTGGCAGAGATGGAGTCTTCCTAAAGAATGAAAGAGTTAAAACCAGTTGCAAACACTGAATATCTGAAGAATATCAATAACTTACACAATTATTCACAAAAACTATCTAAAAAAAGAAACCATATATGATTACAAACACTAAACATAACAGAAATCATTTATCCCTGCTACAAAATATAACTTCTACAAACGAAAGTTGAGGAAATATTTGAATATCAGCAGTTGATTGGAGCCCCTTAAAATACACACAAAAAATTTTGTCATGTGCATAGCACTTGGCACCCTACTAGCATTGAATTTTTATGAACAATGCTGCAAGATTTAGTCATAACAAATAGATTGATGTTAACTAAATAGTATGAACTCTAACAGACAAATAAACTTGTACAAATATATGCATACCCTTGCTCCTTTAAAACCAAAAGGTCAGGCAATGCCCTTCAGATAGCTTAAAATGCATTTCAGAATATTTAAAAAAATTTAGAGACAGACATTTCAGATAATAACCTTAAATTGTTTTTCTGAATACATCTTCCAGTCATTTCATGCAATTGTTTAAAACATTTTACTATTTCTAGGCACACTGTTGCTATGTTTGATTAATTCTGTTCTCATAATTGAATTCATTACTTTATGAGGCAGCCTAGACCTTGACGCCTGGGTAAAATTTGCCCCCCTTGCCCCCTTTCAGCAACCCTGGTTTAGGCTACATATCCTTTGACAATTTGATCTGAAAAAGGGCAAGAAAAGGCAAATGAGTAGAAGAAAACACACTAGTAGATATCCAATGTAGTTTCCAACTGTTCTTAGTCAATTTAATCAATATATGAAATATGAAGCCACTGCGTTCTCTGAGGACATCTCAATTCAAACCCAAACAAAATTAAAAGGCTTTTCTCAATTTTACTTGGGACCCCTGAATTGTGGAGTGACACATCATGCTTGAAGACAATTGGAACCATCGCATACAATATTTGCACACCTAGAAATAGCCACGGAGACAGATTTGATGAGTTAAATCATTTAACAACACACTGATATTTGAGAATGCATTGTTTCTGTTTGGATGCAAAACATTTGACACATTTTTATTGGGGAAAAAGCAAATTTTTGCAAACGGAAACTTTACAAAGTGTGAAATAGTGCCCCTTGAATTTCTTAGGAGCTCCTTTGATGAAGAACCTTCATTTTGCTTAGTGCAAGGCATGTATGTCTGGGCATGTATGTCAGGCCTGGCCGTTTGTCTTTTTATAGGTGAGCTGTGAATCGCTCCCCTCATTTGCTGAGGCGAGCTAAATCAGTAACACATAGAATGTACTTTAAAGACAATCAACAGATGACTTAATAAGCCCCTTTAGTCAGGGGCGGATCTAGGGGGGTGCTATGGGTGCTTGAGCACCCGTCAAATATTTCAGGATGTGATATTTTGAAATTTCAGAATAGGCGGACACTTAATTTGAGGTTTTCTTTTGTATTCCTCCGAGAAAATTAATTTCTCTCCCGTCTGAGCAATTCTATCCCGTTCTCTGTATGTTAAAAGCAAGTTAATTTACAGACCAGATTGTGCAGCTTTTTATCGTTGTAAAATTTCCAGCACCCCCTGGTCTGTGCTTTAGTCTTTCGCAAACTAACTATAGCCAATCAATGAATGAGCTTGAGCACCCGCGATTGTAAAGCAACCAATCGGCTTCTGATATCGCGGGTGCTCACTTTTGGCGGGAGCACCCCCTATTGTCAAACGTAGTTTAAATTTTCATTTAGGCAGGCGGAAGAAGCATGTTGTAGTTGTTGTATAGAAATGGCGATCGGCAGTCACAACAGAAGTGAAGCGATTTCTTTTGAAATTTTAACAGAACAAAATCATGCGTAATGAGGTAAGGCCTATATTTCATTTTTTAAACTTGATGCAAGAGATCAAATTATAAACCTCTGCGTTTGTAATGAGAGCCCAGTCTGTAGAGCATGGCAGTTTAGGACAAGATCTTGTTTTTGCAAGAGCAAAAAAGATGTGTGCATGTAAATTCTATTGCGTGCACATGTCACACTGTGCAGACTCGATGACAGCAAGGTAAATTGTGTTTCAGGCGCAGTGTTTTTAGATTTTCCATTTTAAAGTTTGGATGTTTGAGAGAATATCTTACATGAATATCTTACAAAATTTATAAACACTTGAACTTGAGATATTTTCACAAAATCCAAGTTTTTTAGTATGTTCTGGCCTACACCTTAATTCATCTTAATTCTAAATATGATTTTAATATTTGGCATTTATTTTGAATTCCAAAAGTTTTGAATAAGTATTTCCAAAGTAATTGGTAGCAGATATCAGTGAGAGGTTTAGTTAGTGGTCAGTATGGGGGACTGATAGAACAAAATTTTATAACTTTTTAAGATTTAGATTGGATTCTTATTATAAACAAAAAGTTTTGAAACCTATATTTGTGAGTATTCTGTTTTTCTATACCTTTTTTGATGCCAGGCAAGGTAAATGATTTCCATCTAAGATGCATATAAATTTAAAAAAGGTTATTTTATCTATAGACTCCTCCAATGCAACTTTCCAACTTGGTTTCAATAAACGATTTGAAAAACACTTTTTGTTGGTGTAATCCACAAAATATTTAAGTTTTTATGAAACTTCTATGAATCTCAGTTAAATAGCCAAGAGCTCAGCCTTACAGACCTACTGATTGCCCAGAAGATTGTCATCTTCCCAAAATCACTAACCAGATATTAGTACATAAACTGACAAAAACATTAATGATATTTATTTCATCTATTGGAAGTAGCTGTATTTTAAAAAAGTTTATAAAGCAGTCAGAATAATGGAAGAAGAAATAAAATATTTGTTGTCTTTATTTCAACCAAGAGAAAAGCAATTACAATTGTTTCTTAATATCCTTTTGTTGTATTTTATGTATAGGTTTTATTTCAAATAGCACATTTCCAGAAGTTGAGAAAATAATTGTTTTAAAATCAATTATTTAAAAAACAGGCATTGACAACCCTTGCTCTTTGAATGTTCGAAAGAAATTCTAATCAGCATAAATTTTGAAGGGCGTGGCACCAGCAAAAAATTTTGGCGTGGCATCAGCCCCACCCAAAACTGAGCACCCCTCAAATTTTTTTCTGGATCCGCCCCTGCCTTTAGTATCTATCAGTTGCCTTTAAACAGTCTTGAAGTCAAGGAGTATGCTGTTTTACTTCTTTCAATTTGTATTTGCTTTAACCGTGACTTTGGCACCCCTTTTACTTGAAGTATTTAAAAGAGCAGGCTTTAAATAGTTTTATGTAAAACTGGCACAACACAAATTAAAATGGCTTTAAAAAACAAATTTTGAAACAAACTTAATTATACATCTAGCACTCTTCAGAGAATAAAACATCAGAACATAGATGGAAAACTCTACGCTAAAATACCCAGTTTTGGATCGAAATAGGCCATCAGAAAACGCGAGGACATGACTGTTGAGGTTTTCCAATAAGTGCCGCTTTCCTATTGGAAATGTTACCAACGGAGTCCTAAGGTGAAAACGAACTTACTTATGTCTACTGAAAAGCAGTCGGCCATGTTTATATAGTAGATAGATTCACAAACTGCTAGATGGAACAATGATCAGGCTTTGCCAATAATGCGAAACATGTCGCCGTTATAGTTTTTCACCCAATCTGGGTTTTTCAGTAAATGCTGCTGGATAGTGGAATTCCATGTTTTGGTTGTCGTTTTTGATTCGCAAAACAGAGTACCTTGTTCTCTTTGAGGGATAGTTTTGTTTCTATTCCTAGAAGGGACCTGCTGTCTTATTATATCCCCAATCTACAATTCCTACCAATTTCTTCGACATTCCTTCCAAAAATATTCCTGTTTTCTTAAGATTGAAAGGTTCTAATCACTACAAACGTACCTTTCGGTTAAATATCCTTTTCCAAATAGATCGAAGTTTATGCCTATCAAAACAAAAACCGCCCAACAAGCAAAAAGTTAATTGCAAAAAAATGCAATGACGGGAGAAATCGCTGTTACAAAAATAAACCAATTAACCCTTGTACGTTTTCAGGGTTCTCTGCATAGAAAAAAGGCAAATGAATGGAAATTTTAGGGGAGCGATTTTCCCTTCATGTTCTTTTTCGGAGAGCAATTCATAGCTCGCCTCAGGTTGCGAGGGGAGCGTGGAGGCGAGCGCGAGCTATCGCTCGCCTCAAACGGCCAGGCCTGTTGTAGGGCAACCAAGTTGAAAACCTTACAGAAAATACAGAACAGAGCTACCAGAATTGTGACCGGCAGCCCTTTCAACACTTTAGCAGCTGCTTTATTGCAGCGGCTTGGCCGGCCAACAGCAAGGTAATATTTCCGAAAAAGTCTGATATTGATACCAGGGCGTTACTCAATACAAAACTTAACCTCGCTTTATAATAACTGAGCTTATGGCAAAAAGATCATTTGGATTTTCAAGGAGCCAAAGCATGGAATAGACTTGACTTTTTAATGAAATTAGTCCCTATGGTTCAGTCAGTCAAAATTAAATTAAAAGCTTTTAACTGAGAACATTCCAGGAAATCTAACATTTTATTAATCATGTTTAGTGACTTTTTATTTTAACAAATTATTGTGGAAAGGTTTTTAATAGTTAATAGGTTTACTTTGTTTCTTTGCTGGGACAATCGGAGAGCAATTTAATTATTTAACTGAATTATATCCCGGGGGGAATATGTTTTAACTTCAAGTCAATCATTAAATCAAGTAAAAACAAAAGTACTATTAATACAAAAGAACTCCTCAGAGTTTAAATGTGAAAATGGAAGTTTATTAATAGGTTTCTTTTTTAACCAATAGGAGGTCTCTAATCTGTCACCAGTAAAAGAGAGGAAAAAAGCTCTTCTCATTCTAAACAAGCCAGGGTTCTAGTGGTCTCTCAAGCCCAGGAAAAGTGGGAGGGACAAAAGAGGGTCCAGAAGCATGCCTTTTTGGGCCGCGCCACCCTTTTCCCACCAGAAGCATTTTCTTCCTCTTGTCTCAGGAAACACCCCTTTCTTCCAAGAACTGTCATTTAATTGATTGCTGGCAATGAAAACAATTGCCTGAAACTTAATTTCAGAGTTTTGAAATTAGAAGTTTTACTTGTGTAAAAATCATGAAAAGACCTATAATCAAGTGCTACTTGTAAAAACTTTCACAAGTTTGTTGCTATTTAATACAATGATCTGCTCAAGGTATAAATACTTCACAAAAGTTTTTGCGGGGATACAAAGTTCTAATCGATAAACCAATTTTTAGCTGTTTAATATTATGGACTATAATATCACCTTCCTCCATTTGATAGCAATTTGTTTTCCAAGAGTTGATAAGTTAGTCTCTTGCTGCTTATCAAAAAGAGGTTCTATAGCATTGTAGACAACATTAAGAAACAAAGGACTGACAAGGTGATAATTGTAATGGAAAAATAATGTTATGGCTTCACACCAAAGTCAGCTTCTGAAGATCTATATAACATAAATACCCCCCCCCCTCCCCCCAAAGTTTTCTCATTGGATTTGCAAGAATCCCAAGGTCCAACTTTCTGAATTTGCAAGAATCCCAAGGTCCAATTCTAGGTATGAGAAAAATGATCTGCCAACTAGGGGTTGATTTACCACATGCCTATCAAAATTTTTATCGCCAGTTCTGGGTGGGTGTAAAAACAAGATAGTATCCTATCCCAGGACTTTTGAGCTGCAGTACAATTGTTGGTGGACCTGAAATAGGGCATATGCAGTTACCTCAGACATGCCTTAGATAATGATTTTGTAAAGATTATTCGACAGTGCCTGGCTCAAAACAATGGCTACCAAAATCAGATGAAACTACAATGACCTGACTAAAGGCTGGAATACACTAGGCATTTAATTGCCACATTTAGTTGACTTGCAATAAAATGCCTAGTGTATTCGCAGAGGTTGCCTAATTATTGCAATACATTTTCAAATTATCAATATTCCAGAGTTTTCGTTTTAAAAGTTGAACATGTTCAACTTTTGGGCAATAAAATGCCTGGAAGTCCTTTTGTCTTTCCTAATCCTTCTTGATTGCTATAGTTCAGAGAGTCGCCAAGAGCATTGGAAGGACAGTTTCCAATAGTTCCTTGTCAATTTCTGAACGGCACAAAAACATGGCATGCAAATCGTTGTTATTTAGGGTGAATTTATCAATGCTAACTTTGTTTCTAAAATTAACCCACTTCTATCGATACCTATTCTTATGCATTTGCGCCTTCCTTTACAATTAGAAAAGCGATTACATCTTCTGCACCTTTCAAGCAGCCTTCATCCTAATTAAATGTGTATGCAGAGCGGAGAAAGTGTTTTTAAAATTTTTTTGCCTCAGAAGGGATAAAAGAGAGGCAGCATACATTTCACAGCCAGAACATTACAAGTAAGGGACAATGAAACAAAAATGAATCATCGATTAAAGGCACCTTAATTGGATTAACTAGTGTATTCCCGCAAATGATCACCTGCACCTGCAGTAGATTTTGCACCAAGAAAGTCATTATACTTATGAAATAGACCATGACAGCAACTTTTACCTTATACTTGAGAATCCTTCGTTATTTTCACTTAACCAGTTTCGTAGCCAAACAAAATCAGAATATCTTCTTCTTACAGATGACCTTCCAATAGTGAATGCCTTGCTGTTACTCTGAAATGAACAATAAAAAAATACAGTTTGATAAGTATAAATAAAGAAGATAGCATATGAGCAAAGCAACAATTAAGGGTTGCTCCTTAAAATTTGAAGTTGCTTCTGCAAATATACTGTTTTCATTGCATAATTCATAGAATCTAGCAGACAAGCTCATTCAGAGTCTTTTCTTTTGGGCATGATCATTAAATTTATCTGAACATGAGCCATCTTAAAAATTGCAAGGACTCCTATAGATAAAAAGCTGTTGGCTTGAAGATTGCTCACAGGTCCATTGTAGGGGCTATGATATTTTTCCTTCCATGCTTACCTTCAGGCAGATTTCAAAATCAGTATATCTTTTTCCATTTTTCTTCTGTTGTATGATTGGGTTTCGAATTTCAACAACTGTTACCTAAAAAAGGAACAATATTTTAAGGTGCACAGTGTTAAGTTACACAAACTAGGATTGATATATCTGTTAGATATGCTTCATTCAAAATGATAATCATTGAGACTAAAAGATTTCTTGATTCAGATGTTTAATTATATCCGAATGTGCATACTGCATTTAATTAAACAAAGTAAAACAAAGGAAATACCCAAGGAGCTGGAATGGGACTAGCTATAGGTGGAACTGTTTAGACATTTAGGGATTTCTGAAGGATTAAAGGCCAAACATAATTGATAGGTTAACTGAAGGGACTAAATGGAGGATAGCTTTTGGCAAAATGACCTGGACAGTTGTGCTCCGTAAGGCTTTGGGCATGTAAGTGCATAGATTCTATTTTAATAAAAATTACTGTTTACTGGTCTGTCATAAAATGCTTTATGCCATATAACAGGCCTTTTTTGTTGCAAGCGATCACTCACGATCACAGCACTAAAGCAAATCCAAAAATCCAATCATTTGAGCATTTGATTGCTCCTTGAAAACAGAAAATTGTGAGGAATAAATAACTCATCAATTAACACATTAGACAATACAAAGTCCGTCTATCCATGGTGAATGTTTAGGACTACTAAAGGTACTTAGTATTTCAACTACAATAGCACATGGAACATTGCAGGGCAGTTAATAACATAGACAACCGAGTGCAGTATTTGTGATTGGGCTTCTTCTTCTTCTTCTCCTTTTTCGGCTTTCAGCTTTTGCCGAGTCGGGCACACAATTCTTACCAACCCTTTCTGTTTTGTGCTTCTGCTTTCAGTTCCAGTGTATCCCACTCTCATCATTTTCTCTAGCTTTCCTCATCAGCAAGTCTATTGCGAGGCCAAACAACAAAGGTGATATCATGCAACCTTGCCATACTCCTGTTTCAACTTCAAATTTTTCTGTAAAGCCATCTTCTGTCTTCACCCAACAGCATGAGTTTTCGTAGAGTGACTTTAGGATAGAGATGTAGCACTGAGGAATCCCGTACCACGCTGCAATTTTCCATAAATATTCTGGATCTACACTGTCAAATGCTTTCTCAAAATCAATAAAGTTAAAATGCACGTGTTGTTGGTATTCTATAGTTTTTCTACATTTCTCCTTAGGGCAAAAATTTGATCTGTGCATGATCTACCTGGTCGAAAGCCAGCTTGCTTTTCTCTCATTTTGTCATCAATGGCATTTTTTAAACGGTTCAGAAGGATGAGCACAAAGACTTTTCCAGGGATTGATAGCAAAGTCACACCTAGCCAGTTGTTAGGGTCAGTTAAGTCACCTTTTTTGGTAGTTTTACAATAATCCCGTTACATCAGGTAATTCTTTTGTGTCCATGATTTTGTTACAGATTCACAAAATCCATTGGGAAACTTCATCTCCTCCTTCCTTTAAGACTTCCGCTGAGATTAAGTCAATGCCAGGTGCTTTGTTATTTTTCATCATTTTGATAGCTTTTTGTACTTCATCAATGTTAAAACTCTCGGTTGTTATATCTAGCTCATCTGTTGGTTCATCTATTTTTGCAACGGTTGTTGGTGCTGATAGATTTAGTACTATTTGGAAGTGTTCTTTCCATCTTTCGTTTTGCCGTTTCTCGTCAGTGATTAGTTTGCCTTCCTTGTCTTTTACTGGTAAAGCAACTCTTTTCGAGGACTTGCCCGAAATCAGTTTCACTTTTTTGAACAGTTCTCTCATGTTTCCTCTGTCAGCACATTCTTGTGCTTTCTTTGCAAGATTTTCGTACCATTCGTTTTTATCTTTCTTTTCACTTGCTTTGACATGTTTCGCTTTCTCTTTGTACTTTCCAGTTGCTCTTCTGGTCTTTCTCGTTTGTTCCATTTCTTTTTTAGTTCATTTCTCTCTTGAATGAGGCTCCATGTCTGGTCGCTTATCCAATCTTTCTTGGTATTTTTTCTGTCATTTTTGAGTTGTTTCTTGCCGCAATCTTGAATACTATTGCGGAACTTTTGCCAAAGGTCTTCAGTATTGTCATTCTCAGACAGTGCATCGAAGCGATTGCGCAGTTCTAACTTGAACGCTTTGTTTACTTTCTCGCCTCTTAAACTAAGATGGTTGAATCTTTTCTCTGTTTTCTGCTCTGCGTTTGACTTTTTCAGTCTTACTCTCCATCAGGCTATAACCAAGTAATGGTCTGAGTTGATGTCAGCTGATCTTGAGACTTTTATGTCCAGTATACAACTTCTCTGGTTGCTGTTTATTGCTAAATGGTCAATCTGCAATTTATACAGCCTGCTGGGATGTGTACTTGTGAATGTTGGCATGTTGGAAACTTGTACTGCCAATAAATAGGTTGTTGATTTCACAGAACTGGACAAAGCGCTTGCCTTTGTTGTTCAAACGGCCCATGTCATGGCGACCCATACCTTTTTCACGCAGTTCGTTGTTGTTGCCAAGTTGTGCATTCATGTCTCCAGTGAGTATTTTGGTATCATGTTTGGTATCATGTTCTGGCTGTTGTAGAACTCGTCTTTCTCTGTGCCTTTGGAAGTTTCTGTTGGCGCAAAGCATACGACTACGGTTGCTTTGTCATGTTTGGTTTTGAAACATGCTCGAAGAAATCTTTCGTTTATTGGTTCCCATTCGGTTAAACATTTTTCTGCTTTTAAACTCAGCATTAGTCCAACACCTTGGCGGTGGGTGTCATATTTCCTACCAGATAAAAGAAGCGTTTTTCCAGAGGCGCGTAGTTTGCTGCTGCCTGGTAGATGGGTTTCTGTTACCCCCAGCAAGTCTAGTCGTTTTTCATTAAACACTTCCGCTAGCTGCACCACTCGCGATGGTTCAGAAAGGGTACGAGCGTTCCAATAGCCAAGCCTGGTTTCTCCTTTTGCTGAGATGAAGTTTTTTCCAGTAGTAGGTACATTACCATCAGCCCCGGTCACCCAGCTGCTGGCACTGTCCACAGGCGCATTCTCTTCATGATCGTCCTGCTGGAGCAGCGAATCGCGCGGTCCTTGTCGCAGGCGTCAACCGATCTGCATTGAGTTTTTGGATTGGACTTTCATGTGTGTTTAGAGGTGAAATACTTGACAGGGTACCACTATTCCTTGTGCAAGGGTGTTTTTTTGGAACACCATCCCTAGCTAGCTGGCCATTGGCTCACAGAGGAGCTCCTCCGCCCTTTGATAGCTTTTGTTTTTGGCCCTACTGGGGTGCTAGTAGCCCTCCTCACCAGGTGGAAGACAAAATATTAAAATTCTCCAGTCAACTTGGGCCCACAAAATAAATATATATGGTTATACAGCTCTGACGTAGAAAAACTGCCATGTCTATGTTGAAGATCTCCAGGGTGACTTCAAAAGTCATCTATCATTTCATTGAGACATTTAGCTCAGTGGAATGATTGTTGATTTAGATTATTATAAATACTTCTGATTGTTGGCATAACCATAGCAGAAGTAATTTTAGCCTGTCAGCCATGACCCAGTGAAAAAATAGATATGTTTTTTGGTATCGCTCAACATGCCATCGAAACATTTCCTTACTAGCATGCCAATATTTCTTTTGTGTTTCTCTATAGTATGTTTTAGTGACCTTTTCTAGTATGTTATATATGGATCTGTAAAAAGTGAAACAGATCACTTAGTCAAATCTGAAACAGAAAAAAAAACAGCCAAGTGGCTTCAAAAGTCACCAATCATTTTATCAAGTCATTTGGCTAAGTGAAATGATTGTTGTTTTTGATGCCAGAAAAGCGTCAGCTTCAGCCGGGACTTTGTTTCGGTGCATGGGACAGCAATCCCTAAGGGTTTTCAATGCAACTTTCTAAACTGTAATGCAAATATGACTAGTTTTTATTTCTATCTCTAATATTTTCATCATTTTGTGTCTTCGTCTTTATTGGTAATGCTGTTAAGATTGAATTTCGAAAGTGGTGTTGAAGATGAAACCAACATGTCACGTCACATGATAGACACGAAGGAACGCCATTCAGCTAACTTTACAAATTTCGCCTGAGTCTTATCTTCGAAATTAAACTGATCACTTGCATATAAACAATTTACCTAAATTTACATATTATGATTTTGTGCGTGTGTTCAGGCCGGGTTTACAGTCGTCATCGTCCGATGGGCCTAAATGGTAGGTAAAGGAAAAAAGCACAGAACTTTCATTAGAATTGACTTGAATGAAACTACTTACCTCTCTCGTAGTTGCTGGACTTGACCAAGAGTATGAATTTTGCATTTTGTAATTTCTCAATGTTACGAGTTTATTTGACGCGATTCATCGATTTATCCAAAAATTTTCTTCCGATTCAACTTAACGTCTCAATTCAACTCAGCCGCAAACTTGGGTACAAACAGTAATTATATCCGAAGTCAATTAAGACTTTCTGATTGAAAAATGAATGCCGCTATTGAGTAGTTACTAAGCAATCAGTGGCGGCCTGGCCCTTTTCGCCTGGGGGGGGCGCAATGGCGCCCTCCATAACTAACACTATTGTCTTTTTCCTGAGAATTTTGGCAGTACAGGGGCGGTGCCAAGAAATTCAAAGTGGGGGGGGGGGGGGGAGGGCTCGAGTTAATAGCTTTATTTGACTAAAAAACCAACATTGGGAAGGGCCAGCAAGAGGTTGTCAGAGGCCCTTGGTATAACTGTGAATAAAAGAGGCTTTCTTGCGAGCGGAACGAGCAGAAAATTTTTGCGACCACGCCCTTTAGATTGGCTTAAAAAACATTTCAAAATATTTCCTGCAGTCAATTTCTTGAAAACGTTTAAAAATGTTGCTATTTTTAAGGCATCCTTTTAGCACATTTGATTAATTCCAGTCTTAAAATGGATTTTATTACTTTGTAATAAGGAAAAGTATCCATCCTACCTTTGTATCGTCAAGATGAATTGGTCCTTTCATGAGAAATGAAGCAATGAGACAAAATCTACTGACCCCCACATGAGCAGGTCTCTGAAGGCCAGCAGAGCCAAAGAGACTCATCGAAAATCAAAACTTTCCCTGGAAGGAGGGCATGAGTCCGGACACCCTAAACACAGACTGTCCCTCGACATCCTAAACACAGTCTGTGTGTACTATGAGTGCTGTGTTCTCTACACGAAAGAATTTAACTACGTAAGTTTCCTGAAAATTCTCTAAAAAATTGATTAATTTTTTCACCCCTGCGAACAGTACAAATGTTTTGTCTGGATAATACAGTACGGAAGGGGCAAAAGGACGTGCCCTTGAAGTGAGAATGTTTTAAAGGGGTATAGAGGCATGCGCCCCAATAAAGTTTTGAGTTTTATGGCGTCTTTTTTGTCTTTGCTGGCCTCCAAGAGACCTAATAACCAGACAAGTCGGTCGTATCAAACTTCCTTAATGTTTACGAAAATCATGGGATGGATGGTTCTTAATTTGTTCTTAAATTATTAGGATGTAACAGTGCCGTCGGAACAAAATTCATATTGGGGGGCTGCCCATTGTATTCCTTCTTATTCCGTGCACTGTTACAAAGGGAACATTCTACAGCTTGACAACTATTGGGGGGCTCCAGCCTCCAGCACCCCTATTGAGATCTAGGGAGGTGTTCAGGCCTGCTTGTCAATGTCACTTTATTCGAGGGGTGTATCACTACCAAAAAGGTGTACGAGATTTTAGAGCTTTTGAAAAATCTTATGCTGAGACAGAAGATTTTGTAATTTTTGCAAGATCTTAAGGATGATTTGTTTTTAAATGAAAGTTCTGCGATTAAGGAAGTTGATAATGATAGCTATGATACCCCGATGGCAGTTTGTTTACCGAACAGTGCACAATAAAAAGTTTGTTATTTATGCAATAGATTTTTTCGGAACCTGTGCACCAAACGAAAATGAATTTCTAGCAGGGATGAAACTGCTGCTTTAAAGTGTTTACCATCATTGTTGGATTACCCCAAGAGGATTCAATACTTGATGTTGAAAAACGAAATTTTTTATGTTGGTGTTTGTTGTTAAAGTTTGTTACTGACATCAAAAATCTATTTTTAGAACTTCTTAATTTAGAACAGCATAAATATCTCTCAACATGCAAAATTATATTCAAAATTGGGTGAGATATGACCGATGAAAGATTCCAAGTTTGCAAACGGATTGTTGTTATTCTGGCCTGGTTCATAAAATTATCAACCGAGACCAAAGCCTGAGCTCATATGACAATGTCTCAGCCAATTTGTAACACATTCAACAAATTTTGTACATTGAGAGGTATTCATAATGCTCTTTTAGGAGTTATAGTCAAAATTAAAAAATCTAAAAACAAATTTTGTGACTTCATCATTTTGATGTGAAGTCTCACATTTTTACAACAATATAAGTTTAAGAATAGTGTGACTCAAAACTGCTAAAAGTCAAGATTAAATGAACCTAATAGCTATAGGCCAAAAGTTTGTCAAAGCATTAATTTCGCTTACCTTGGTTGCTCCCGCAGGTTTTAAATATCATGTTGCTTTTTTAACTACTCATTGAAAACAGGTCTGATTTTATTTAATAATTGCTTGAATTTTAATGAGTTCTAGGCGGAAATTTAAAATGGTATGCAAGGAAATACCTTTGCTAAAAAAGTTTTGTTAATTTCCTAGAAAACTGCCTAAAGCTACAACTCTGTTTTTATGAGATAACATAACAGGTTTATTACAGTTTTTGCTTTTCTTTATTCATTCATAGATTTTATTATTGTTACTTTTATTGACAGGTTGTGGTAATAGAGAGGCTGATTTATTAATACTAGTATTTTGAAAATCAGCTTACCTTTGGCATAAGGAATTTCTATACAATTTTTGAGAAATGCCGTCACATGAATAAGGGACATAAAGCCCTGGTCAAACGATTCAACGTTTCACCCAACATTTCGCTCAACATCTTGTTGGATCGTTTGATCGTTTGATCGTTTGATCGTTTGATCGTTGGATCGTTGGATCGTTGGGTCACCCAACATCGTAAAATTTCGATGATGGACGAAATTTGATTGAGGTCAAAAAAGGTTGGCTGCTGACGTCCAACAATTCTCGGATACGAGCAATTTGTATCTTCACATTTGGCAAAAATGGATAACAGAATTGGAACCTTCTTGTTGAAATTAATCTGTGCCAAAAATTTCAAATTGTTTGGGCCGTCAGGCTGCGAATTACCCCATTTTCAAAATTTAGCTTTTCCTATACATTTCAATGGAATTTTTGCTGTAGAGAAATTTTTTCACTACAGCAGCAAGTTCCTGTCAACTCTAAAGAAATATCTAAATATTCGAAACAAAGTAACATTCGACCGAACGGTCCAAGCAACATGAATTTTTCAGTATGAACTAATTTAAAGATGAAGATTTCAATTCTGAAGTCTATTTTCAAAAAAGATCCGTAGATAGCGAGTTACAAAATTGATGACGTCAACTTGAATCCATCAATTCTTTTGTCTTGAAGTGTTAAGTGAAATGTTGGATCGTCAGCCAACATTGTTGGCTCTGCGCAAGCATAGTCCGTAAAAGACCGCCAAAATTCTATCATAGTATTGGTGTTGACTTCTTAGGTTGATTTCGTTCGCTTCGACTCTCGCTTCGATTCTCGCTTCGACTCAATTTTGCTAACATTTACAGCTATGGCGGCGATTGCCTTTCGTTTTCTCGGATCGAAATGTGGCGCATCGTTATGTGCGGTCATCATCATGAGCGTCTGGTGTGCCTACTGTGGTTAAGCAACATCAATGTTACCTACTACCCATTCCCTTTTCGATCTGCGCAGGAAAATGTTGGGCGAAATGTTGGGTGAAATGTTGGATCGTTTGATCAAAGCTTAAACAAGTTGCTAATTTTGGGGGATCGTGAACGGATGAAAATTCTAATTTTACATGAGGAATTTTCCTTTCGACCTGTTAATCTACTCTGCCTACTAAATTGATTTTTGGAAATAGCCTTATTCCAGATTTTTAGTTTCTGTATAATAACCAACATTTTGCTCATAATAATTAGTCTTAAGCATAAAAGCGCCAAAGAAGACAAAGGAGATCTCTAAACTTTGATAAACGTAATACGAATATTTAATCTTTTTGTAAGAAGTAAAGCAACATCAAAGCCATTCCAGTGCTAGATCTTGGATACACATTAATTTTCATTTAATAATAAAAAGCTATATTCTTTCAAGTCAATGAACAGCGATTATATAAAATATCTTTTTTACAATAAAGAAGCATAAAGGAATTGACCATTTCATCTTTTGTTCTTGATCGAAGGAAACTTTTTACAATTTTCAGAGGGCTAAATGTTTTACATGTATCTTACAATGTCTTAAAATGTCTTACAATGTGTTTTACAACTGAAAAGGGTGATCTGAGGGCAAGTGCGTACTCCCGATTCGTAGGATAAAACACTCTTCTTTGATCAACACGTTTCTTTGATTAACAATTTTCTTTTATCAAATACTTTTGCTGCCGCTTCTTTGATCAACGTTTTAAGGCTTCTCATCAGCTTTTTCATGGCAATTAATGATAAGATTTAAGGTGGTCTACAAAGTACAGGGGGAGCTTAGCATACACTCGTTAAAAAAGCGTTGAGAACTTTAAGTAATGAAATATTTTTAATGTTTTCAATTGCATTGGCTACTCGTAGTTTCTTAAAAATTTTCACTTTCAATTGTTCAAACAGGGTATAATTTTTTTCAAAATTGCAGGCTCAATCAATACTGATAGTAGAATCTAAATTCTAAACTTCCTATCCAGAAATTCACCTTGCCTGTTCAAAATAATTGAATGTCCTGTCCACAGTTGCCATATGGCAACTAAATATTCATTGGTTGTTCTGTATAGGTAGTCTGTGTTTTAGCTTACCAAATCTTTTTGTGATGTTGCTATGGATATCTATTTTATTGAATTGAATGTTTTTATTGGTTTGTCTTGTTTTTGGGAGGGAGAAGTGGCGGTTTGAGCAGCGTCGGTTCATCGCAGTTTTTAGTGGCTTTCATCGATTGAAAATTTTATCCTTAAAGTTTCGCAAATATATTGCTTATCACTGGATAGTCTATATTCAAAAGTTATATTTTGATATGGAAGACGACATTTATTTGTTGACAGGTTGGTTCTTACATTTTTTTGCTTCTAACAATTTGGTTGTCATTTGGCAACTACGGTCATTCATGTTCGAATTTGCCAAATGGACCTAAGTATGTTTACAGTCGTGTTTCCATGTCCTCTCGGCGAATTCGTTGAAACCCAATGATGATCTTGGCATTGTTGGACTGTTCTTTGATTTAAAAACTTTTTATTTCAATTTCAGTTTATAAGTGATGGGAACAAGATGCTAAGTTGGATACAATCTTGATGAAGCTTTGCAGTACGTGGTAACGCCC